CTGTATGTAGAGTGGATAGATGGCAGCACCATCCTCTACCCACTAGATACCTGTAGCACCTCCCCTCAGTTGTGAAAACCAAACATGTCTCTAGACATTGGCTTGTTTGAGAACCCTTGATCTTAAGTAACTGCAAAGTTCATCTTAAGGACCACTGCAATCATAAACTATTACTTGCAGAACGCTCCACACTATTTCCAGAGATAAGTCTGCAATACCCCTCCAGCAGCTGTGTAGAATCCTACCACACCCACTGCTGACTTCATTACTGCACCATCCAGCCTGCTTTTCTCCTTCAAATTGATTCACTTATTTCACCCAGATGTAGTATATCTCAATGGGAAGTCTTAAAATCTTTTCTGAGATATAGTAGGGGGATAATTCAATTATAGGATGGGGGAGGTATAGGGGAGGGAACCAAAACAACTGCAAATCATGAAGCAATGTGATTGACAAATTATCCCATTATTCAAAATTTGACACACACCTTTTTACAACATTTCCATCATCGCGAGCCAAAGGCCAGTGGAGGATAAGAGCTCTTTCAGTCCTGACCCGCTGGTTAGAATGGACTTTACTGAAGAGCTGATAAAGAGGCTGTCTCTGCACAGGAGTGAAAATCCTGTAATTCTTAGGAGCAAAGACCCAGGGATGAGAAGAACCATGAATCTTAATAAAATTTTCTATACATATAAACTATGTTTTTCTACAACAAAGAATCCAATCACTTTATTTTCTGATCAACATATGACCATAACACAACTTAGACATGATTCTTATTTTGCCAAACATAAAATTAAACATATAAGCAATACTATATCCAAGATTACAGAGTAAAATATGTGCATGTACAGTGCCTGGCATGTAACTTCTATGCAAGAAAAACATCACTAGCTCTTATTATGTATCTTAAAACAGTCTTTTAATATTGGGTTTCAGGGTGAAATGGAAGGTGTGAATCTTTATATTTATTCAAATTTATCAAGGCCCAGAAGGGTTACAAGCTAAAGAATTTAGTAAATGATGACAACTTAAACCCAGTGAGATTCCATATTCAAGGCTCATTTCACAGTGACATGACAACTTCAAGATTTATTAATCACTAATTGATCACCTTACAGCAGCAATTATCAAACTTGAGTAATTTTGGTCACCAGGGAACACTGGTGGATACATTTTTAGTTGTCATAAATGGATGTGTGTGTGTGGTGGGGAATAGAGGAGGAGCTACTAGCATCTAGTGAGTGAGGGCCAGGGATGCTGCTAACATTCTACAACACAAAGGACAGTCCCCACAACAAATATATAATCCAAAATGTCAATAGGACTTAGAGAAATCCAACCAGGAAAATGAAGACCAAAAGCCTTCTCCAACAGATATTCTCCTTTTCCTTTTAATCTGCCCTTTTTGAGCTGGCCTCTCCAACCTAGCTGAATAAATCCCTTGTACCACAGGGAAAATGTTGGTTCTTTGCTCCTCCCTTCTTTGGAAGGCATCTGAAAATGATGTTCAAGTCCCATAAAGGAATTAGGAGACATGACTATATAGTGAGGAAGCCAGAAAGCACAACGAATTCATTCTCCAAAACAGCATGGTCATTTTGGCTTGTTAATCCAAAGTAAGTGTGATTTAACTGGTCGCTATCAATCATTCTGGCTTCTAGCTAAGCAGCTCCCCACTCCCAAATAGCTCTCAATATTCACCAGTCTTTAAAGAACTGCTCAGTAGGGTGCCAGACCATGATCATATCTTATAGGAAAGTGGTAATTTACCCTGGCAGTTCTTCTGAACATTCAAAGAGTCAGAGGTTGATTTCAGGAGATTTAAAAAGGAAGAAAACTGACAAAGAATAGTTTAGAAGATGTTAAATCCCATCCAGTCAGTCTCAAATTCTCTTATTATCTCTTAGATTTCTACAGCAGTTTGTAGTTGGAGAAGCAACTGAACAATACAACTGTACTGTGAAAAGGCAGAGCAAATATCATCATACCCCATTCTGGGACTGTGGCAAGGCCATAAGAACAAATTTCCCAGCCTGGGCCCACCAGCCAGGTTGGGAAGTTTGGCTTCTGTTCTGGCTGTGGACTTTCACTCATTTGCACCTTCATTGTGTAAGCATCTTGCCATCATGTACTTACAGAGGAGCTTATCACAAATTAGAAATTAAATGTCAGAAGGTAGACGAGAGACTGGAGAACTGTCTCTCCACATGGTGTATAATTGTATCTTTGTATTTTGCGTGTAAATTATATGCATAAGTTGATCTAGGCAAAGCATTTTAAAATGAAAATTCAGACCTTCATTTACAGAGCAGACTAGTTCATAATAATTTCCTTTTCCTGATTCACAAGCACCATAATTTATAATTACTAAACATTTGCCCAATTCTCCAGGGAAAGATCTACATACTATACATCAGGAGAGCAACACAGGAGAAATGAAACTAAAGTTTATGGCTTTTGCTTTCATGCACAGTAAACCTAGTTGTGTTCTTCTGAATTTATGGAAACCTCAGCTTTCTTAGCTGCTGTAGCTATCACTTATTTTATATGCTTATTAGGAAGGCACTAGCTGGGTGAAGCAAGGATTATAGAGGCGAGTACCCAGCCTTGGGGCACATGGAAAAACATCCACAGGGAAAGAGCCTATCTAATGGAGTAACTTAGGAAGAACAGTAACAAAAGGAAAAGGTAACTTCACCTAGGTCCTGAAAATGAGCAAGATGTCACACAAGAAGATAAAAGGAGATAGCACTTGACTGAAAGAACACAGATGTTCAGCTAATGCAGGAGCAGACAGCATTCTGGGGTTAAGTTCAAAACTAAAAAGCTACTTTTTTTTTTAAGCATCTTTTAAAAAAGCACCTATTCTACATAATTTAAAAGAAAACTATAGTTCCAGCTAAAAAAAACCCTGAACTCTAGCTCAATTGCAAAGTAGAAATGAGAAACAAGACAATCAGAGTGACCTTTTGACACAGAGTGTCCTCAGTGGAATTTGGTGGGAATTAGGGTTACAGGTTGAAGGAGTGCTCCTGGGCTTCAGTGCTGTCAAGGAGATAAGACGTTTTGCCCTCATTTCTCTGGGGAAGACCAATTCCTCTACTTCTTTAACGAGGTAGAACTATGACAAAACTTTTGGTTACCACTGGCTTCCCTGTACCAGAGTCAGTTCTCAACCAGGACTGAAAGAGTCTACTACCACAGGGTGTGCATCGGGCCATGGCCGCAAAGCCAAGAAAATTCTTTTTCTAGAAAATATGTGTGCCCTGTATGTCTCTACCCAAGTCACCATGATGCCCAAGCTCATCAGAAGCCTGGTTCCTTCCGCTGGGGGAGCTCAGCCATGAGCCTAGAATTCTGGGGCCAGATTCCCCTAACTGGAAGCACTGTCACCAGATCCAGACCTTGGCAGAGGCAGTATGCCTTGGCAGAGCCCTTTCAGGATGCCAGAGATGTGCAGATTTCGGGTGTTCACCAGGTCACTGAAAGGATATAGGGGGTATTCGCCCATATTCACACATTGGACCATCTGAGCACATCCTGGACGATGCAGACGAGTGGCGCAAGTTAGCCTGGCAGGAGTTAGCCAGCGCGCAGGGCCGCTCCCCAGAGCCAGGCCACTGCCCCTCCACGGACCACAGGTGGGCACAGCTCTACAGCCAGAAAGGGATGGGGAGAAGCTGAATTAACGCGACCAGGCGGAGCACGTGCTCCGGCTCACCGACCTCCCGGCGCGGAGGACAAAGTCCGGTCTGGTTGGTTCCAAGACTCGGGCACCGGGAGTCGGGGCTGAGACCGGCAGGGCCTGCGCGCGGCTCTGACTCAACTCCAGAATCTGCCCCAACTCCGGGCTCAGCCTCCCGCGACCCCCGCGCGCACTCACCATTGTGGTTGACCCAGGTCGGCTTCAGGAGCTTCATTGTTCGGCCGCCGCCGCCGCCGCCGCCGCCGCCGCCGCCGCCGGGCTCAGGCAAGAGCCGCTTCCCTCAGCGTGCCCGGGCCATGGAGCCACCGCTGCCACTTCCTCCCGCACCGCCCGCCCTCCGGCCGCCGCCCGCCACGTGCCCTCAGCGCCGCCGCGCCATTGCCGGCTCGCGCCCCCCGCCGCCGCCACAGCCGCCCCCCAAGTTCGGCCGCCGCCGGCGCCGCCACAGCCTCATCCCCTGCGCCGCTCCTCCTCCGGCGGCTCCCGGGCAACGCCGGAAGTCAGGGCGCGCACCTTCCAAATCTCCCCGGCGGGAAACCGCTCCCTGCGCGGATGGGGCCCACCGGGCTGTTCTCTGGCAGCGACTGGCAGGACAGCGGCCCTCCGGGTCCGACGCGGCGCGGCAGTCACAGGGGCGGCGCGGGCAGGGACCGATGGGGGCCAGAAGACCCCGGGTTGCATCCCTGGCCGGCTAAGTCAAGCGGGGTTGGATGACGTGGACGGTCTCTAGCCAGCCCTACCTCGCCGGCTCCGAGTCGACTAATTAACTAGCTTCCGTCATTCATCAACACGCGCCTGTCTATAGGGCAACTCGCGAGCGCCAGGCCACGTGCCAGCGTCGACATGTACACTTCTGCGGGCATGGGGGACCGGAATGCGAACGAATGCGGGTTGGGGCTAGGAGTTGAGCTGGGCCCTGGGAGGGTGCCTGGGAGGGCAGAGGCGCGCACGTTTACTGGAAGGCGGGGACCACTTTCGCAGACTCGGACACTGGGACCCAGAGCAGCAGATGCGCGCCCCTGCGTCACTGCGCTCTACAGTGAGGGGTCTTGGCCCTCGCAAAGGCACGGGCCTGTTATCTCAGTGGCACTGAGATAAGGGCTCAGACTGCAGCAGGATCAGGGGCCACACACGGTGCGAGGCGCTCGAGGGGTGCCCGCGCGCCACCGGGACGCCAAGGACTGTACTACGTGGGAGGCGGGGCCAGACGGGCTCTAAGCCGGAACGTGGGAGCGCGGGGCGGCGGGATTGGCGGACCTTAGCGCGGGGCACCGCGGGTCGGACAGCCGAGGGGCGCTCTCCCGGAAGCAGCCTTTGGGCTGTCAGAGGGGCAATGGCCGCCGCGGCGCTGGGAGCTTCCGCGCGCATTCTGCGCCTTCCAAGCTGGTGAGTGCGGATACCCGGGGAGTCAGGGTGCATAGGGCGCGCGCCGAAGTTTCCGTGTCGGCATGCCGGGCTCTTGTTTGCACTACTTCCCTGGCCATTCCTGCCCACGGAATTGTCTGGGATGAGTCAACTGATCGCGTCTTTTATTGTGCATGAAAATTCGATGACCCTGGAGAGCAGTGACCTTGCCCAGGTGCTCTCTGTTGCGAACGAGGTTTTGAAAAATCCACATTATTATGGCTGTCACATCCAGCAATTGCAGACTGGTTTTAAAAACATTGTAAAGCAACTTTCTCCCTGTATAATAGGGAAAATCATATTTATGCATACTCGTCTCTTTCAGGTTTATGGGGACTTGGCAGACACAGATTAGAAACACCCACCAGCGAGCTACTTTGTTGTCCTTCTGGGAACTCATTCCCACGAGGTAAACGCTACCATGGGCCTGACCCCTTTGAGGATGTCAGAGGAAGATAAATGTGTGAGTGAATAGTGCAGAAGGTTGTTTGCAAAGTTAAAGGCTGCAGTTTCTCGTCACATTTTGGCAGATTTTTTCTTTCAACATTCTCTACATGGAAATCTGCTGCCTGTAATTTAAAAAAAAAAGTAAAAGTAGGTTAAATAAATGTTCATTAGCTCTGATGTGATTCTTTTGTGTTTCTAAGGCACAACATAAACTTATGTTTCACTACGGGCCTTCCATTTCTGAGTCTCTGAAGAGATGGGGACTGCTATTGGTTTTTCCACCTAGGGCTCTGGATGCTTTCTAAAAACTTGATTCCTAAAACTTGGTCTTGATGCTACAGAATTTTATTTTCTTTGGTAAGTTATCACCATAGGAGCTGTGTTCCTCAGAGTAAATCAGATTTTTTCTTTTTTTTTTTTTTAAAGATTTATTTATTTATTTATACAAGCACTGGGTACAGTCAGAAGTGCAGGAGGGTGAGAGATTTCACCAGAGCCAGAGCCGGGAGCAGAACAGGCAGACTGACAAAATACACTGCTGAGGGAAGCAGTGGGCACAGCAGGAGAGGTCTGCACCCCATGTGGGACCCTTACTGGCAGGCCGGGAATCGAACCAGCGCTGCAGAGGCTGCTGGCAGCTTCGCAGCCCAGCATTCAACCGCTGTGCCACCAGGGAGGCCCAGATCAGATTTTTTCAATGCTCTATGTTGGGGAAATTTTTAAAGAAATCCCAACAAGTAAATAGTAAATAGTGACACACCAGTTACTTTTAATATAACATCTTATATTTATAAACCACAAATCCATTTAAAATGCGAGTAATTGGGGCCTCCCTGGTGGCATAAGGGGTTAAGCATCAGCACTATGAAGCTATCTGCAGCCACTGCAGCACGAGTTCGATCCCTGGCCGGGGAGGTGACCCACATGGCACAGCAGACCTCTCCTGACTCGCCCGCTGCTCCCCTTAGCAGTGCATTTCAGCCAGTCTGTCTGTTCTGTTCTCCACTCAGTCTCTGATGAATCCTCTCACCCCCCACACCTCTGGCTTGCACCCCAGTTCTTGTATGCATAAATAATCTTTTAAAAAAGTGTAAGTAATTAATCTGGTATTTTCACTTTTCAGTACAATGCCAGGACACAGCTGAACCTCAGCTTTACAGATGAACTTACCCTTAATTTTACTCTGACACCCCATGAAGCCTTTTCAGTCTTTTCTGGTTCTTACAAGGACCATGGGGTGAAGGATGTCACCCTGCCACACTGAGCTCATAAAGTCAGGCCCTTCTTTCCCCACTGGAAAGTTCAGTTCAAGTTTGGGACATTACACTTAGTGGCAAGTTCTTTCAACATGTTTGATAGAACGAAGAGGAAAATGTTTAATGTTTACTTTATCCATTAGAGCAGAACCACTGAAAAAGAAGAAGAAGGTAGATCCTAAAAAAGACCAAGCAGCAAAGGACCGTTTGAAAAAGAGGATCCGAAGACTGGAAAAGGCTAGCCAAGAGCTAATTCCCATTGAAGATTTCATTACCCCTGTGAAGTTCTTCGATAAAGAGAGGTAAGGGTCCTCTTGGCTTGAGATCCTCAGAGCATAGGAGTTCCATCATCTCCAGGAAGTTCTAGCTGCTGTTCATGCCTGTGATGGGAATTTGTGAGTAGGTTTGCATGGAGATTTAATAGGTTTAACCTGTTCTTACTCTTTCTCCTTTATTGTGTCTTGTGGCAACTGGAGAAAGCATATGTGGGTGGTAACTTTTGAATGGCTGAATGTGGGAAGGAAACTCAGAATAGTTGTTTGAGAAGCCAGGCCAAGTCAGCACTGCTCTGGAATTCACACTGTTTGTCTTTAGCAAGAGCAGTTTCAACTGGGATTGATGAGTAGGGCCTTGCTTGTGTCTTCAGCCTTTGCCCCACCTTGATGGTAGAAATCCATAAAGCATCTGCTGTATGATGCAAATGCTCATGGTTGGGATGTGTTGTATGCTAGGTTGTTGCCTTCTTGTAAAAAGTGTCTACCATTTAAAAGTAGCCATATAAGTGGGACACACATTGAGATTTAGATTTGTGGCTCCTGAGATTTTGGTGTTCATTTTTATAACACCATCTCACACTCATAAGTTACCTCTCAACAAGGTAATTTATGCCTGGGATAGATATGCTCCCAGACTCTGAAATTACTGTTTCTTGTCTCCATGGAGAGCAAATGACACTGGTTGCCAACATCAGCTGCAATTACTGCCACATTCAATAGTCCATTCCTTAATTTATCCCAAACTTGCACTTTCTTAAATCTCATCCATGTTTTGCAGTGGGGATGCATGAGTTATGAGTCACCCAGACTTCCTGGCTTGGAAGGTCAGTGCTTCACATCTTTGGGTTTATGTGTTCCCAGACAGCGACCCCAGGTGGAGCTCCCGTTTGAGGAGAGTGAGCGGAGAGCACTGCTTCTGAAGAAGTGGTCCCTGTACAAGCAAAAAGAGCATGAGATGGAGAGGGATGCCATCAGGTCAATGCTTGAGGCCCAGCAGGAAGCTCTACAGGAACTGCAGCTCACATCCCCAGAACTCCATGTGGAAGCCACCAAGAAGGACCCCAACCTGTTCCCTTTTGAGAGGGAAGGGCCAGATTACACACCACCGGTCTCCAACTATCAGCCTCCTGAAGGCAGGTACCATGACATCACCAAGGTGTACACACAGGTGGAGTTCAAGAGATAGAACTATAGACAGCTGTCCTCAGAGCATATGCTCTTGAGAACCAGAATGATGAGAGTTCAAGCCTGCTTGCCAGGCATTCAAGCGTGCTGTGAATAAATATGAGTTTAATTGTCTGTGTTTTATGCGTCAAAATTTACCTGATGATGCTTGGGTTGAGAGAAGCTACCCCCTTCTTGCCAGGTGCTGGAGAGAGGATGACCAAGATGCAAGCTACCTCCAGTAAAAATATTCCAGTTGCATGTTGCGGACTCTCTGGGTCAAAGTAACCCCAGCAGAGCAGAGGTGAAGCACATGCAGCTGTTGCTGACTGCACAGACTTGCAGAGAAGAGGCAGGGCTCTTCTGGTGGGACATACAGAGCACAGGAGGCCCTTGCAACATCAGCTAGCTTTGAGTTTTAAGTTGGAGAGAATGGAGCAAGCCAGGGACATCCTTGTTAACAAAGTTGCTGTGTCCCCCAGGCCTGACTGTTGCAGAGGGCTGTCTTTGTTCAAGTGCTTTTAATCTGGATTGGTATGTGTACTAGTGTACTGGGGCTGCCAAAATAAAGTACTAAGCTGCATGGAAGCTGCACCTTAACAGAAGTGTTTTTCACAGTTCTGGAGGCTTGAACTCCAAGACCCGAGGTGTTTCCAGGATTGGTTTCTCCTGAAGCCTCTCCTAGGCTTGTAGAGGACTGCCGCAGGTCATCCTGCCTCTATGTCCTTATTTGTCCTTATTTGTTCAATGAGAACACCAGTCATTGGATTAGAGCTCATCCTAAAGACCTTATTATAGCTTACCTTTTTAAAAAAGATTTATTTATTTATGCATATGAGAACTGGGATGTAGGCTAGAGGTGTGTTTGGGGGTGGGGGGTGGGGGGGGTGGATGGTGAGAGGATCCACCAGAGACAGAATGGGGAGCAGAAGAGGCGGACTGCTGAAATACACTGCTGAGAGGAACAGTGAGATAGGCGAGATAGGAGAGGTCTGCTGTGCCATGTGGGTCACCTCCCACTGCAGATAGCTTCATAGTGCTGACGCATAACCCCTTGCGCCACCAGGGAGGCCCTATACCCTATCTCTTTAAGGACCCTCTCCAAATGCAGACATATTCAGAGGTACAGGGGGTTAGAGCTTTGGCATAGAAATATGAAAAGACAATTCAGCTCATAACTGAAGTTCCAGTGTATGAAGAGAACCTTTTCTCCCAGTGACTGGCATCAGTATCCAGAAGAAATTTGGTTTTTTGTTTTTTTTTATATTTTTTACATCATTTTTCATTTTTCCACAATGTATGCATTTGGTTATATCATCTTGGTTATATTCCCCATACAATTCCCACCCTCCCTTATTTTGACCCTAACCCCTCCTCTGCCCCTCCCCCCTACCAACTTTGGGGTTTTTTTGGACAGATAAACCAGGGAAGCTTTTCAGTAAGAATTCAGATTGTTTTCTTAGTATTATGGTTCACTTTTTAAAAAACTCAACCAGCCCTGGATAAAAACTTTGCTTAATTAAGGACATTAAATCCCTTGGCTGTATTTATGAGATAGATGTTGAACACAGTCACTTTTCATAACCTCACTGCTACATTTTAACCTGTTCCACTGTAGCAGCCCATTCATATGCCCACCTGGGTACCCTAGCTCTTGTGCACAGCAGCCAGAGGGATCTAGAAAACACAAGTCAGATTGGACCTGTGGCTTTTTCCACCCAGATAATTGAATCCTGACCCAATTGCAGCTTTCACTCCCCGTCTCCCACACTATCAGCCTATAGCACTTGTTCCTCATGACCTGTTGTGGCCCGCTCTCTGCCTTGCAGGCTGTGAGCCTCATCTGGGTCAGGGCTCAGAAACTGGGGCCTTTCCCACCTCCCTGTCCATTGCAGGGGCTTGATAGTAGTGTTTTTGAAAAAGATATTCAGTCATTAGGTTGTATGATCAATTCAGTGCATCATGGCCAGCAGTTTAACTTTTTATTCTGAAGTAATTGTATAGTCACAGGAAGTTGGAAATAATCATACAGGGAGATGCTGTGTGCTATTCCCCCAGCACTACCATCTTTTACACCATGGTAGCACCAGTACCCAGAGACTAACACTGGTTCAACTCAGAGCGTTTTCAGATTTTATGTCTGCACTCACATGTTTAAATCTAGTTCTACATGATTTTACTAGCTGTATTGCTGTGCAAATACAACCATCACCACAGGACATCCTCAAGTACCCCTTTTCAGCCACACCCACGCCACCTTCCACTCATCCTTAACCCCCAACACTATAAAATGTTCTCTATCCCTATAATTATACCATTTCACTGAAGTTACACTTATAGAACCAGGTTATATGTATCCTTAAAATTTTTTTTCAAACAGCATAATTTCCTTGCATTTTGCCAAGTTGCTACATGTATAATTTACAATGGCTCAGATTTGCAAATGTCTGTGTATCACATGGTATACATACTGTTTTGTGAAACTTGTTTCAGTCAGTGACAGATGTTATATGTAACAGTATGTACCAGATGATTACAAAAGTTTAGTGTGACACTGCTCTATCTCATCAATGTCCATTTTCTTTACAGCGCTCAGCATCACTTTACACTTACTGTTTAAATGTTTGTCCCCCAAAGTACAGTTAGTACTCTAAGAAGGCAACTTGTCTGTTTCAAGACTGCAATCCCAGGGCCTCAAACCCTGCCATGTGTAGCAGGCACTCAGATATCGTGAAAGAGTAAACACGGGAGTGGATGCATGAACATCTACCCAGATATGATGATCTGTACATGTGGAACTTGTTGAATAGACTAGAAGAGATAACACTTCCTAACAGCACTCAGCAGTAGGCTGCCCCCCGCACTAAATAAGCAGATAACAGGAAGTATAGTTCCCTTGAGTGGGCCCCTCAGAACTGACTGCTGTGTTGGCTGCTGCTCACTCCTAGGCTTTTCCTGTATGCTTCAGTCATCCCCCGCAGCCCTCCAACCCCAGGTTACAATTCCAGGCATCCTGTGCAGTGGTACTTGACTTCCTGTGTTTCAGAGTGAGGAGAATACTTGAAGATCTCTTGTTGCCTTCCCCTCACTCCTCCTTAGCCAGAAATGCTAATGAAACCAGCTACAGCCAGAAGAGACACACCCTGGTTGGTAGGTGGACACATCAAGACTTGACCCCGCAATGGGGGTATCCTGACTTGTTATACTCACCTCTGCTTCTGGGGTCCTATGCACAAATACCTCTACCACTCACAGGCACATACACAGGCATTCTTACAAACAGGAAAAAACACGCATGAGAGAAAATTTTGTCTTTGGTGCATGCCCTTTGGAAGAGATGGATTAGTTTGTCCCCCCACCCCGAAATGAGTTTAAAGATATTTGACCCACAGTCTGTGGGCAGGTTGGGGCCCAGTCGTAAGGGAAATGCTAAGGAAGACACATGGGTTCCACTGCCTGGGAAGAAAAGCAGTGAGGGTGGGGGCCCACCTCTTCCTCAGCATCATACAATGGGGCCTGCTATGCACCCTAAGATGATAAATCATTTTATCAATAAAGAGACTTTTTTTTTTTTAATTTATTTATACAATAGCTGGGGTATTGGCCAGAGGCGCGGGAGAATGAAAGGATTCACCAGAGACAGAGTGCGGAGCAGAACAGGCAGACAGACGGAAAGCACTGCTGAGGGGAACAGCGGGCACGACAGGGGAGGTCTGCCACACCATGTTGGTATCTCCCTGGCTGGCTGCGAATCGAACCCATGCTGCAGAGGCTGCCAACAGCTTCACAGCGCTGTGCTCAACCTGCTGAGCCATCGGGGAGGCCCAATAAAGACAGACTTCTTTGAAAACTAGTTCTTGTTGGTATAGACGTGTATTTTAAAAATATCTACAAGAGTATGAGTATACAAAATTCTAAGACTGAGCACAATATTAGGTATGAAATCTAACAATTTTAACAATCAAATTGTGAATTTAATTTTCAGCTTATATTTGGAATCAAATACGTGAACTGATTTTTGATATATTCTGCATTTTCTAAAAAACGATCAGGGAAATTTTGAGGGAAAGAGATCAAAATTCTATGACTTGTGCTTGGGTTTCTTAAGCCAAGAATCCATTTCATGCAAACTTGCCTGTGTGTAGCTGTGTGCATTTAAAAACTATAGTCTCCAAGGGCTGTATTGTAAGGCTAGGCGTGCGGTGTGCAGGTCCAGAGGCCGACTGTATCTGCAGAGGAACTGTCATGGAACTCAGCTGACTGTCAGCACTGGCATTGCATGATCATTTTCAAGTCAAGAACCAGGAAAGCCGTTCGTTGTAGCACAACCATTTAGCATATTCTGCCCCTCCACGTCACCACACTGCTCAGGGTCACCACTCAAAAAGTTTACCTGAGGATTGTAGACCTCAGGACAACCATCTTTTGTGCTGTTGTCCCCAGGAGGAAATGTGATCCCACATGACTTGGAGGCTCAGAGACCTGCAGTGGTATTTGACTTCCTGGAAACGGTGCAGTGGGCACAACTATCTTTCAGATTATAGCAGCAGTAATCGCTTCTCGGCCTTTTGGCTAAGATCAAGTGTAGATTATAGCAGCAGTGGGGCACCCCCAGAGCAGTGAGGAGTGGGAAAAGAGGACTGCAGATGGAAGGCTCCATGTTTTAAGCTAGGTAGTAGCTCCCAGAGATCCATTAGACTGTGCCAGTCAAGAGTCCTTAGGATCACACAATAACCCCACTTGAAACTGACCAGAGGAGGTTGTGCAGGGGTACTCATCACTTGTCTTTCTCCTCCTGCAGCAGAGGGAGGTGCCAGTCTGTAGGAGGGCTCTGCCTTGGGGTCCACACCTGAGCGTGCTTCTGTGCAGCCTGGACTCGTGCACGTTCACTCTCACAGAGGGACCGCTGTACAAAGGAAACCATGGTCACTTCCTGCTTCATATGTGCCCACAGGGCCTGTATCCTCCTCTCTCTCGGCAACCTTCCAAACACAGATGGACACAGAGAGAGAACACTACACACCACTCTGAAACATGGCTACTTCCCTTTAATATGCCTTAGCAATTACTCTGTATTCACACACACAGATCTAGATCATTATTTCTCCCAAACAACTATGAAAAACTGCAGATCCCCATAATGTATGGAAAAAATTTTTATTGTTATTGAACTACCATTATTTTACATTCTTGCTAGTGTTTTGACAGTATAAGATTAACCTGCCCCCCAGGTATAGTCATCCACCACTGAAGCAGCCATCGTCCTCCATCATAGTTGTTGTGTTCCCCCCACCAACCCTGTTTTCACCCCAATATGAGGAAATTTTAAAATGTCTTCTCATAGGCCTCAGAGCTTGGCACTTTCAGTAATGAAGTTCACCTGCCACAGGGTGGGGGTTGAGTTGGGAAGAGGGCCAGAGTCCAAAAGAATGGCCAGCAGGGAGGAAGATGAGGCAAGAGACACATATCCAGGATTCCCTGGACACGTGAGGAGTCCTGATGACAGACAGCAGGTGCTGCTCAACCCATGGGCATCCCTCTGCCACTGTCTCCACCAAAATAAACACAAGACAAGTACATCACAACTGTGACAGGGCACTTGGGAGGTGCCAAGCATATAATGCCATCTTCTCTACCTGTCTGTTTTTGCTCAAACTATATTGTTTCAAATAGTATGTTTTTATTCTTATTTGAAAAGCTGTCAGAAGTGCAAAGTAGAATATGACGCCCTTCCCTATGATGAAATTAAGAGCTTCTTTGACACATTTTAGGTCCATATTTTAGATCTATAATATCTTTCTCTAGAGATGAAATAATCTGTTGGCTAAGTCTGCTTCCTGCTTTTTTCCCCCCACGAAGCAGTATGCCAGGGGAGACTACTACCTACATTAATGGTTATGTAGTACTGTACAGTGCGGGAGAAGTTATTTGGTCAAATGTCTATTAGTGGATGTAGAATGGACACTTTGAACTTTTAACTGTGCACTGTTACTCAATTACTTTCCTAGGATAAATTTTCAGAAGTAAAGCAGCAGGGTCAAAGGTATACATTAGACATTTAGATAAACAGGATACCAGACGTTTCACCAACACTGCACCAGAATCCGACTCTCCAATTTCCTATAGACACTTCGGAATTCATCTGGGCAGAAACTATCACTGTTGTTTTAACTTATATACCTTCCCATTTACTTTTCTTTCTGATCAAATTCCTTCTTCAAGCACTTTGCCCACTTTTCTAGTATGAAATCACCCCCATTTTTAATACTGAAATATGAGATATAGACATAAAGATTATCATTTCACCGTCATATAGGCTGCAAGCTATTTTCCTTCTTTTATTGTATTTCCATTTATCATGGATTTGTCGTCATTTTCATCTTATGTACAGCAGCTTGGTTTAACATTTAACAACTGTAGAAACAGCTGTCAGTCCTGCTTGCTCCCTTTCCCTTGGCACTTCCCATGGGTACTGCACCCTCACAAGCACCGCTCCATGCCACAAAAATGGCCTTCAAGCTGCCACAGTATTCTAGCATAGATGTTCTATTTTCATCATTCCTGTATCTCCAAAAGTGCAATATAAATACTGCTGAATGGCTGAACAATTACAACAGAACGACAGAAAAAAAAAAAAAAAATCATGCCTCCCAGCAAACGTTTGGGTAGAATTTAAATTCTTTGTAAGGTGCATCAGGTCCCTGGTTTCACTCCAACCTCATACCTTAAGCTCACCTTCCCTCTGCTCCAGGCATCTGCACTCCTCCACAGACCAGTTAATAACTCCTAACACTGTTAGGGGCCCCCCTGAGTCTCTCTACAAGTTACTCTACACCTCTTCCCCTCTTGCTGTGTCCTAAGTATTTAAAGGCATCTGAAAACCCAGTTGACATACTAATCTTTTCATTTCTCTAGAGGAGTACGGAGGGAAGGGGCTCCTGCCAAGGCGCCTCTCCAGAGCCCCCAGGGCCTGGCACTTGGGGAGGTGGTGGGTAGCCGGTGCAGCGAAGAGCCATCCGCTTCCCCGCACACCTGGGCGTCGACGCTCCGGCGCTCCTCCCAGTCTCGGCAGCTGATTAGGTCGCGTCGCCACTGCTCGCAAGCCGGCAGCTCGCCGTGGACGTAGTAGTGGTGCAGAAAGTGTCTGGCGCTGCGGCAGAGCTTCCATTCCGCGCGGTAGGCCTCGCAGGGGCGCGGCGGCTGCGGAGAGAGACGCGCTTAAGCTGGCGGGCGCTGCGCCCGGATGCAGGGGCCCCATGCAGTCCCCTTCCGGAGTGAGAGCTGGGTTTATCCCGACGGTGCTAAGAGGTCTCCGCGGGGCCCAGGTACCCAGGGCCCAGGTACCCACCACACTTACCTTCCAGCCGCCGTTGTCGGCCATGTCCAGGAGACTGCCGAGCCCACCTCCTGAGCCCCCTTAGGCAATGAAGATTGCGGAAAGCCAGAATTGCGTGACTGACGGGTAGACAACCAATGAATTCCGAGAAAAGGACCACTCAACTCCGCCCAGGGCCTCGTTTCTCGCCGGTGAGCAGAGGTCAGTGCTGGACAGCCAATTACAGCCGGGGGCGGGGACACGCGCGGGACTGGCTGCCGGCGAGGACTGGCAATCCACTGGTGCCCTGCGGCGTCCGGGGCAACCACACTATGGTTTCTGAAGCCACATGCTTCTGGCCACTTCTTCTTTTTTTTTTTCCTCTAAAGATTTATTTATTTATGCATACAAGAGCTGGGGACAGGCCAGAGATGCGGAGGGTGAGAGGATTCACCAGAGACAGAGCCCGGAACAGAACAGGCAGACTGACGAAATACACTGCTGAGGGGAGCAGTGGGCGACACAGGAGAGGTCTGCCGCACCTTGTGGGTTGCTCCCTGGCCGGATATCGAGCTCATGCTGCAGAGGCTGCGGACAGCTTCACAGACTGCGTCGTAACCCCCTTGCGCCACCAAGGGAGGCCCATTTCTGGCCAGTTCTTTTCAGTAACTTTGCTATTTTCATCTATCTCAAAGATCCAGTTCATCAGTGCGTGCATCCAGAGCATCCACTGCGTGCCCCGAAGCACTGGCTACAGTGTTCTCCTCCCAAGTGTCCACGCGAGGCAGAGATGAGCCTTACAAAGTAACCAGGTTTGGATTTGCGTGGAGTGTTGACAGCGGGGCACTAGGGTGCTGACAGATGTCCTGAGGGAACTCAGACTGGAAATGGGAATTCCAATCACAACCTCAGGCTGGTCAAAGGGTATGTGGCATTGGTTAAGGTGGGGGGCCTTTAAATCTGGGGATTACATCTGATTAGACCTGAAGGCTTCGTTCTGAAGGGTGGAGAGAGAATGGAACGTTTATAAACAGGAGAGATGTACAAGAGGCAATAAATACAAAGAGGACGCTGGGGGCCTGCAGAAATGTCCTGAATATTAGGAGGAACCCCGGTATAATAGGGTGACCATGCAGGGCCTAACTGTAACAATATAAACACAGTAAAGGGGAGGTTCCATTATTCCAGCCCTACCTAAGGAAGGGTGGAGCTGAGTGTCTAGAAGCTAGAAAGGACTGGGGAGAGAAGCTGGGAGAGACTGGGAGAAGAGACAGTGGGGCAGACATGTGAAGGAGGGCGTGCTTGCTTCTCATCTTTGGACTTGCACCAGGGACTTGGAATAGAAATGTTTGCGGATGCCAGAGTATCCCTCAGTCTACCTACCAACACCCCAACCCTAGGTTGGTCACAGAGCCTCATTTATATTCTTCAGAAGTCTCTCCAGAGGAGCTCATTTCTACTGGGGAACATGGAAGGAGACACATAAAGCCAAGACATATAGAAGACTTCGGAAAAGCCATGGGTGAGAGAACAGTAGGGAGACTGACAATGGCACCTGTTACTTTGATTTGCACTCCGATTTGCTCCTTTCATTCCAGACTTGCCTGGCTCTTTCTGCCCCTTTCCCATTTCCCACCAGAAGGTGCCTTAGACTTGTGGTAAGTTTTCAGGTCTCAGTGGTCCTGCTTCAAGCCAACCCTCTTTGGCTGGGCATTGACCTATAGGAGGATGGGTAATTTTGGGTGTTTCATTGAGAAACTATATACTTTCTTCTCTGTGTACACTGTTGTATTAAAGTTCTTTAACACTAAGGGTATGCTTTGTCTTTATGGGGTGAATGGCAGAACTAGCAGAACCCATTTATTTTATTTTTTTAAGATTTATTTATACATAGAAGAACTGGGGTCTAAGCCAGAAGTGTGCGGGGGTGAGAAGATTCACCAGAGATAGAATGCGGAGCAGAATAGGCACACTGACTGAAATATACTGCTGAGGGGAGCAGCGGGGGAGACAGAACAGGTCTGCTGCTCCCTGGCCGGGGATTGAACTTGTGCTAGAGTGGCTGGCAATAGCTTGACAGTGCTGAGACTTAACCCCTTATGCCACTGGTGAGGCCCTGGCAATACCCATTGGGAGTGTGCATGTTAGGGCGTCCCCGAGTATCCCTCAGTTTACCTACCAACATAACCACCCCAACCCTAGGTTAGTCACAGAGCCTCATTTATATTCTCCAGAAGTCTCTCCAGAGGAGCTCATTTCTACTGGTAGGTTGGAACCAGGGGCACATACAAGCAGACCTTCTTCCAAATGCTGCTTGATGGCCCAGCCACCAATCCATATTGGTGCCCAATCAAACACCGGGAGGCAATCCAAATTTTAGTCATTGCCTATTTTTTATTTCAAGGAACAAGAGATTAAAAGAGACAAGGATTAATGTCAAAAGATCTCATAGGAAGTGAAGATCTGAGATGAAATTAACACTAATAAAAAACAAGGACAGGTCAGCAGAACTTGGATAATTTAATATATTAAAACCGGGATGGAGGTGGGGAAGGAGAAAGAGGAACGTATCTTTAGTACTTATTATTCTAATATTAACATTTGTGCTTCACCACAAAGTTTTTACCACGAAACAGTTTCATTAAGCAGCAAGTTATTTCCATACAAAATCAAAGTTAAGGTGGAAACACATTCAGATCAGTTTTTCCTTTTGAGGAATATTTCTTCTGGGGGAAAAAGTCAATGTGTCAAATAAAAATAGAAACACCCTCCCTTAACTATTTAAATTGCAACCAGAGTAACAGGATTAACACTGTAGAATAAGTGTTTAAACTATTTTTTTTCAGTTTAAACCATTTTTTTCCCTATGCCAAAGGCAACAGCTAAGCTACAGACCTGGAAAAAGAAAGAATAAATGAAAAAAAAAAAAAGAGAACAACTCAAGTTTTAGCAATTCAATTCCTTCCATTGATTTTTATCAGGAATTGGGGAACTCGGTTTCTGCTTAAGCAGTAAAAGTGCCCCTAGAGCTGAAAGGAAGTGGCGAGGAGGAGGCCACCTCTGAGATATGAGATTGCTTTCTCTTTCCCAAGCACCCAACTGTCCAGTCCTGCTGTTCTACTTCAAATTCTTAGGCAACAATAATTCTTAGGCAACTCTAAGCAAACCTATAGTAAGTAGCAAAGCATCCTCATAGGGTCTTATCCCCATCAGAGCCAGTAACTAAAAGCCATAATGTTGCAATTGATTCTTTTATTTGCCTATCAGCCAACTATTGCAATTTATGGCTTTCTTCCCTTTTTACGCAAGGATTGTCCTTCTCCAGAGAAAGCGACAAATCTGCCTCCAGCTTCATCCTAGATGTAAAGATAAAATACTATTTTCAGCATTAAAGTATTAATACTTGAAGATTTAAAATAAATGTTTGTTGAATTGTGAACCACCCACCCATTTCCCTTACTTCCACATCACTCATAAGAAATGTCTCTGAAATATAAATACAAGTCATAACTATTGAATCGAAAAACAAAATCACAGTACACAACTACAAATCTACCACACAGCCGTTATTCTCAGTTTGAATGTATATCCTTTTGTAAAAGCATCATATTTTCAATCTAAAGAAAAACATGAAATACACCTCCAAAAGAAAATTTTACCACCCAAAAATAACATTTCCAGCCACTTTCCTGTATGTGCTTATATAAACTATTTTCATACTTAATTCCCAAGTTTCAAGTCAATGAATTTCTTATCTGGTGCACTCTCAAGGCTACAGAGATGTGGAACCAGTCTTCTGCCCATGAACATTACTTCCAGTTTACAGTATTATAAACTGCTATAGTCAGCAGCTTAATGTATTGCCTACAGCAGCTCTGACTGTTCCTAGACATGGAATTCCTTGGTAAATGGATGCACATATGTTTAAGGCTTTTGATATATGGTGACTGACTAGCTCTCAGAAACATTCTACCCAGCTGTTCTCGCACCAGCAAAAAGATAATTTGTTTTTTCTGAACCCTTGAAAAGAGCTTATATTTTTTCATGTGCTTGGTTGCTAGTCAATTGGAGGTGTTTTCTATGGAAGAGGGTTCCTCACTCCCCCACATACACTCCTGCATCCTCCCCACCCCATGCAGCTGGTGCATGAGGGGCTAGAGAGTCTTGACAGACTTTAACATGGCAACCATCATGTGAATGTTAGCCGGTTAGCCATTCAGTTCTCCTTTCCTGCCGAGCCTTCAGTTTGTCCGACTGTGCCCAACTGTGTGTTGCCTCTCCTGCATATGTTTAATCACATTGGAACAGTCCCATCAATTTTGTCACTAAAGGTATGTCCTCTGGGGCCTGCAGATTGTGCTGCCTGAATTGGTCATACTCTCATCTCAGCACATGTATTTCAGACTCTCTGTTTCTTGGATTTAAGACTATCTTATTTCTTACTCTACCTTATTATAGTGGGATAAATCCTCCAGTAGCTTCCTGAGCAAGGATGCATGAGAAATGTCTTCGTGAAATCCTACATGTCTGAAAACACACTTTTCAAATCAAACATCTTCCTGATAGGTTGGTTGGTGTAAATTGCTAGGGCTGCCATAACAAAATACCAAAGACTGGGGGGCTTACATGACAGATACTTCTTTCTTTCTTCCTTTTTTGGGGGTCAGTTTTATGGTTTTATTAGTGCAAAATACTCACACATGATCTGTTTATTCATTTTCTTCACTGCACAGCCTGACATGGGATTGGTGACTCTAATGGCCACCGGGCTGCTCTTTCCACGTTGGCTTTGTGGTTCTGACAGAAAGTTATGAGCAATTTTAGCACAGTAAGATCTGTTGCACATCAGCAGCATTTTGAGCTCTCTGACATTGTGCACCAGGAGCTTCCAAAAAGCCACTGGGCAGCACATACTTTTGTTTTCTTCTTGTTTCAATAACCAGTCTTGGGTATCAAGATCTGGCCCTTAAGTCTTCTATGTACCCTATTATCAAGCTTGATTTTGAATTATTGTTCTGACTGGTGCTGGATGAACTTGTTGATCCTCTTTTTGATGATTGTGGGCTTGAAGAAGGGTCTGAGGGCAGCCATGATGCCGAAGAGGAGATGGCTGCCACTTCTATCGGCAGCACTGAGGAAGTGACAGGTATTTTTTTCCTCCCAGTTGTGGAGGAATTGTCGAGGTGTTGATAGATTTGGTTTCCTCTGAGGCCTCTCCTCGGTTTGCAGAGGCCTGCCTTATTGTTGTGTCCTCACATGGTCTTTTCTCTCCCCTCATAAGGACACCAGTCAGGTTGGATTAGGGCCCACCCTAGCAGCCTAATTTTACCTTAATTATGTCTGTAAAGGCCTGAACTCCAAATGCAGTCACATTCTGAGTTGCTGAGAGTTAGTGCTTCAACATAGGAATTTAAGGGGGGCAAAATTCAGCACCACAAGGCATGGACACAGAATTTGTGGAAGATTCCTCTCAGAATTTTGAAGACAATGCTTCACTATCTCTTAAATTCCTATGTCCTGCTATGGTGAAGATGCTTCCCCCACCCGGAAGCTTTCGCATCTTTTCTTTGCCTCAAAGTGGAGTTTTGATACTCAAACAGGCCTTCTCTATGGAAACACAGAGGCTTGTAGTTTGGGGCAATTATTTCCCTTCAGTTTCTCTAATTACTTTTCAGAACTCTTATGACTTGGAAGTGTGGAAGGTTTAGGGACATTCTGTGACACCTATTCCTGAAGACGAACTTCCAGCCATCTCCTGCAGTGGAGGCAGTACAGGGCTGGGCGAGAAAGGATGCTCAGGTTCTAAATGCTTTGTGACAAACATTCCATCTTTAATTCCGCATTTTCAGAGGTGTCTTCTCAGAGCTCTGCCATCTAAACCAACTACCTCTTGACTTTCCCCACAGCAGGCTCAGGGTGCAGTTTCCATAGTCTATGAAGTCAGTTACCACTTGTCCTTTTGACCTGGGGTTACCAAAGTTTTGTTGCAGTTGCTTCCTCTCCTCTTCCACTGTCTTTATTACCTTGTATCAAAGTTTTTCTCAGAGCTAAGTATATGCATCTAATCCCATTTTCTATCATTCACTCTTCTTAAATTCTCTTTATGGATAACAGTTGCAGCTATGCCTGTCAGCCTTATCTCCTTTCATGTATCTCTAACAGATGAGTCACAAGTCAGTCCTGCTAAGGCCACTAGGCCTGGAAAGGGCTCAAACAAGCAGTCAGAGGGTGAATTCAGATTGAGGACCACATTTGATCCTCTGAGCCTACAAGATCCCCAACACTATGTCAACTCAAAGAACTTTAAGGCTAGAAGGGGAGAGTAGAGCTGGTAGCATAGAGGTCTCCATCTCTGACCACCCGAAAGGTAAAGGAAGAGAGTGATGGTTGGGAGGGACAGTGACAGCCCTGTAGCAGGATATGGCCAGTGACTGGTCACAACTGGAACCCCATCCTGAATCCTGAATGGTTCCTTGCATATCTACCCTCAGCCCTCCTCCTAGATCCCCCAGAACTGGAGTCTTGCTGAAAAGGAACCAGGAAAGCAATGGGTCTGACGTATATATATTCTAGAAATATACAGCACACAGCAATGGCTGTGTTCCAGCCATGGCTGTGGAGCATAAAGGGCACTGTTCATGAGGGCATGCTGGATTTTATAAGGCAAGTTCCAGCACCTGTAAGAAATGCCCACAAAGTGGAACCATCTCTTTGTTAACCCTTCTGCCTGCTCACTGCAGCCTTCCCTTCAAGTCAGAGGGGCATGACTTGGGTCAAGGGTTGGGCCATCTCCTCAGAGATCAGTGGAAGTTTTTGGAATGTGGTGAAAAGGAGGTGGTTGTGCAGTGGTCAGGGGCCCTGCACCTGTATCCTTTAGTCTAAAGTATGGGTACCATTGGTAGGTGATACCAGGCTTTGGCCTGTACATACCTACATAACTGCACAGCCTCTACAATGTAATCAATGCCACCTGGGAGAGAAGTGCCAACAATGGGGGAATAGCATGACAGTAACACCCTTCCTCAAAATGGAAAGAATTCCCTTAGTCCCAATACTAGCAAATAAAGCTTCTCATTACCCATGAAATAAACTTACCTCTTCAACCTTTTTGACCAGTGGTCGTGAATTTCTGATGAAAGTGATCTTACCAAGTTTAAATTCATAATTGGGAATTCCTCTGTAAAGAGAGGAGAAATGTTAGTTTAAAATAAAAGAAATAAAAGACTAAAATTCATTTTTAACCATGATGCTTTTGGGGCCTCCTTGATGGTGCAAGGGGTTAAGGCACAGTACTACGAAGCTTTTGGCAAACACTGCAGCATGAGTTTGAGCCCCCGGCCAGGGAGCTAACCCACATGTGCAGCAGACCTCTCCTGTCTTGCCGACTGCTCCCCTCAGCAGTATATTTCAGTCAATCCGACTGTTCTGCTCCCTACTCTGTCTCTGGTGAATCCTCTCACCCCCTACACCTCTGGCCTACACCCCAGCTCTTATATGCATAAATAAAATAAATCTTGGGCCTCCCCGGTGGCTCAGCGGGTTGAGCAGAGCGCTGTGAAGCTGTCTGCAACCTATGCAGCGTAGGTTCAATTCCCGGCCAGCCAGGGAGATACCCACATGATGTGGTGGACCTCTCCTGCCTCGCCCACTGCTCCCCTCAGCAGTGTTTTGTCCGTCTGCCTGTTCTGCTCCCCTCTCTGTCTCCAGTGAGTTCCCTCACCCTCTTGCGCCTCGGCCTGTACTCCAGTTTGTTTTTTTTTTTTTAAAGTTTGAGAATTTTTTTTTTTTTTTTAAGATTTATCTATTTTTATATAAGAGCTGGGGTACAGGCCAGAGGCATGGGAGGGTGAGAGGATTCACCAGAGACAGAGCAGGGTGCAGAACAGGCAGACGACAGAAGTACACTGCTGAGGGGAGCAGCGGGTGCAATAGGGGAGGTCTGCTGCACTATGTGGGATTCTTGCCGGCCGGCCGGCCGGGATCGAACTCTGACAGCTTCACAGCGCAGAGCTCAACCCATTGTGCCACCGGGGAGGCCCGGTACCCCACTCCTTGCATACATAAATAAATCTTTAAAAAATAATAATAAAATAAATCTTAAAAAAAAAAAAAGATGCCCCTTCTTGGTAACTCGTGCTCAGAGGTCCATGGCTGTGCCCCATCCTGGTCTTGGAGCTGCTCTCTGGTACAGCCCAGCATCTCTTTCAAACTTAAGCAGAAAGCAACTGGGGGAGAAGCCTGCAAATTCTAATGTCACCTAGAGACCATCTCTGTCCTCTAGCCTCACAGATCACCCCAAAAGGGGAGCAGCGGGCGAGACAGGAGAGGCTTGCTGCACCCTGTGTGTTGCTCCCTGGCTGGTCAGGGATTGAACTCGTGCTGCAGAGGCTGCAGATCGCTTCATAGTGTGGTGCTCAACCCCTGTGCCACCAGGGAGGCCCCTTGATCAGTTATTTGAAGTCACAAAGCAGGAAATAGGCAAATTACTAAACAGGAACCAGAAAGGTTTTAAGAAGGTAAAAGGTCTTATCAGGTGCTGTAACAGGAGCCACCATGGTTGCTGAGAACTGCCTTAGTGACTAAGTTTGAGGGCCAGCCCAGGCAGGAGCCATGGAGAGAGAGGCCTGTAGCACATGTAGTCTGCCAGCCAGCCCTAGCACTCCAACTGCCTGCTTTAGCTGCTCAGGTGAGCATCTGACCCAGCTGAAACCCGTCAGTTGCAATGAGCATCTTGGCCTTTTGCACTACCAGAGCTGGCTCAGATGTAGGGCCCACTTCTAACATGAGGTCACATGACCTCAGCATAGGTTGGGTCTGGACAGCTGGCCAGGGTTTCACTTATGAATATTGTGCCAGAATTGTAGACAATCAGGTTTGAGCTCCCAATGGACCAAGCAGATTCAAACTCACATCAGCACTCTTCCAGTCTTTTGAGACCATTCGGGATTTTTTTTTTAAAGATTTATTTATAGAAGGACTGGGGCACAGGCCAGATGTGCAGGAGGGTGAAAGGATTCACCAGAGACAGAGCAGGGAACAGAACAGGCAGACTGACAAAATACACTGCTGAGGGGAGTAGTGGGTGAGACAGGAGAGGTCTGCTTTGCCATGTGGGATTCTTGCTGGCTGGCGGGGATCGAACCCACGCTGCAGAGGCTGCGGACAGCTTCACAGTGCGGCGCTCAACCACCTGCACCACCAGGGAGGCCCCGAGACCATTCAGGGTTGTAAACAGACCAATATGATTGGAACTCCATCACCAATCAAACAGCTGCAATTGTAAATGGACTAATCGGGCTTGAAAAGTGGAGACTCTGAAAAGGACATAAGCAAGGGGACAGTAGCCAGCTTGACCTCATTCATCAGATGGCTTCGGATCAGATTCACTGGGACTCCTAGAAAGACCTTCCCAGACAGATTCCTCCCTATAGATCTTTGTAGAGACCTGACCACTGCACCTTCCTCCAGCCCTGCCTCTGACATCACTGGTTGAGAGCACTGTTGGCCAGTGTCCGGTGTCTCTAAAAGAGTTGTCCGCTGTTGGCATAAGTCCAGCATCTCTAAGATCTGTTTGCCATTGGCACAATGGCATTTCTAAGAGCCATAATACTGCTTACATCTGGCGCCATCACCTGTTTATTGGTGCTGACTGGCACTGCTGACCTGTGTCCAGCCACTTCTGAGAGCTGTCCACCACTTCTGATCATCCAGCATTAGCTCCTGGTGCTGTTACAACCAGCATGTCTGGTTTGGTGTCTGGTACTGTCCAGCCTAGCCTGCAGACTGCTGCTATTGGCTGCTGTGGTGTCACTTCAGCAGACCCACCTGTGATCACCTTAAGCTGCCACCATGAGTTGGATCCTTGTCCACCATGTACTGGTGTGCCATCAGCCTCAGCGCCATCTTGCACAAGCAGTCTTTGTTTTGGAACAGTGGACACTACAGACATTATCTGGGGATTTAGCTACTTATGGCCTTAAAACTTGTTCCTTTTCCCCAATCTCCCCTTTGTTTATAAAATCTATTGTTACTGCACTCTGAGCCTAAGTGCTGACTTGCAATTATGAGTGCATGGGTGAGAACTCACAGTGACCTAGGCTTAGCACTGCTTTGAAGCTACCTGGAGAATAGAAGAGGCCAGATTGGAGGCACAGAGGGATGCTGGAAGATAGCAGATCTGGGGAGAGGGTAGTGAGAGGAGACAGGAAGGCAACAACACTCTTCTTTTGGGAAACAAACCCTAGGCAGACTTTCCATTCCTCTTACCAGCCTGTCTGAAGCAGGCTTTGTTTCCAAAGTTGCAATGAGGCTGCACCACCCTGGCACAGGGGCCTGACACGAACCCTCCCTAGACTAGAGGAGACAAAGTACCAGTTGGGAGCAGAGCAAAGGGTAGACCCACCTTTTAATGTCTCCAGGCTTGATTGGGGAGGGGCTGGGCTCCACACCTTTCTTCTTCCCATCTAATCTGTTCCCGGAGCCAGAGAAGGCCTAGATGGGCAAATAGGACAGTGTGCACAGGCTGACCACTGAGAGAGAGCATGCAGGTGCCTTCTGAATCAGAGACAACTTCATGGCTATGTTCTGGGGGTGCCACCCCACTCCCTTAGGAGTAAAGCCCTCACTGCTCAGTAGCTGCAGTGTGAGCAGCCCAGCACTCCCTGCCCGGCCCCACTGGGGTCAATTAAGAGTTCAATGGAGCCCCTGGCCAAGGACATCCAGCAACCAATAAATTTGGGGTTTGGTCCCAGCCCCTTGCAGGTCACTCAACTCAGTCCTGGTGTGTGGGTTAAAGTGTCCATTCCAATCCCTATTTTCTGTTTCCTCTGCTGCCTCCCAGCCCCCACATCAGCCACCTCCATCTGTTTCCCAAGGAGAGAATCATGTTGCAACAGTGCGGGAGAATCATGTTGCAACTAGCTTCCAAACAGTGCAAGAAAAAAAAAGGGCAAGTTTTTAGACTGCCATAAAGCAAAAGTAGCCATATTCAGTGAATTTATGTGAAGAGTATGTATGTCTATTGTATTACTTTAATTTTTGGTAGGTTAGAAGTTTTAAAAAGAGGAGGAAAAGGTTGATGCTGCCTTATAGAGTTGTTGGGAGGGCTGAAGGAGAAAGTAGATGTGAAGAGGTTTGGTAATTGAGAAAGAGTCAGATATACATGTACATGGACACCCAGAGGTCTAATCCCTGCTAAGGTCTCCAGATTATTATAGAGAATGCCTGGGAGTAGATGGTATGGCAGGAGCACCTAAGTAAAAAGTGTTTCCTGGTACTCACACGGAAGCCAAGCTCTCCTGCATAGCCACTATGGTCAGCTTCACCTTCCTGACAGGGAGACAGAAAAAAGGAAGATGAGGTTCCCAGCAGGGACAACCCCGTTTTCCCTTGGGCCTCTCATTGCCATTGCTGCTCTGTGCTCCAAGTGCTGGAACACATTGTTCCCTGACACAGAAGCAGAGAAGATGATCATGCAGACACCTGCTGGCTGGACACAGCCAGGATACATTCCCAAAGCACAAAGACTGGGGCTGGCGAGGACTGTTGGAGAAATGACTTACGGTTGACTCCTCATGCTGGACTTGTCTTTCAGGTTCTTTGTAGCCCAGTGGAGCATCAAAGTCCACCTGTGTGCCCAAGATGGAAATTCTGAGACATGGCCATAATTAGGCTGTGTTAGCTTTTCTGGTTTTAATGAGACAACTGTGGGTTCATAGACACAGTGTAAGAAATTACTTGTACACTTTGCTCATTTCCTCAGTGTTAAAAGTACTATGAACACATATTCATTTGCACGTGTGTATGTTAAGTTCTCATAGTTTTATCATCAGTGTAGGTCAGTGTCTCCAATCCCCCAGCTGAGGTACTTTAACAGATTCAACACAAGGATCCCCTACATCATTTTCACACCCACCTCTCCTCTGGCCTTCTCTTCCACCCCTTACCTCTGGCAACCACTACACTGTCTTCCAATTCTAAAGTTTTGTCATTTCAACTTTTCCATTTCAATGGAACTGAACAGTGTGTAGCCTTTTAGGATTGGCTATTTTTGCTTAGTATCATTCCTCAGAAACACACCAGAATGCACTGTGTACCAATAGTTACTTCTTATGTAGGAGCTGAGGCTTCTTTAGCTTTTAAGAATATCCTTTCCTCATTAGGTCTGAGATGCTAGTGGATTCAGCCATCTCAGAACTGGCAGGAACTCTGCCACCTCCACTGGTTCTAGGACACATTGCAAGGTCAGTAGTCTTGCTACAAAATTCTGGCAGCATCTTCCTCTTCTCTCACCAAAATAGTCCCAGGACCACATGACACCCTCCTGAGCATTGGTCTTGCAAGAAATACTATCCATCTTCCCTGGTCCCAAGAACACTGTAATTGGTGAACGCACTCACATTCATGTCACACTCAATGATGGACACGGCCTTGTCTGGCTTGGTCTCCATCACCCGCAGTTCATAGATCTGTAAGAACAGACAAACCGGTCAACAGCTCTGTGGCAGCAGTTGGGACTGTATTCATCCATGTTGTTGAGGCTCCTCACCTAGCTCATGTAGACACAGCATTCATCTCCACAAACCGCACCGCCCCCCCCCCCAATACCTCTTGCCGCAACAATGCAGCTGTGGGAAGCGGTGCCCTTGATGCTCATCACAGAGGCTGTGGCTCAAATGAGGTATGGCAGTTAAGCATTGACTTCCAAAAGAGACAAACTTTAACTCAGAAAGTTTACTTCTAGGAATTTACTCTCAGTAAATAATTAGCTAAATGTCCAAAACTACAGTGATCACATGTACATTCAGTTTTATTCATCTTCTATTAAATATTGAGGAAAATTTAGAATTGAGCCTTTCTCCTTTACTTGGATGACATGCCACCTAGTGTTGAGGGTTTTTAAACAGTGGACTATTCAGACTGTTTATTATTAAAGCAAGACATACTCTAGGTGAAAAGAATGTAGAACAATGCAGTAAAGGGTGTGTTCTACCACTTTTGGTTTCTATCCTTCTGGGCTTTATTACATTCTCATTACATACATGAAAACATTCTAGATATACAGAACAAAATTGGTTTTTAACTTACTTTTCTACTGGCTGCATAGTATTCCACTAAGGATTATAATTTATTTATATATGAATAGATTGAATTCATTTAACCAATCTAATATGCATATGTCATTTTTAGCAATGCAGGCATGTGTATTCTTACAATTTTCTTGTTGTACATTTAGTTAATTGTTTAGTTAGATTGACTTTCATGGAATTTGACTTTCTCAGGAGCTCTAATACCTCTCTTCAGTCTCAGTTTCCATGGCTTTGCTTCTGTGTGCAGAATTATTATTTCTCCAGCTTTCATTTCATTAATTCTCTTTTAGCAACTAACTCTTTGACGTATTAATAAATCTTCCTGGTTATTTTTTGGTATTTCTTTGTTGCTTATTCATTTTTATGATTCCTTTTTTAAATTTCTTTGAACATTTTCTACATAGTTATATTTCTTAAAGGGTCTAAAACTGCTTTTTTCATCTCTGCTTTGGGAGTCTAGCATTTTTATTATGAGTTCCTATTTGTTTGTTCAGTATATAGCAATTTCAAGGGCTTGATGAAACTGGCACTGCTTTTCCCAAAGGGAATTTGGGTTCCTTCTCCTGGGATGCGGAAAGTATCCATATCTGAGATTATTTTGGTCCCTGAAAGGGTCCCAGTTAATGCAGCAGATTCTGTTTCAGATCTCCACTAAGCACTGACATGGCCATTTGCCCTACCATGATTCATTTTTTTTTTTAAAGATATATTTATGCATACAAGAACTGAGGTGTAGGCCAGTGTTATGGGGGGGGGGCGCGCGGTGAGAGGATGCACCAGAGACAGAGTGGGGAGCAGAACAGGCAGATCTACTGAAATACACTGCTGAGGGGAACAGCAGGTGAGACAGGAGAGAGGTCTATTGTGCCATGTGGGTTAGCTCCCTGGCTGGGGATTGAACTCATGTTGCAGTGGCTAGCGAGAGCTTGATAGAGCTGTGTGTTTAACCCCTGCACCACCAGAGGCCCTGCTGCCATGATTCTTGATGACATTCTGTATTTCTTTTTTAAAATTAATTAATATATATTTTATATTATTGTTCATTTTTGTACAGTGTTTGCTTTCTCCTGTCAGGTGTAGTTTCCGTAAAATTCCCACCACCATTTCACCAGTGAACCATCACCACAATCCCCTGTGGTCTTCCCTCCCCTGTTTTGTTCCCTTTTTCTCCCCCTCCTTACTTTGTGTATTTCTTGTGAGCCCAACAATGCACTAATAATCTAGGTTTTATTCTGATCTAACTGGGCTTTATCAGAATACCCCTTTAGCCTCCCTGGTGGTGCAGGGGTTAAAGGCAACACTATCAAGCTGTTGCCAGCCACTGCTGCAGCATGAGTTCAATACCCCGCCGGCCAAGGAGCAACCCACATGGCGCAGCGGATCTCTCCTGCCTCGCCCAATGCTCCCCTCAGCAGTGCATTTCAATCAATCTGCCTGTTCTGCTTCCCACTCTGTCTCTGGTGAATCCTCTCACCTCCCACACCTCTAGCTTACACCCCAGTTCTTGTATGCATAAAAATAAATCTTTAAAAAAAAAAAACCTTTAGAAAATTACCTAGTCTTTCAAACTTCCAAAAGTAGAAGTCCAAACTTATGTTTCAATTCTATATATAATTTATAACTCACTTTCCCTTTCAGTGCAAAAATTTCAATTTTATTTTTTATCATCAACTTAAGAATTATATTTAGCATCATTGCCTTAATATTAAAAACAATAACATTTAGGCCTACAATTAATTATGAAAGCTTAAAGTATTCAGTTAAGGTAGATAATACCTAAAATGTTCCCCACAAGGCTAAAGGAAATGATTATTTCTTAGTTTATCAAAGAAATGTTTGGTTTTAATCCTAAAAAAATTGAAAAATAAGTATTCTCAGTATCAGATGCCTCAAATTTTGTAGAAGGAAAACTGCATTGACCCAAGGGAAAAACTTGATTCCTGCTCTTGGAGGGTCTGTCTGGACTAAGGCTCCTGTGAGCCCCAGTCCTTGAGGGGACAAGACAGTACACAGAAGAAGTGGGAGTTGCCTCAGGGAAAATTAAATCGGGGAGATGGTCACTCCTGAGCACTGGGAGGTTCACCCTGGCAGCAGTTCCGTAGTCTGTGGATGAGGGCCACCTACACTGCTGAACCCCATGCCTGTGATGGGATTAGTTATTGGCAGGAGTGGCAAATATTTCATTTTCCTTGAGAAGCACTGCCATAATAATGAATTTTTGTGGATCTGCCAATTAGGCATAAAACAAATAATACACAGAGAATGAGATATGGCATTTTACTTTATAGCTACATTGTCTAGCTTTAGATAGCTAAGAAATATGGAATCATAACTGAATGTAAGAGGCACTCAGATCTGAAAGACTCGTGTCATAAAGAGGTAACCCCAAGGGAGCTTTGGAAAAACCAAAGCTACAAAAAAATAGGAGGAAAAGCATGTGGGGTCTATGAGGAGGGGACCTCTGCCAGCACTGTCCCCAGGCAGAGCAGAGCTCTGCCTTCTGGGTATGTGGCAGGGCTCAAAGCACTGCAGGGCCAACTCCGAGAGGGCCTGTCTACCTCCAGGGCTGGAACTGCAAGGACATGGATCTAGGCTGGTTCATTCCTGTGTCTTCAGAGCCCGGGAAACGGGCTTACTTACATTTTACATTCGGTATTTCTAATGGAGACACAGAATTGATACCCTGTCACCACGATATACAGTAAGGTATATTAGAGCTCAATCACGTGTAAATGTAATCAATCAATTCTCAGAACAGATTTGTGGAGTGATTAGTGTAAGGCTGAAAATATGAACCCATAAAGACTATTTAAAAAAGCAAATAGCAGGCAGCATTTAGATGATAAAATAATCAGGGATACTCTGCTTAAAAAGATCCCCCATTCAGGGCCTCCCTGGTGGCGCAAGGGGTTAAGCACCACATAATGAAGCTAATCTGCAGCCACTGCAGCATGAGTTCGATCCCCAGCCGGGGAGTTACCCACAAGGCGCAGCAGACCTCACCTGTCTCCTCACTGCCCCCTCAGCAGTGTATTTCACTCAATCTGCCTGTTCTGTTCCCCACTCTGTCTCTGGTGAACCCTCTCACCCCCACATTTCTGGCCTATACTCCAGCTGTTGCATGCATAAATACATCTTAAAAAAAAAGATCCCCCACTCAAACACAATAGACACAGCAGTGAATGACTCTTGAGAGGTGTGACTTATGCCAAGCTGCTGGCCCTGCGTGCAAGACTCTCACCTTCTCATTATAGTTGATCGCAATCACATCCCCGGTGGTCAGACAGGCAAAGTTTCTCAGTGCATTTTCTAATCTGCAGACACACACTGTCAAGGTGAGATGGATGCCTTAAATATGAAACAATTTCTACAAGGGCTTTAGACGGTCATAGTCAGAGACAGAGTGAACCACACTGGTACTGAAACATGTGGCTTCAATACAGGAGCAGTAAGGAGGGACAGACTCCAACATGTAAAAAGATGGTGAATATAACAAATGCTCTGCTAAGGGAAAAACCATCCATAACGGTTTTAAGGTTCCATTCAGAGAACCCAGAGAAAAACAGATTTGAGGATGGGAAGTAGCCACAAGGTAGCTGGGATAAGGACTGACAGAAAAGGGCACGAGGTAACTTTTAGCAAGATGGAGAAGTCCAGGTGACATGGATGTACATCCTGTCAAACTCACTGAACCATGCATTTTATTGTTTGTAAATTAGAATTCAACTAGTTGACTTTAAAATCCAATGAAAGCACAGTAGACACAAATACTAGATGAGTAACAGCCAGGTCCCCTCAAGAGTTCCTCAAAACTCAGATATTTTAATATAGTATTTTGCTGTTTCTATCTTGAGTTGGTAACCCAACTCTAGGGGTTATAGAGTAAAAATAAAAAAAAAAAATTAAAAGGAAAAAGTAACCCATAAACCCTTTTTATGGTAGTAAATAATAGTGAAAATTTAAAAACTGAATAAATGCCCAGACAAGACCATAATGCCAACCTACACGTGATATTTTAAACACGTCATCATCAATTTATAGAATTGTTTTAAAGATTGAGCATAGAAATGGATGTGAAACCCACCATTGTGTTACAGCACATCTGAGCGAGGATCTCAGTGTCTCACTGAGGGAGAAAGAGCTAAGCTGTTGAGATTCATTTCTCTTGGTCAAAAACTGTTACAGGATGACAACGGCTCTGTGAGAGGGGCCTGGTGTGGCACACTGTCTTCATCCGCTCCATGAAACATCATGCTGGTGGTGCCCTTCCCTCAACGACTCCTAGTAACCCCCTTGAGCTGTCAGACCCAGCCTACCATGACTCTGAAGGTGGATCATCTCCAAACCTTCAGAGCTTTGAAGGCCAAGGTAACCAGATCTCATGGCAGGACTTTGCCCTTCACCACTGACTGCTATGAGTAGAGAACCTAACACCTCACCATCGCCAGGAGCCGGCTGCTGGGACCCAACATATTTGTCCATGCACACGGTCACTGTAGGTCCAAGAAGTGGCCAGCAGTCACCTGCTCGTGCGTTTGAATTCGGGACAGGGCCCAGAAGGGGAAGATAGTGGCAGCTTTTTAAAAACTATCTGTTGCTCTTGTCCAACTGTGATTTTTTTCAAGTTTACATTTTTAAAAATAAAGAGGTGGTAGAGTGACCACCTTATAACATGATCTCAAGTCAAAATGGGGTTTCAAGTAAGAGAGTGGGATCCTATTCCATGCATGGTATGCCCCTCGCTCACAATGGTCACTCCTTAAATTATAAACACACACATCTTGTTTAAGTTCACATACAAATCACTAGAACCTAAAACCTTTGCTTTTTCCTGTCAGAGAAAGAGAAATATATTTAAATCAGTGCTCCCATCGCTTTGGAGTGCAAAGTGGTAAGCCTGGGTAGAAAGTGAGGATAAGTACATGGCTCTGCTGGAGCACCAGGGCCAAAAAAGGGTTACGGGTATCAAGAGTACCCAGAGCACCTGTCCAGGTCCAGGAGGGGTGGTATATGTGCTGGCTGAATGCCATTATTCTCAAACCCCAACTTCAATCATAAGCAAATATAACGCCTGAAAAGTAGGCAAATGTTCAATAAAGCACTTGCTGTTTATCAACTGTTAGCACAGCCCTCCTTTGGCCAGAAGAATCTTTCTTCTTTCAAAAGGATACACTGCTTTGGGGTTGGTTATATCCAGGAAGTCAGGGCTCTGAGGCTGGAATTTAGAGTACGTGGCCACTTGAAGGTTGACACTCTCCACCTGAACCAGGCCTCCTTCTTCCAACAGCAAATTCTGCATCATCTAAAGGAAGAAGAAGGCATCATACCATTTCTAGAAATCAAATGGCCACCATCATTACCACGGACCAACCCATGAGGCAGGCCAAAATCTGATAGCACTATGGCTTCTTCCTTGGGTCCCTGAAAGAGCAGTCTGAGATGAGGACTTAAGAACAGGCAGTCTGATTGTTATTTGATGTCCAGGAAGGAGAAGGAAGGAAGCAAGACAAAGACATGGAAGGAAGAAGACTAATAAGGGGTGCTACGGAGGCTGCTGCACAAACAATGTGAGAGGTCCCTAGAAGGAAGGGAGACACAGCACTGGCCATCAGCTACATACCTCCTGTGGGAGGAGCATTTCCCCAGGGAAGTGCACCCCACACTTCTGAGCTATCCCACAGCTAACTTAGAGGTTCCAAGGCAAATGGAGCCATACTTGAGGTATTAACATGATAGCACCAGGCTGACCTTGCATGGAATAGCCTCACAGCTGAGGCTGCAGGTTGGTGACAAACTCTAGCAATATCCTCTAGAAGGAGGTAAAAAAACTGACAAAGACATCCCCCATGCCAATAGTAAACCACCCTGTGAGGTGGATGCTGGCTATGGAATGAGGAAAAGAGATGAATAAAGGCCCATGAGTACTTGGTGTGCAGGGTGAAAGGCAGGGACTAGGAGCTGAAGCAAAAAGGCTGGGCCAGATGAAATGACTATCCTGGAGTGGCTTTTATCATTTTATTCCTTCTTAAAGAGAATTTCAATCACACAAAGGTAGAGAGAAGTATATACACTGTCTCTCAACAACTTCTGCCCACCCCCCACTGCCCTTTAAAAAGTAATCAAGTCATGACCCTATTTGGTTTATCACCTCGCCTCCCCCTCATCCCATCCCACACTGGACTGCCCTGATTTAAATCCTAGGCATCACAGTTCTTTAAGAACACCTCACCTAGCATGGAACCACTGGAACAGATGCTGCCCTCAGAGGTCAAGGAAGGCAGAGGCTATGAGTGAAGCTCCAGGGAAATCATGGTCCCATGGATGAACCTGTGGAGGCCCTGACACATTTGAGTTGAAGGTCATTGGGAGTAACAGAAATGTAGAGGAGATTTTTCCAGCAAATGCCACAGGCAGGCTGAGCAGAATGGAGAACAACTGGACTTGGTAACTGGGAGGTTCAGTGACTGTGGAGTGATACTTTCATAAAAGGTGCTTTTCAAGGTTGCAAGTCAGCCTCCCACAGGCCAAGCTCACAGTTTTTAGGGAGTTCTTTGGGAAGTCTGCCAGTGCAGGGAAGAATGGAAAGGAGTGGTCCAGGTCTGTAAGAGGAGCCCCCACAGATCCTGGACCAGAGATGCAGAGGAGCTTGCATGGTTCCACTGTGCCCCAGTACAACACTGTTGACCTCAGTGCAGAGCGGGCTTGATGCACCAGTGGGGTTTTGGTTTTGAAACTGACGTGGTTTTGAGCTTGTACCACCGTCAATCAGGTTTTGGAAATGGTGCCAGTTTTGAAAATGGACCAATCAGGTTTGAGACCCAGGTACCCTGAAAGAGATACAAGCTGAGGCAGTAAAGTGTTGAGACACTCTCTCTTCGAAAGACCTTCATTTCAGATCTTTGAGACCTTTGGTTCCTGCCCTCAATTCTCTGACTCCTTACTTCCAACCACAGATAGCTGCTGTCTGACCTCTGACACTGCCACCTGACCACCTGACTGCTGCTCCTGCCTCCAGCATAACTGGTACTGCTGGCTAGGCCCAGCATTGCTAAGAACTGTCTGCCACTGGCCTGTGCCCCAAAATCGCCCTCAATAGGTGCCACTGGCCTGTGCCTAGCGCCTCTCAAAGAGCTGTACACTGGCCTAGTCTCTCTGTGTGTCCACAGGTGCCTGCATGGCAGTAATCACTGTGGGGAATACACTGCAAAGGACAGTGCTCAACAGCATGCAAGTATTCCCAGAGGGCCCTGGGCAGGGATCTTTGTCTAGGCCAGCAGACAGGGCCCCAGGTGCTAAAGTCCTGTGCCTGTTCCAGGCTGACTCACCCTGAGGAAGCCTGAGTGCTCTGGGTCAGATGAAGCCATGCTGACATTTCACATTTTTGCCAAGGTCAAGAGACTCTCAGACCAGCTCTGAGACAGCATCTAGGAAACTGGCAACCACCTGCTCTTGTGAATAGCTAGAAAGTCATTCTAAGAAACGGATGCCAGCAACCCTCAGTCCATAACCCAGTGCTACCCAAAAAGGCTTCTCAGGGATATGATGTTTCTTAGCTAAAAGGATTCAATTAGTTTTCTGTCTACAATGGTTTGAAGTTGGGGCACGGGGCCACCCAAACTCCCAAGTCTATGAGCTAGAGAACCTTTGAGGTACAGTGTTTCCCAGTGTCCCCTTCTCCTTTCCCTCTTCTACAGTGGTCCTCTGGAGGTCTAGAGTGGTCTCAGGGAGTTGTCACTGCCCAACATACCAGCCACCCACAGCACTCTACAGTGTGAATAGGACAAGGCCCTGTGCCTGTGAGGGGGGCCTGCAGATACACAGACAGTGAGGCACTGAGAGGTAAGCAGGGAAGCAAGCCAGTCCTGATTTTGAGGTGTGAGTAAGAGTTCCCCTCAATACTGGGCAACAGCATAGGAGAGGTCAGGTGGCAGGGGAGAGGCAGCACAGGCTCCTGTGGGGGAAAGGCCTCCCAGGCTGAAGAGGGGAGGGCTGTTCTCAAGGGGAAATGGGAAGGAAACCCAATGCCAGAAAGTCTTCAAACACCGTTCATACATAATCTCAAATAGATGAATTAAGGTCATTCCTTTTGGAAGTTCAGTGACCACCAAAATAAAGGAGACATAGGGCCATTCCTCCCAAATATCTCCCTAGTGGCAGGGAGGTTTGGGGTGCATTCCTAGCTCTGCCCACACCCAGCTGGGTTCTGCGCACACTCTTGCCATAATTAACCATGAAGAGGATATACACTTCCCTCCAGGGTTTTCCACAGCCAAGCGTATCAGAGCTGGGACGAGACAGAGGGAGCTTGGATGAGGGAGAAGAAGGAACCTCTCCTGCTTAAATTCTTTCCTAGACACTGCAGTTTTGCATAATACCTCATTAAAACAAGGGGCTCTTGGGCTGACAAGACTAAAATCCCCTCATTTTTACAGAAGACAGCACTGAAGGGCACAGAAACCACAACTAATGGGCATCTGGGGGTACACATGCGGCAGTGTGTCACATGCGGGTGCTGCTGCCTGCACCGCCCCTCTTGGCCCCACCTGCCTGAGGCCCATGTGGAGCCCTGGCTGGTATGGTTCTGCTGGCCTCTGAATTGGGTAGCACTAGCTTTGGGCTCTCACCTTTGATACTGGGGCGCAGGTCTGTGGTGCTGCAGCACTTACATACCCAGTGAAAATCTAACTACAAAAGGCTTTTGCTCCTGTGGCAATGAAGTTGAGTGCTTTAGAAACATTCAGTTACAGACAAGTGTACAAATATACATACAATGTCAGAATGGGTCAAGGCAGGGAAAGACCACTAAAAACAGGGAGACAATATATAAAAATCTAAAAAACTGTAGTTAGATGACTTCAAAAATACTCTCAGGCCTTTATTTAAAGAAAGTCTGACCTAGGAGGTTGCAGATAAATAGCGTGGCTATTGTAGGCTACCAGCTGAGCACTAGTGGGAGAAAAGGCTGCTGTCAAACCCTGCTGCCTCCATATGTCCAGAGCCAAGTGCGATATTTAAGGCCCGGTGCACAGTTCCTAATCCCATTCCCCCAGCTGTGTCTCTGAGGAACAGAGCTTATACACACACTGGTGGTGGTGGTGGTGGTGGGGTGGTGGTGGTGGGGGAACCTACACCATAGGTAGGTTCCTGCTTATGACGATACCACTTCTCTACCAGGCTAACAGGACACTTTCTGGAGATGTGGGTACCCCACTCACCCAGTGTGGGAGGTAGCAGATTCCTTCGTCAGCAACAAATTCCAGCACACCGCAGTGGGTCATGCGGTCTGAGTTCTTGTTGGTCAGTTTGAACAGCATGGGGTAGGTAATGTTAAGGCGGCCTAAATACAAGAGAGAGGTTACAAGGTATGAAGTCTTGAAGGAAAACACTGGTCATCCATTGCCCTCCCCTGCAAAATGGCTTCCTCAGGCACCAAAGAGGGCTCCACATAGCCTTGTCTCCCCCATCCCCGAATCCCTGTGGGGCTTAGTCCCTAGATGTCTGCCTATCTAGCACAACCCACGCTCCCTGCAAAAGACTTGCAGAACACAGCACTTGGCCCCAAGAAACTGGGGAATGTTTGGTGACTCAGGAACATAGCATTGGCTTATATGTGAGATTTTCTGAAATCATATTGATAACTTAGAAAATTCACATGCTTACTCATTTATTCATCAACAATTTCAGTGCCAACCATTTGCTGAACAAAATCCCTGCCTCCAAGTTTCATTGGGAAAGCAAGACAGAAAGTGCATGAGGTGCCTGGTGCTGCAAGAGGGTGTTGAGGAACAGGCAGGGCTCTTCTAGGGGGTGGAAACACTGGCAAAGGAAGCAACTTGAGGAAAGGCAGGGAGGGAAGAGGAGCCCCACCAGTTTTGGAATGGCTGGCACTTAGGAGACAGGCATGGGGGTATGGGAATGGTCAGGTCAGGTAGGACACCACATGGGGTGAGACAGGTCATTAGTGCTCCCCTATCCCAGTGCTCCCTGTGATGATATAGGCCTACATGAGGGATGTGAACTCCATGGTTCTAGTCACCCATGGATGGAGCTGAGGCTTCCACAGGGTGTGGCCACTATTGCTGGGGGCACTGAAGTGAGGCCACATGGAGGGCTAGAAGCAGGCACATAGGACAGCGGGTTTGCTGACCCAGGAGTGCAGGGTGATAGAAAAGGGGCTGGTGACGTGAAGCAAAACCCGAGTCAGGGATCCAGAAAAGGGGTCTGGAACAGACTGACGTAGTAACTGTGCTTGCCAGGAGGGAGGACTTGCTCCATCTTCCTGACAGTGAGGGAGGGTACTGCTACCACTGCTTTAATCCACAGGGAACTAAGACACGCAGGTCTGGTTACACACCCAGGAGTGGATCTCCTTTTATCTACAGGGAACTAAGACATGCAGGTCTGGTTACACAGCTCAGGAGTGGAGATGCCAGTCCAAGACTGGGTTTAACCACTGAGGTCTACTCTGGCCTATTGGTATAGATAATAATGGCAACAGAAGTGGCACTCAGCTACAAGATAGACAGCAGACACCCTTGGGATCTCCCTAAAGATTCTGGTGAAGCATATCAAGTAATAAGCCTGGGCAGTAAGGCACCAAAGGGGGCAAGAATCCCTGGAGTGGCACCTCACTTTGGAGACAGCACTAACTATGGGTGTTCCCGCATCACCAAGGATGACTTAGATGCTGGCAGTCCAGCAGCCAAGGGGGTGGAAGCCAGGCCCTTTGTCTCCAGGGAACTTCACAGCTATGGAGCCTTGGGGGGAAATGACAGTCTGTCAGGGTAAACTGATTAGGCTCCAGACAAGGGTCTGAAATTCTAGCTGTTGGAAGAGATTCCTGTGTTCTAGTCCAGTGGTTTTTAAACTGTATTTTGTGATTTAGAGACGTGCCTTGGGGTTCCTGAGTTCTCTGCATCCCTCTACCTCCTCCAACCTGAGCAGCACCTAATTTTTATAAATTAGAATCCCCTACAAGATTTCATTTGGACAGAGTTTCTTTCACAACTTCAAGTGTTTGAGCTAAACCCACTGTCCTAATCCCTGAGTCATAGACACTTGTCCCAGGGTCATATCTGGTGCTTAGCTTCTAGGTCATCATTCCCGAAAGGCAAGCTCTCTGATGTCTCACTCCCTTTCCTCCTACGAAGATACAGGCCTATGTGAGGGCTGTGAACCCCATGGCTTCAGTCACCCATGGGTGGAGGTGAGGCTTCCACAGGGTGTGGACACTGTTGTTGGGGCCACTGATTAAGCCCTGCTGGATAAAGGTCACCTCCTGCCTCTGACCAGTGTCACAAGGGCTTGGGTTCTTTATGCACACAGTAAAAGGCACTGTTAAAGATGCTGTTAAAGAAGGATGGGTGGGAGCTGTGTCCCCATTTATTTTTTTTCTCCTGCCTCTGTCCTGTGTGTCCCCTTGTCCGTTTTCCTCCTTATCCCTCTTAACCTCACTCAGAGCCCTCAGGATGTTAATTGATGTCCACTGGCTTTTGAAAGTGATTGATGTTGTTAAATTGCGTATTATGTGAATATCTAGTATTTATTTTTATTGTCTGACTTACATTGCTTGTGTGTCCCCTTTGCAAGGTGAAGACACTGAGGCTCAGAGAGGCCAATTCGCTAGTCCAGGGGCAGGCCAGGCAAGGAGCAAAGCCCAGGCTAGAGTGATAGCACAGCAGGTGCCCTTCTCCAGGACACTGCCCAGGTGCACCAGACACCAAGGATGAACCTGTTCACTGACAGGCTCCATGTCTCCTGCCTTGGACATGAGAAATTCACACCAGACACACCTCCAAGTCTCAAAAGGCAATGACTGCATCCCTGGTTGGGGTTTTCAGGGTGAAGGTGGAGTTGGGCTGGGAGCTGAGGTCCTTACGTTGTCTCCTGGAATAAGTTGGGGAAAGAGGAAAAGCGTGGCCACTCTTACAACCTTTCCAGCTCCTGGCCAGAGTTAGGATTTGGCCAGAGGAGCAGCTTTTGGGGCAGAAGACAACAGCTCAGGTTTTGATGTTCTGCAGATCCAATTGGGCAGAGGGGGTTAAAAACTTGGAAGGGGGGCCTCCCCGGTGGCGCAGCGGTTGAGCGCTGGGTTGCGATGCTGACCACGGCCTCTGCGGCGCGGGTTTGATCCCCGGCTGCTCCCCGGCCACCGGAGGAGGGTCCCACATGGCGCGCAGACCTCTCCTGCCGCCCGCTGCTCCCCTCAGCAGTGTGCTTCGGGCCCTCTGCCTGCTCTGCTCCCCGCTCTGGCTCTGGTGAATTCTCTCACCCTCCCGCGCTTCTGACTGTACCCAGTGCTTGTATAAACAGAACAAACAAACAAATGAAAAAAAAAAAAAAAACTTGGAAGGGGAACTAAGGCAAGATGTTTGGGGAGGAATGAAAATCCTACCACTCAGTATCATCTTGGGAGCTGACCGCTATTGTTCAGGAGAAAAATGTAGCGACCAGAAAACAGCATTATGCTTGCAACTTCCTTAAGTCCTGACAGAACCCAAGGTAAAGGGATAGGGTGGGTCAGAGATGTGAAACCCACCTCACAAAAGAGGGACCTGGAGCTGAGCGCTCACTGGCTCCTGGCCTGGATGGCTGTCCACCACTGGCCACTGCTTTGCATGGCCCCAGCTCTCCCAGCCCAGCATGGACCACCAGGGATCATTCCTATTCAGACGTGACAAAGAACACCTGTGTCTGGACATACCAAGGAGCCTGTGACTGGCATCCATATTTACATTACCTCAGTTCTCAGGTCACATGAAATATACTTACTGAGTTGATCGAGGGCTGAGGGCGGCATAATTACTGTGGAAAGAATTACAAAGGAACATTTAGAAAATAAAAACAAAAAAAGACTCAATGAAAGCCAAAATGCAGTTTCTGTTATGTCTTTAAAAAATATTAGATAATACTTTTAGGTACTGAGAATTTAACAGTCATCTTTCATAGAAAGTCTTACTGGCTATAATTTATTTTGGGGGAACCAAATGGCTAGTAGCCATGAATCTAATCATAACATAATAATAACTTCCCTTAAATCTAACCATCACCACTACCACCACCCCCTTTAGTAAATATGGGGCGAGTGATATTTTCACTGGAATACTAGCTTGTGGTTACACATGCAATAAGGACAGTTGAAGGCTACTGACACTGCAAGGCTGAGGGCAGGAAGTGTTACTAATCAAAATAAAAACAAGCACATACTCTTCCCTCCTTTCTCCACATCTGACCTGTCATTAGGCCCTGCTAACATGGACACGGAGAAGCAGCGATACTGTGTGGAGAAGCGGTTCTGGAAGACCCGGGGTATGGGGTGGTCAAACATGTTGAAAGAGAACTAGGAGGAAAGAGAAACCAGAGTTACAACAGTACAAAGGTACACTTCTTCATGTCAAAAGTCCAAAGGGGTCAGGGTAATCAACAATGCTGAATGTGCATTGATGCTCCAAAATCCTGGTGGACCAGAGTCCTGTGACTAAAGCACTTTCAGGAGCACGAATGTTAAATCTGCTTCCACTCTTCCCTCCATTGCCAGTGTTATCACTCCAATCTATTCTCCACTCCCACAGTTTTGGATAGTGTGAGCTTATGAAAATATAAAACTGTTCACATCAAGCCTGTCCTTAATTTATCAGCCAAACCACTCCAGGATCCTGGTGGACCTCAAAGACACCTTAGGGGAGCCCCCACAACTGCAAACCTGCCATGTCTCTGCTGGCTGATTCCTCTGCTTGGAACACTTTTCCTCTTTTAATTTAAAAAAAAAATCTCTTTCTTGTGAGCATCCCTGGTGGCTCAAGGGGTTAAGCAGCACGAATTCAATCCCTGGCTGGCCAGGGAGCAACCCACATGGCGCAACAGATCTCTCCTGTCTTGCCCACCACTCCCCTCAGCAGTGTATTTCAGTACATCTGCCTGTTCTGTTCCGCTCTCTGTCTCTGGTGAATCCTCTCCCCGCCCCACCCCACCCCGTACCTCTGGCCTGTACCCCAGCTCTTGTATGCATAAATAAATAAATCTCTGGAAAAACAAAAACAAAAACATCTTTCTTGGGAGCCCAGTAGCTGATCTAGGGAAAAATCACACTAGTGTTGTTTGTTCATGAATAAAAACAGGTGCAATCTCTGAACTGGCAGAACTGACATCCAAGTAAAGGAAACCAGCAAAGTAAACAGTCTGCATGTCTAAGAGCAGTGATTAATGTTCTGGAGGTAAGAAAAGAATAATAGAAAGAGAGTTTCAGTATGCTATTTTAAGTGGGCAGTCAGGAACTCTCTGCAGTGGCCTGAATGCCAGGATAGGGAGCCAGGCAGAAAACAGGCAGCAGGAGAGCAGGTGACCAGTGTTTGCACCCTCTCCCCTAATTTCCATAACTATCTTTTCTATCTCCAGGAACCTTCCCTTCTCTGCCCAAGGCACATGTCCCTCCCAGGCGCTCTCAATGTGCTAAGTTACGATACTCCCTCATGTTAGTAAGTAAAGCCAAAACATGGTACCCTCAAAAAACTAACATCCCAGCTCTTAAACTATAGCTTCTGATCACAAATATGTTACACAGCAATCTAGGGTCTTCTCAAGGTACTGCAATTACTATGACATTTAAAAAAAAGTAATGTAAGTCCTCATAATAGGGAGGACTCAATTCAAATATATCTTGAAGATATATTTCCAGACCCATGTCCGTAACAGCACTATTCACGATAGCCAAGAGGTGGAAACACTTAAAAAATCATCAATAAATGAATGAACAAACAAAATATAGCATATACACAGTGAACTATTATTCAGCCTTAAGAAGAAAAGATATTCTGACACATGCTACAACATGGATGAACTGTGAGGACATTATGCTCAGTGAAATAAGGCAATCATGAAAAGCAAACAGTGTATTATTCCACTAATATGAAGTGCCTAAGGTAGTCAAATTCATAGAGACATAAAGCAGAATAGTGATGGCCAGGAGATGGGGAAGCTTGGGCTGGGGAAGGGGAAGAATAGGGAGTTGTTTGATGGAGTTTCAGTCTTACAAGAAGAAAAGGTTCTGGAGAGCCATTACATAATACAGGTATGTCTATTATTATTGAACTGTACACTTAAAAATGGTTAAGGTGGTAAATTAATGTATTTTTTACCACAAGTTTTACCTGACTTAATGTCAAATAGACATTAAGTAGAGGGAAAACCATCTACCTATAAAATATCAGCTATTCCAAAATAAGCAAGCTCAGTCAGCTGTCTTCCTAAGGTGTAAATAATATAGCACGCTCCTGCTTAAAAATCTCAAAGGGTTCTTCATTCACCGGAGCTCTAGCACAGTAGTTAACAAAACTTTTTCTCTCTTCTTTTAAGCAAAACTCTGTTAAAAAAAAAAACAAACAACAACTTCAAGAAGCATAATGAATAAAAAAAAAAAAAAGCAGTGTTTCAATGAAGGACAGGAGTGGGAACTCCCTTAGCCCTCTTACTTCAACTCCATCTAATCCGTTTCTTCTTTTCCCAGTATGAAAGAGGAAGAGGTACACACAGTATTTAATACCCATAACAATCTGCGTTCTATTCAATGTTGAGTGGACGTACTTTAGAAGTTAGATTCGACATTGAAACACTTAGAATAAAATCTAATAATCACCCCTAGTTTTTAGTAAAATAAACAGGTGACCTGGAAACAGTGCTGTACAACAGTAAGGGAATGACTTTTACAACCAGACAGACTGGCTTCAAATTTCCACTCCCCGTTTTTGTGACTTCGACGTTACCTTTTAAATCTTAGTTTTCTCACGGGCAAAATTATAACACTCATCGTTGCTTCCAAAGGCACTGAGGAATTAAATGAGTTAAAGAATAGGAGACTGCAGGTGTTAAATAGAAGCTGTGTGACGGAAAGTGTACTATTGTCTTTATTGAATCACTTAAACAGTCGAAGACAGACCAGGCGAAGCGGGGGCAAAAGCTGCGCGTTCCCGCCCACCGGGCGGCCTCCCCATTCAATCAATTTAGTGTTTGAGGAAACCTGTTACGTGTCTGGCACTTTCCCGACTCGTGGGAGGACACAAACGTATATAGTTCCCATCTGCCCTCAAGGAGCTCAAGTCCAACTAAGAGGCGACGCGAACCACTACCGGGGCAAGCGGAGATGAGCCAAGGCCGCTGGAGGTCCCAGGTGCGGCTCTCGCGGAAGCGTCCCGAATCCGCAGAGGAGCCGGGCTCGGGCCGGGGTGACTCGGCATCTCCGCTGCCGTCATGTCCGCCACGTCCAGCCCCAGCCCGGGTCCCTGGCCCCAGCCCCGGCCCGTTGATACTCACCATGGTGGGTCACTTCCGCAGATGCCGCGCCGTCCGGGGAATGCTACGGCGGGAGTCCGTCCACCAGCGCCCCTCAGCCTCTCCAGTCGCTCCGGCTCCGACGCCCAGGGAGGCTCACCGGAAGTGCCGGACCCGGGCTCGGGGGGAGGTGCAGAGGCCAGGAGTCGGCTGCAAAAGAGAAAGTCAGGCAGAGGCGCTAAGATCAGTATTTCCCAGGGCTATATGCTAAAACGCCCTTTCATTTCCGGCCCCTCTAGATTAATATTGTAATTGTCTTGTTACACTTCGATAGCCCGCCCCTCCAGATAAATTTAGTAGGTCCCGTTCCCTAACTACACTACCCAGAATGCATGTAAATCTCCGGCCTTTGCGGCGGCCATTTTAGACTCGGGCGGAAGTAAGCTATGCATCCGCCTTCGAAATAGAGCGAAAGCCTCTTGAAGTCGTAAACTGATGCTCTTGTTCGCTGTGTAAATATTCTTTATGACAAGAAAAGTTCTTTTTCCCAGAGTTACCATGGGAAGCAAAAAGATTATCTTCCCAAAGTAAAGATGTCCACTGGGCAGGAGGTTTCTGGGTAAATGGGAGTGGAAGTGGGAAACCATGTTGCGTCTCGCCTATAGCTGACGTTTCTTTGGGGGCGGGCCGAACTTTTCCAGCCCTTGAATGGCGAGCGCTGCCCCCCAATAGAACCCAATCAGAAGAAGGAAAGGCAGCGAATTAAGTAGCTATTGGTTGGTGGCCTCTGGCCAATCGGACAGTCCCTAGTTTGGCGGGAGCCTTGACCGCCGCCAGAGCTTTCGGTGTCTTAGAGCTATCCCTGGGCTGTGGTTGCTGTGGCCATGTTCGTGGCCGATTTCCGCAAAGAGTTCTACGAGGTGGTCCAGAGCCAGGTAACCCCCCTGTCTGGGACCCTTAAATTTGTCGGGGGGAAGCGATGAGCGGAAGCGGCCGTGGGAGAGTGGAAGGGGCCGGGGTTTGGATCTTTGTACTCAGTTTGCTCTCTCTTCACCCCATAGAGGGTTCTTCTCTTCGTGGCCTCGGACGTGGACGCCCTGTGTGCTTGCAAGATCCTTCAGGTTAGCCCTATGGACTTGGGAGGGCGAGGCCGGCGCCAGAGATGAGGGTACCGGGTGGATCCTGTAGGTAATAGGAGTACGTGGTAGACGCAGAGGATGGGAAGTGGGATTGGAGTTAAGACGGAACAGAAAGGTAGGGAGTTTGGCGGGAGCTGAGAAGCAGCGTTGAGAACATCTCCCCGACCCCACCTTCATGTGACCCTAGTCTAGGGTAGGAACTGCTGCTGCTACAGTTGAAAGCTGGGGAGGAGGACTGTGAAAGTTCATCTCTCCGGCAGGACAGTATTGGGTTGAATTGAGAAGGGAGACTAGTTAAAATAACCTAGACAAAAGGTGTTTACATCTGAGAGGCCTATCGTGGTGCTTCTCTCAAATGTGGGTTTGAGACAGGAAATAGTAATTACCGAGGGCATAGTGGTGTCATAAAGCAATACTGAAAATGCAGGATTCCTTTGTAAGGGAAGACCATTGGTTTGGTTTTGTTTTTTTTTTTTAATAGAGGCATGTTTTTATTTATTTATTTATTTGTTTGTTTGTTTTGTTTATACATGCACTGGGTACAGTCAGAAGCGCGGGAGGGCGAGAGAATTCACCAGAGCCAGAGCGGGGAGCAGAGCAGGCAGAAGGACCGAAGTACACTGCTGAGGGGAGCAGCGGGCGGCAGGAGAGGTCTGCGCACCATGTGGGACCCTCCTCCGGTGGCCGGGGAGCAGCCGGGGATCGAACCGCTGCGCTGCAGAGGTCGCCGGCAGCTTCGCAACCCAACGCTCAACCGCTGCGCCACCGGGGAGGCCCTGGTTTGGTTTTGAATATGAGTAGTGTTTACATGAGCTTTGGTCCCATAGTTTAGGTAATTTTGAAAAATCAACAAATTGAAGAATGATACAGTGAACACATCCCCATCACTTAGTTTTTCCTATTAAAATTTGCTAATATTTCTCTTTCACATAGTATTTCTCAGCCAGCTTTTTTTTTTTCTAATTTGCATTTCAGGGTAAATTTTAGATATTTTAAATATGAAAGACTTGGAAAATAATCTCTTTCCAGGCCCTGTTCCAGTGTGACCACGTGCAGTATACACTGGTTCCAGTTTCTGGGTGGCAAGAACTTGAAACTGCATTTCTTGAGCATAAAGAACAGGTATGAAAGATGCATTTTAGAATAATTAGACTTTTTAACTGAATTCAACTTCTTAACATTTAGCATTCTTCCAATTGTAGTACTAACTATATTAGGCAACATGGAAGTGAAAAACAAGTTATGTACATTGGTGACTTACCCTCAAGTTGTAGGACAGCCCTAAATCTGAACTTGTGTTGGAGACATTGCATTGTTAGGTGCTTGGAGAATTAGTTGGCTTTGATATGGCCTAGTTAGAATTATTTTATATTAGAGCACTAATTTACATTATCCAAGAAAATATATTCCAGTTTGCAGCTTGATATCAGGACTTGTCTTCTCCCATTTTAATTTAAACAGTAGAGGCCAGGGTGCCTCTCACCTCTGCATGGGGCTGTAATGAGTGATGGGACAACTTAAACACCATGGAGGGGGAAGGGCTGGGTTATGGAAACAGGTCCCTGGAGTACCTAGTCACATCTCAAAGTGTCTGACCGAGATAAATCCTTGCCTGGAACTCCTGTCATCACAGATGGACCTGTACCAGTTTCTTATTTATAAGGAAAGGATTCTCTAAAATGACAAGATGTAGTAAAAAGCTTAATTTGATATTTAGGTGCCCATTAATTATAAGCTGCTTGAGATATGCTAAATATTTAAGCCTGTACAATGTTACTAACATGGAGAGGCAGTGCATCAGAGCAGTGGCCTGGTTATGTATTTGAAGTCTTCATGCCCACTATCAGCTTCTTGACCCTATGTGTCAGGCTCTGGCATGCTGAAACTCTGTGTACTCTCATTGAAGCAGGGGTAGCCAGAGGACCTACCTCATAGTATTGTCATGAAAATGAAATATCATGTGGAGGATGTTAAAGCACTTAGCACAGGCTTGTTGTGGCCACATTTAGAGCCTTTTGTCATCCTTTTACTGGAAATGCTGGTCCTTCTGCTTGTCACTACTGATACTAATGAGCAGAGACAGGAAATGAATTTATAAGAAGCATGTTTATTTAGATAACTGGGCAGCATCTGAGAGTGATGGGCATATCATTCTGAAGAAGCCATTCTAATATCTCATCTCTAGCTGGCTGTTTTTAGTGAGCTGAATAAAAACAATCATAAGTGAATCAAAACAGCCGGTCATAGTTGATGTTCCTGATATTTGTCATGTTTAGCCCCCAGAGTTTGTTATCAGCCTCCCAGTTTTCTTGACCTTCATACTTATTGGCCTACTGAGCTTGGTTTATCTCTGATGGCACCAGTGTCCAGCACTCACTCAGGCATCATAGGGGCAGGGATCTCAATTCAAAGCAAGAGCTTTAGTTTAAAGAAAACATCATTAGGCATATAGTGTACATGTAACCTATGCTGTGTGTGTATGTGCAGATTCCTGTACTAGGTATGGTACCCTTCCTTTCCTCTCTAGCCACCTATCAATCATGACCCTGCCAAAGGTCAGGGTCTTAGTGTGTCTCAGCAGAAGAACTCAGAGGCCTAGTGTGGTGAAGGGAACAGGACCTTGTCAGTATACTTGTTTTATAGTGTCTCTCTTTTTTTTCAGTTCCGTTATTTTATCCTCCTAAACTGTGGAGCAAATGTAGACCTATTGGATATCCTTCAGCCTGATGAAGAAGCCAGATTTTTTGTTTGTGACACCCACAGACCAGTCAATGTTGTGAATGTATACAATGATACCCAGGTAACTAGACCTTTGGGACTTATCCTCCTCCAAGTTCTCCTATCAATCTGTCGGTACCTTTATATGCCATGGACAACATTGTACTTGGTATCCACCTCCCTGACAGCCTGAGGACAAGAACCTGGCCTTATCCATCTTTAATGTGAAACGTGGCACCTAACCGTCAGAATGCATTTCTGAAATTCACTTGACCTAGGATTTGAAGGGACAAAATCCTGCACTTAGTCTGCCCATGGAATTAAGGTCCAGCTCACCCTCATTGACTTCTCAGTGTGGGGCTGTCCATCTAAGGGGTGATACGGGGACTATCAAGAGGCAAGTTTGCCGAAATGACTCTGCTGCACTTTCTCTCTGAACCCCTGAGCATGGAGCAGTCACCTAACCGTTCTTTGAGTGGATTTTCCACCCACATTAACAAAGTGTTGACCCTGAAATTATCAAATGAAATACCTCTGTAAGAGATGTTAGCTCGTAACTGCTTTTAGAGATAGGAGTTTGACTCACAGAAAGTTGCACTTCTTCACATCCTCTATGAGAGGCCAAGTTGGGGGGTGTTCATTTCATTGGCTTGGTGTGAAGCATACAAGGGAGAATTTCTCCAGATTTAAGTAACTGTAAATAACGTTCAAATTTTTACAATTTCTGCATACCTCATCATGCAACTCCAGCACCTCTCTGAATAGAAATGGAAACAAGAAAATGCCTGAGATGTCTGGAATTCTTCTCAAACAAGAGGCTATTTGTATGTACAGAAAACTTATGAGTCAGGGCCTCTCTGGTGGCGCAGGGGGTTAAGCACCGCACTATGAAGCAATCTGCAGCCTCTGCAGCATGAGTTCAATCCCCGGCTGGCCAGGGAGCAACCCACGTGGCACAGCAGACCTCTCTTGACTCTCCCACTGCTCCCCTCAGTAGTGTACTTCGGTCAGTCTGCCTGTTCTGTTCCCCACTCTGTCTCTGATGAATCCTTTCACCCCCCACACCTCTGGCCTGAACCCCAGCTCTTGTATGCATAAATAAATAAAATCTTAAAAAAAAAAAAACTTATGAGTCAGCTACTTAGGAGATAATTTTCTATCAAGGAGAGAGGAAAGACTTGATTGCTCTTTGTTTTAATCTTAGATCAAACTACTCATTAAGCAAGATGATGACCTTGAAGTTCCTGCCTATGATGACATTTTTAGGGATGAAGAGGATGATGAGGATCATCTGGGAGATGAAAGTGAAGATGGATCAGAGCCTTCTGAGAAGCGCACACGGTTAGAAGAGGTGAGTTTGGACCTCACGCCATTGTCTTGAGGAGCTTGTCACTCACAGAGGCCAGAGGTCAGCAGATCCTGCCAGATCCAGGTAGAGCTGGGATACAGTGGGTGTGGACCCTGATTTTGAACTCATGCAGGTTATAGGATTTCTTTGAACCACAACTACTTATCTATATAACAGAACCCCATGAGGTGAAATGAAACTTAAGACCACTGAACCTAAATAGCAAACAATTTTAACAAGATATATAGAGAAGCAATAAATAGCAAACATAAGCATCCATTCCCTTCCCTATTCCTTTCTAGAATCACTCTCTGTACAGTCAGCTTGGAGGGGCAAATTGGGTCTGTGGCTCTTTGCCACGGTTGGTTCTTTTAATTATTGATCAACTATTGATTTTCATTGGGGCCCCAAATATCAGATGGTCACTCTAGGGCATCTTGAATGCAGAGATATGAGTGGTCTTGAGTTTGAACCACTTACTAGATATGGTGCCTGTCAATGGAAGGGGCCTGTCTAAGGCTGGTGACTTTTGCCAAAAGTAGAATTACTAGGTTTTACGCGGTGTTCAGTGTTGCAGTGTTGAGGAAACATGCCATCTGCTCCCTAGCCTTGGTGTACAACCTAAAACTTGCCTCTGGAATGTTTTAGGGTCTTCATCTATGCCTGACATTTCACAATAACATGCTTTAGTGGAGCCCTTTTAAACCTAGGTTTCAAAGCCAAGAAATTTCTCTCTTTGCTTTCCTTACCTTTGCTCTTTCCTTTCTCTGGAGTTTTGGGTAGTCTGATCTGAGACCTCTCAGGCCCACTCTGAAATTTTATTTCCTCTTTCTCAGCCCTTTGTTAAGCTTTCTGCAGACCGTGGTCTTTACCTTCTAGTCTTTTTTTTTTTAATCTCTGAATGTTTCTTTCTTTTTTTTTTTTTTTTTTTAGATTTTATTTATTTATGCATAGAAGATTTGGGGTATAGGCCAGAGGTGCAAGGGATGAGAGGAGTCCCCAGAGACAGAGTGGAGAGCAAAACAGCAGATTTACTGAAATACACTGCTAAGGAAGGCAGCAGGGGAGACAGGCGTGGTCTGCCGCACCATGTGGGTTATCTCCCTGGCCAGGGATCGAACTCATGTTGTAGTGGCTGGCGATGGCTTGATAGTGCTGTGTCTTTAACCCCTGTGCCACCAGGGAGGCCCCTTTAATAGCATTCTTTTAATTATTGATGAACTATTGATTTTCATTGGGGCCCCAAATAATCAGTATCTGGTAGAACTCTCCCTGGAAACATTCATTCATGTATTGCAGACAAGACTCTTGAAATTCCCCACACTAATAATTATTTTTGAAGTACCTACTATGTTCCAAGTATTGGCCAGACTCTGGGGTGCCAGAAGGATAACAAATTCCTGACTTCATGAAACTTCTTCTGCAGTGGGGGAGACAGGTGAGGAATACATGAATGAACATGGATAGAGGATGGTTTCAACTGGAGATAGATACTAGAGGGAAACTACAAGAAGGCAGGGACTAGAGAGAGAACTGACTGCCAGTTTATGAAAGTGGCCACAGACACTTGACTGAGACCTGAATGAGAGGGGAGGAGCCAGGAGCTTTCCAAGATTGGAGTCCAGGGAAAAGCATCCACAGTTGCAAAGCTTCTGAAAGAGGGGGAGGGCAATTTCTAGGGGGTGGCCAGCAACTGTGAGCAAGGGTATGCGAGAATTTACCAGAGAGTTTGATGATAGTGATGGTTGGTGGTTTTGATTAGATGCAGAACGTGTTAGAACTTTGTTTACATGTTTAGGGGCCTCCCTCGTAGCACAGAGGGTTGAGATGCAACCTATGGAGCTGGCCACAGCCACCACGCCGTGGGTTCGATCCCCGGCCAGGGAGCAACCCACATGGCGCAGCAGACCTCTTCTGATTCGCCCGCTGCTCCCCTCAGCAGTGTACTTCAGTCAGTCTGTCTGTTCTGTTCCCCATTCTCTCTGAATCCTCTTAGCGCCTGCACCTCTGACCTGTACTCCCGTTCTTGTATGTATAAATAAATAAATCTTTAAAAAAAAAAAAGAACTTGTTTACATGTTTAGCACATCTAGAATCTAAGTTTATGAATGTTTAATATAATATGGTATATAGCATGCATAATTTCCCATATTTTTCATTTGAAAATTTTCAAGTGTATGTAATGGTTGAAAGGAAAAAAGTACACAGAATATCTATAGTAATCTGCCATCTAGATTTAACAGCTGTTCACATTTTGCCATGTTTTATTTTATTTATTTATTTTGAAAATATGGTGCAGGTGGGGATACCCCCCCATAAATTCTTCCATATGTATCTCCTCAGAACAAAGACATTTCCCCCCATAAATACAATACCATTACTATACATAAGAACTTAATGTCTTAATATCATCTACTATTCAGTCCATATTCACATTCTTTTTCTTTTTTTTTTAAAGATTTATTTATTTATACATACAAGAACTGGGCCACAGGCCAGAGGTGAGAGGGGTGAGAGGATTCACCAAAGACAAAGGGGAACAGAACAGGCAGATTGACTGAAATACACTGTTGAGGGGAGAAGCGGGCAAGACAGGAGAAGTCTGCTGTGCCATGTGGGTTGCTCCCTGGCTGGCCAGGGGATCGAACTTGTGATGCAGAGGCTGCGGATAGCTTCATAGGTTGTGTCTTAACCCCTTGCGCCACCAGGGAAGCCCCATATTCACATTCTTTAATTGTCCCCAAAGTAGATTTGTGACTATTTTTATTCTGTACCATAATCCAATCAAGGTCGACACATTTGCATTATTTAGTTACTTACCTTTCATTTATTTATGTATTTTTAAGATTTATTTTACTTATACAAGAGCTGGGGCACAGTCCAGATGCACGGGAGGGTGAGAAGATTCACCAGAGACAAAGCAGGGAACAGAACAGGCAGACTGACGAAATACACTGCTGAGGGGAGTAGCAGGTGAGACAGGAGAGGTCTGCTTGCCATGTGGGTTGCTCCACAGCTGGCGGGGATTGAACCGGCACCGCAGAGGCCGCGGACATGCTCACAGCGCTGTGCTCAACTGCCTGTGCCACCGGGGAGGCCCTAGTTACTTATCTTTTAACCTAGAACAATATTCCATCCTTTTTGCTTTCTTGTTTGATTTTCGTTTATTTTTGTTTTTGTTTTTTTAAAGATTTATTTATTTTTGCATACAAGAGCTGGAGTGTAGGCCGGAGGTGCGGAGATTTGCCACAGACAAAGTAGGGAGCAGAACAGGCAGATTGACTGAAATACACTGCTAAAGGGAGCAGCAGGTGAGACAGGAGATGTCTGCTGTGCTGAGGGTTAGCTCCCTGGCCAGGGATTGAACTCCTGCTGCAGTGGCTACTGATAGCTTCATAGTGCTGAGACTTAATCCCTTGCACTACGAGGGAGGCCCTCATTTGTTGTTTTTTTTCAGTCAGGGGGTCTACATTTATTGAAAACCAACCTGAATGCATCAAACCATACTATTTATCCTCAGAAAGTAAAATGAAAATAATCTCGAAAACATATTGACCCTGGGTTTATCTGCACATATATTTTCTAAATTTAGCTTTTCCCTGATCACCTAAAATGACCCAAATATTTACCATTGCCTTATTAAATATTTAGAAATATTCCTCTTGAGGGTTTTAAAATTCAGCCCTAAAAGTCATAGTAACACTGCAATTATAATTCTACTGTATCTATGTGTATCTACTGTATCAATTATAATTCTATAATATCTATGTGTTTTGATATTAAAAAATCAAAAGCCGACAATATCCATTGTACTTATTTTCATGGCATAATTTCCAAAAACAGTCCCCATCCTATCCCACGATTTTTTTTTTTCAATTGAGTTATACTGGTTTAAAACATAGTATTATTTTCAGGTGTACAGATTTCTATTTTGATACCTGTAATAGTATATTATAATCATCAGTGAAAGTCTAGTTTCCATCTAGCACCATATAATTGACCCATTTTACCCACTTCCCATCTCCCTGCCCCTTTGGTTCTACAAACATTCTGTTGCAAAATCTAGAGTAGGTTTTTTCTTTTTTGTTTGTTGTTTTGTTCTTTATCTTCCACATATAAGTGATGTCATATGGTATTTGTCTTTCTCCATCTGATCTTTTTTAATTGTTGCATTTAAACTGAAATTTATTTTAATTATTGGTATATTATGGTTTATTCTGAGATTTTTTTCTCTGTTCTCTACATTTCTACTTTCCTTTTTGAAAATTGTTTCTAAATATAGCTTGTGTAATTTTTTTTTTTTTTTTTTTAGTTTTTATCGGTTGCTCCAGGTATTATAAGTACATAACATATCACAACTCATTAATATTATCATTTTACCAGTTTGAGTCAGATGCAGAAAGCTTACCTCCCTTTATGTTCCTTACTCTCCCTTGTATATAACATAATTTTCTTATATATTTCCTCCACCTGCATTTAAAACCACATCATACAATGTATTTTTGTTTCAATAGTTAAACATTTTAAACATTGTAAAACTCAAAAGGGGGCCTGTCTGGTGGCACAAGGGGTGAAGTCTCAGCACTATGAAGCTATTAGCAGCCATTGCAGCACAAATTCCATCCCAGCCAGGGAGCTGACCCACATGGCACAGCAGACCTCTCCTGTCTCACCCGCTGCTCCCCTCAGCAGTGTATTTCAGCCAGTCAGCCTGTTTGCTCCACACTCTGTCTCTGGTGAATACTGTCACCCACCTGCACCTCCAGCCTATACCCCAGCTCTTGTATGCATAAATAAATAAATCTTTAAAAAAAAAAAAAAAACTCAAAAAGGGTAAAGAAAGCCTATTGTATTTACCCAATTTTTGGTTATCATCTTCTTTCTTCTTGATAGTCTAAGGTTTCTTCTTTTGTCATTTCCTTTCTCTTTACAGAACCTATTTTAACTTTTTTAGGGGAGATATGCTGGTGATAAATTTTTATTTTTCTTATTTCATTCCTTTCATTCCTGAAAGATATATTTATTTATTTATTTATTTTTAAAGATTTATTTATTTATGCATACAAGAGCTGGGGCACAGCCAGAGATGGGGAGTGGGGTGGGGTGAGAGGACTCACCAGAGACAAAGTGGGGAACAGAACAGGCGGACTGACCGAAATTCACTGCTGAGGGGAGCAGCAGGTGAGTCAGGAGAGGTCTGCCTCGCCATGTGGGTTGCTCCCTGTCCAGCCAGGGATCGAACTTGTGCTTTAGAGGCTGCGGACTGTCCCATAGTGCGGTGCCCAACCCCTTGTGCCACCAGGGAGGCCCTGAAAGATATATTTAAATGGATGTAGAATTCAGGTTATTATTTTCTTTCAGCACTTAAAAAATGTGCCACTTCCTCTGGCCTTTATCGTTTCTGAATGAGAAATCTATCATTTGAATTGTTTTTCCCCTATAGGTAGTGTATCATTTTTCTTTTGCGGTTTTCGAGACTTTTTATTTTTGGCTTTTATGTTTGCAAATTTAATTATGATTTGTCTTGGTGTGGTTTTATTTAGGTTTTCTATTTGAGACTTTGCTTCTTGAATCTGTAATTTTATGGTTCTTGCCAAGTTTTCAACCATTATTCTTCAAGTATGTTTTCGGCTCACCTTCTTTCTCCTCTCTTTCCAGGACACTGATGCCTTGAGTGTTAGATCTTTTGTTGAAGCTCCATAGGTCCCTGAGGCTGTTTTTATCCACACACACCCCCCACCACTCCCCCCCCCCCCCGCCCCGCAGATCTCTCTGTTGTTCAGGTTAGGTGATTTCTCTTTCTCTCTCTTTAGGTGGAATCAGCTTTACTGAATAGTTACTAAGAGAGCGAAGGTTTTTTTCTTGTTTTTTTTGGTATCATTTCTATTGAGCTAACAATGATTTATAACACTGTATATGATATGGGGGTATAGGTTCACCCATCTTCTATACTATACCACTCCTACTACTGAAACACCCAAAATCATCCACAATAGTCCATTTGAACTTCTACCGCATTCTCCCCACTATGTCCCTCTCTGGTAGCTTCAATTCTATGGTCAAATTTCTAGGGCTTGTTTTGGTTTAGTTTTTTTACTCCTTTGTTTTTGTTTCTCTATACCCCACACATGAGTGAAATGATCTGTTATTTGTCTTTCTCCTACTGGTTTATTTTGCTAAACATAATCTCCTCCAGCTCCAACCAAGCATTCATCTTTTTTATAGCTCAGTAGTAGTCAGTGTGTGTATATATACCACATCTTCTTAATCCACTCATCTGTCATTGGGCACTTAGGTTGTTTCTATAACTTGGCTATTGTAAATAGTGCTGCAGTGAACATAGCATGTATCCCTATGAATTATTGTTTTTGCTTTCTTCGGGTAGACACCTATGAATAGGATTGCTGGATTATAAGGTATTACTATTTTTAAAATTTTGAAAGACCTCCATACTATCTCCCAAAGGGGCTAGAACACCACTGACAGTGTACAAGGATTCCTTTTTCTCCACTCTCTCATTGTTATTTCTGGTCTTTTTGATGTGGGTCATTCTCACAAGAGTGAGGTGGTATTTTATCGTGATTTTGATTTGCATTTGCCTGATAAGCGATGATGAGCATTTTCCATGACTGGAAATTAGGCTGGCTAATTACTGCCATTGTGTCTGCTGGTTCTTTCCTTTCTCCATTCTGCTCTTAAGTCCATTCACTGAGTTTATATTTCATTTATTGTATTTTTCAGTTGTAAATTTCTATTTGCTTCTTCTTTTCTCATGTTTCTTTGGTGAGGCTTCCTGTTTTTTAATTTGTTCTAGGTGTTTGTAATTATTAAGGTGTTTTATGATGATTGCTTTAAAAGGTCAGGTAATTCTAACATCTTGGTCATCTTAGTATCAGCATCTATAGATTTCCTTCTTATTAGGATGAGTGATTTTCAACTGAAACCTGGACATTTTATGTTGTGAAACTCTGGGTCTTATTTAAGTCTGTTCTGCTTTCTCTGAGCTCACTCTGGCAAAGAAAGGGTTAGGGGGCATGGCCTCTTTATAGGCAGACTTCCCACTTGACCTGCATTAACTCCGGTGGGTAGTGCCTCCTTTTTAACAAGTCCCTACTTGGCCTCCTCTGCCACCAACCTGCTGTGGGTATTGGAGGGTATTATAGGTAGAAAGGGAGGTGTTACAGGTGGAAGGTATTTACAAGGATGGGTCTAGGTTCCAACTTCAACTTTTGCTGGGGTGAGTGGGCTTGGAGCCACAGTGTTTTTTGTGGTTGAGGCTAGAGTGGAGCATTTATAGTGTAAGTTTTCTAATTTTTAAGGTTGCTCCTTCCTAGTCCTTTGATTTTTGTTGGGGACTTTTTTGTCTGCATTTGTTGGTGTTGCCAGCTTCATTACAAACAAGTCTGGGCTATGTGAGCCAAAAAGAAAGTCCAGGGACCTCATCACTGTTTTATTCCTCACATCTCAGGGACCTTAGCTGGTCAGCTTTTTTCTCCACTTTTTACTTTTATTTTGTGGTTTTTTATATATTGTCACAGGGTTTAGGTATATTTACCCCTATCTTTCTGGAAGCAGAAGTCCTGGGACCATGGATTTTTAAAATTCCCATACTACTTCATGCCTTTATTGTGAGAACTAAATGGGATTGTGCTATAAAATTAAAATAGTTAATCCTGATGGGAAAGCTGGCACAAGGTACGATTGGCTGTATGCATTTCCTGGGTCACACAGTGAGAGGGGCAATAGAAAACTGGGACCAACTACAGAGTTGGAAGTTGGTGAAGCATCCATGCCCATGGAGTGGTCTCCCCGGTTCTGAATGGTCAGAAGGGGTTCCAGAAGTTCCCCCACCCTCAGTCCCTCCCTTCTGGAGGAGCAGACTGCTCAGAGCACAGGAATGACCCACATCAGTGATCTGAGCCCAGTGACTCAGATCAGAAGGTCCAAATCAGTACCTTCTTGAGCTTTGTAAATAAATTCTTGGCTTATTCACTCAGCTTTTTGTTCATTTTGTTCCTGTGTCAGGAGGTAGTGGAGCAAACCATGAAGAGGAGGCAGCAAAGAGAGTGGGAGGCCCGGAGGTAAGTATGCACATAAGAAGCACCCATGCCAGGGAGTCCACTCTCCCTGTGAATGTGTGGGGTCACCAACACTTATTTTTTCCTGGGGGCTGCATGCATTTTTTCTTCTCTAGGGTAAGTTGTTTAGTTTAGAGCCTGGACCAGTGGCTGTAGGAACAAGCATGTGGTCTCTGCACTGGGGAAAAGGTCAGGTCCCCTCAGTGTTGCCCTCTGATCCTATGAGAAACAGGACCTGGTCCTGTTTCTCATAGAAACAGGAAACATCTAAATAGAAACAGGTCCATCTAATATAAGCCATTTGTTAAGGGTGATGGACCCTGCTTGTTTATTTTCATAGTTTTCTAGGTGTAGAGACATGTATTTACAATTTCTTACAAGTGAGATAGATGCTAATTGTGTAATACTTTTTGAAGGAAAAAAAAGTTTGAAAGGAAACTAAGTTATCTGCAATTCCTCTTCATATTGCAAAACTAAAAACTGAAGTCCTTTAAAATAAAAATAGGGCCTCCCTGGTGGCACAGGGGTTAGGACGCAACCTATAAAGCTGACCGCAGCCACTGTAGCACGAGTTCGATCCCTGGCCAGGGAGCTACCCACATGGCACAGCAGACCTCTCCTGACTCACCTTCTGCTCCCCTCCGCGGTGTATTTCAGTCAATTTGCCTGTTCTGTTCCCCTTTGTCTCTGGTGAATCCTCTCACCCCTCTCACCTCTGGCCTGTGCCCCCGTTCTTGTATGCATAAATAATCTTTAAAAAAATAAAATAAAAATATTTAGGGATCCTCCATGGTGGCTTTGGAGTTAAGTCTTAGTACTATTGCTGCTATGGCCTGAGTTTGATCTCTGGCCAGGGAGCTGACACACATGGCACAGCAGACCTCTTCTGTCTCGCCTGCTGCTCTTCTCAGTAGGATATTTCAACAGATCCACTTGTTCTGCTCCCCACTCTATCTCTGGTGAATCTTCTTACCCCCCCCCCCGCCTCCTTCCACACCTCTGGCCTACACCCTGCTCTTGTACACAAAAATAAATAAAATTTAAAAATAAATAATTGAAATATTGGGAAGGCTAGTCTAGCTTGAGGTGAACATGCAGCAGTGCCCTTGAACTAGGCATTCCTTGCTTTACCTGTCCTTGAAGGTCTCCCCTAGCATTGGCCATTGAGGTGGGGACAATGTCACCTGCTGTTATAACTAAGGGTGTGTGTTTGATAGTCATCTTAGGACAATGTAAAGCCATTTCAGGTAGTGTAAGGAAAGAAAAATGGATGTAATCCATTTTCACCAATAGGACAAGATTTCACAAGATTTTATTTTATAGAATCATAATCTACCTATAATTTTGCACTTCTCCACTTAATATAACCATTTTATATAGTACCAAACAGCCTTTACAACCTGCTTAGTACTTAACTGGCCATTCCTCTTCTTTTTAAACTATAGGTTACTTCCAGTATTTTGCTGTGGCAAATGAGGCTGCAGTAAACAACATTTGCACATAGTGAGTTTTGCCTTGCTTGTTCCTTTGAAATTGTCTTGTGATAATTTCTTAGAAGTGGGTTCTAGGACTGTATCACTTTATATTTTCCTTTTATTTTAAGATTTATTTTACTTAAAGATTTATTTATATATGCATACAAGAACTGGGGTACAGGCCAGAGGTGTGGGGGGTAAGAGGATTCGCCAGAAACAGTGGGGAACAGAACTGGCAGATCTACTGAAATACACAGCTGAGGGGAGCAGCGGTTAAGTCAGGAGAGGTCTGCTGTGCCATGTGGGTAGCTCCCTGGCCAGGGATCGAACTCATGCTGCAGTGGCTGCAGATAGCTTCACAGTGCGGTGCTTAATCCCTTGCGCCACCAGTAGGCCCACTTTATATTTTCCTTTACCACTAGTATTTTGTGTCAGTTTTACTCTTTCCCCAGCATTGTGTAGATACAGTAGTCCCCCTTATTGGTGGTTTTGCTTTTCATGATTTGTTAGCCATAGCCCAAAAATATTACATATAATAAGTTAGTCTGAGTTATTTACATAACTTTTATTAGAGTATATTATTATAATTAGTCTTTTTATTATTGTTAATCTCTTCCATTGCCTAGTTATGTATGTATAGGAAAAAACAAAGTATACATAGAATTCTGTATTATTTGCATTTTTAGGCATCTACGGGGGTCTGGGAATTATCTCCTGTGGATAAGGTGGGCACTGGTGTACAATCCGTGGAAGGAAGAGTTTATAAGGAAAACAAAGAGCACTGTGGTTTCATTTGCGTTTCTTTGAGTACTGTCAAGTTGTAAGACTTCCAAGTGTCTGTCTCTCTATTCTTTCCCACTGACGTGTCACATTTTTTGTCATTGCAGAAGAGACATTCTCTTTGACTATGAGCAGTATGAGTATCACGGGACCTCGGTGAGTATAGAAATGTGGAATTCACTGTGAAGTTCTGCCTCAAGGGGTCAGTGTCTTAAAACTTGAAGAGAAATGAGCCTAGGTTTTAACGCCAGGAAAGCCTATTTGTATCTGAGCTCCACAACTTCTTGTTGTGTGACCCTGGGCAGGTGGTGCAGTCCCTTTGAGCCTTGAACAAGCCTTTCTCCTTCATAAAATGAGAGAATAATCTTTTCAGAGGCTGTTGTTGGGGTGGTCCCTCATTCCTAATAGGTGCTCAAAGAGCTAAAAGCTATTTATTCATCATCAGAAATATAGAATTGGTCTTTATGCAAGAAGATAAAATACTAGCGCTGTACAGGCCAATCAATGTGTTTGCATTACAGAGCAGAATTTTGTATAGAAAACCTACTGTGTTGCCTCTAGTAGTGATAAGTCAGGACCTTAAAGAACTATAGAAATTAACTATTAAATAAAGCATCCAGTATTTAATTTTAGAATTTGACCCTGGGACATTGAACTGTGAGTATCATGTTTCCAGTGTCCTTTATTGTCAACGCCCCATTATCCTTCAAAGAATCATCCTCACCCCCTTTCTGTCTGCCGTGCTTAGGAATCTCTAAGCAGCTGGTGGAGTGGGTGGGGCAACAGATCCATAGATATCACCCTTGAAAGTCCTCTCTGGTGGGCAGCCCATCATCTCCTGGCTAAGGGAAGTCTTCCAGTCAGACACTAATGCCCCCTTATCATGTCCACCAAAATCCAAGCCCTCTGCTCATAGGGAGCTAGATGCTTTCACCTGCAGACAACCCTGTTAAAAAGACTTCCGCAGGGAGTCCTAAGGCACTCTTCCTCTCTAACATCCAGGTAACTCGAACCAAGGCCCTGCTTGGCCTGGCCTTAGGAATGTTCTAGGTTGCCAGCCAACCAGGAAGAACACATGGACACAGTTACACAGACGACAGAGTCCTGACTTCCTGGATTCAGTGCCTCCCTTGATGCCCGACAGGATGTATAGAGACCCACAGCATAGTGTTACACCTGGCTCCCTGCCCTCCCTGCTCAGTGTTGCATGATGAGGTGTGCTCATAATGACTTTACTAGCAGAGGAGCAGGTGCCAGTCACAAATTATTTTCTCATTCTTCCTCACTTTAGTCTGGAACCCACTCAAAAGCCAGGACCAGGCAAATTGAGGAATTTGCAGGGATTTAGCTGGGCAGCTCAGATATGGCTTTTAGCATGCTGTGAGTATCCTTGCGTCCTCTCTTTCTGCAGTCAGCCATGGTGATGTTCGACTTGGCATGGATGATGTCCAAGGACCTGAACGATATGCTGTGGTAAGTAGCCCACAGCTAAAGTCGGCTCTTTATGTGTCTTCTCCAAGCAGCTCTCTCCCCATGGTGAGAGGGCAGGATCTGAAGGCAGATGTCACTGCCTGAGCCTCACCAGAGATGGATGCATCTCCTTTCTGGAATGTGCATGGCTCTGGACATAAGACAGCCTTCTCTGTACACTAACTCTTGGGGTAGTTGTGGTGGAGGGGGGTTGTGGGGGCTGGGGTAATTGAAGAGTCCAGAGGATAGGAAGGTGGGACTTGGGTCCATGCTTCCCATAATACCACTCAGTTTTGCTGCCTAGGAATTTTAGGAAACAGAAGGACCATGAGATTTGAACAAGACAGCACTGGTCAGGCATCTTTGCCACTCTGTGCATTGTGAAATATGCAGGGAAAATCCTCCTGTTCACCTCTAAGTTGCCTAGAGCAGAAGCTTTAGGCATGTTGCCATAAACTCAGATTGATTTAGAAACTAAACCTGCAGAGTCTTTCTGATTGAAAAGAGTATAGTCCTGGCCTGCCCTCTGAGCCCTCTGTTGTAGGTTCTGGTTTTCTAGAGAGGTCTCTTCTGGCCCTGAGTGCCCATTGTGGGGCTGTAATGGTCTGCATTGAATTAGGACAGTGACTGTGGCATTGGTCACACCTAGGCCCAGAGATGCTTTGTTACACCCTGAGTTGGTGCCTGGCTGAGTGCCTGCCTGCTGTCCTTGGGCAGCTGTCCAAGTCCTCATCATGGATTGATAGCCCCCACATCCTGGGATGGGAGGGTCAGGCTTTTGCAGTAAGACCAGGGGCGAGCCCTGTCATGCATCCTGTAGCCATGGACACACGACTATCATGTCAGCATCTAAGAGCCTATGGTGTGTGCCTGCTGTGTGCTCAGTGGCACCCTGGACAGCGCACCCAGTACTGCAGGTTCCTTCAGTTTGGTCGTGATATCAGAATATGCCCCCATGAAATGCTTCCACTAAACTCCAGAAATACCACAAGAACAAATGCAGGAAATTATGCAAAAGGCACATGTGAAAGAGTTGAGAGGATGTGCAATCAGTCAGGGAAGATGCCTCTGGGTGGCATTTTCTAAAGTGGTCCCTCTGAAGCAGGAAGCACAGTGCACTGGGAGAAGGTGGGTGGTTTGGCGCCCTGCCCCTCCCAGGTGAACCTTCAGGGCCTGTTCCACCTCACTTTGCGTATGCAGCATCCCAGCTCTTCACATCTGTAGACCCAGAGGGGTGCCTAGGGACAGCACACCTGGGGTATCTGTGACCCTGGTCTTGCTGTAGCCTGACTGTTATCCCAGGATGGTCAGGCCAACTTGGGCCTCTGTCATCTCATGTCAAAGATGAACTTGTAGACAGAATCTTAAAAAGTTCTTAAGAGGCCTCCAAGCTGTTACTCTGTCCTCGCCATTTTACTAGAGTAACATGGGCGTGAAGTGATCTGCTGTGCTGCAAGGTGTGTACCAGAGGGGCGGGTGACACTGTAGGCTCAGATGTGGTGATATAGCATGGCCCTTCAGTGCCAGGGCACAGGTATCTGTTGCAAGACAGGCAGTGAGCCAGGACACGGAGAGCTGTGTCCTTCATCCTTATCCTACATCTTCCTCCTGTTTATCGAAAACTTCCATGGTGGTGACACTGCCAGGAGCTCTGAGTCACCCCCTTTCCACCCCACACAGGGGAGACCTCTGTCTAAGGATGGGTCTGAGTAAGGACATACCCATGAGAGCTGTCTCACCCTCCCTGTGACCCCTCCATCACACTTTTTTCTCCTCCCAGGTGGGCCATCGTTGGACTGACAGACCAGTGGGTGCAAGACAAGATCACCCAGTAAGGATACATTCCCTTGGGCTGTTCATTGTTGACCTATGCAGCCTGGCCACAGTGTACAGTGGGGAGATAGGTGGCAGTGTCTCTGTAGAGTCCCACGTAGGAGGGGGTCTGACTTTGGGCCTGATCCTTACCACCAAGAAAGGGCTTAGGTCCAGGACCCCTGGAGTAGTGTTTGGCCTTGTGTGGAGCCACCCTCAGGGCGCCCAGCAGGTGGCGCCAGTGGGAAAAGCAAGTGCATGGTATTCTCTGCTCTCTGTGCCATTTGTATCCTGTGCTGCTGCAGGATGCAGAGGTGCATCCTAGGGCAGGTAGGAGGAGGTGAGGTTCCCAGGAGTCCTGTGAGGGAAGGTGGGGATGGTCTCAAAGGCAGGGGAAAGACTACTGTAGAGAGCTGCTAGGTGGGCTGGCATGGAACTGAATTCTATCCCCTTGATGGGCAGGCTTTGATGCTCCCTGTCAGTCTGAGCTGATGGTGAGGTAAAGGGCCCCCTCTAGAATGCACCAGCTCATCCACACTCTGGTGGCTATCAGGTGGGAATTCTTAAAGGATCCAACAGGGACTGCAACTGTGGTCCTAATCCTCCCCTCGGGGCAGGTCTGTCACCTGGCACCACCCCAGGTATAGTCACTACTGATAGATGGCAGAAATCCCCATCCAAGTCCTATAGTGTGGGAATGTTTTGACAGGCCAGGGGCTGCTTCCTGGACACCTGCCCTGCTGTTGAAGGGCAGCATGAGCTGTGTGTAGCACCAGGAATCATCAGGCATGGTAGAGATGGCGGCCCATGGTGAGGCCTCATCATCATTCTGCTTGGTGGCCACTTGCAGGTAGACCTGGACTGGGGCCCTCCACTGTACTCTGGAGCGCTTTCTTTGCCGGGTCCACATCTGCTGTGGATTATTGTCCACTTGGCTGTGACTGGCAGATCACATGGCTTCCAAATTGTCTGCTCTTAGAAGGCCTTAAATAAGTAAGGATAGGACAGCTGTGGCCCAGAGCAGAGAGTAAGGGGGAGGCAGGTGAAACTTGAGGCCACACTTCCTGGTTCCGTCTGCTCATGTCTTCCTAGCCGACACTGCATGGCTTCTAAGAGGTGGCAAAGCTTCCTCAGTTCTGGATAGGAGCAGCCCTATCCATGTGGTAAGCCAGCCTCTGAGTATGGAGGGAGGAAGCCCAGGCCATGCTATATGTGAGGGGGAAGAAGGAGCCAACCCAGGCCAGTATACCTTCTTTCCAGAATGAAATACGTGACTGACATTGGCGTCCTGCAGCGCCATGTGTCCCGGCACAACCACCGGAATGAGGACGAGGAGAATGCCCTCTCTGTGGACTGCACACGCATCTCCTTTGAGTACGAGTATCCTTGTGGCTCGGGCCTAGGGGGTGCCTATAGCACTACTGCCCTTGGACACTTCCCAGTGGCTGTTTGCTTTGTCAAATCTACAGGTCCCAACCCATATCTCCAGTGATGGTGTGCCTCTGAGTTGTGGGGTTAGGCTATGTGATTGTGGTCACTGTGTCCCCAGGATGGACAGCTGACCGGTCTAGAGGTTTGGGGGAAGAAGGTCCTGCTCTACTCCCAGTCTGGCAAAACCACTAGCACCCGGTTCATACTGATACATCTATATGGCTTTGGCTTCTAAACACCAGAGCTTTTAGGAAGCAGCATGCCCCTATTTTGAGCTCATTGTTTGAGCTCATAGATTCACTGCACCTATGCAGTGCAGGCAGCTTGGCAGCAATCACAGACTTCTGCCATGTCAGTCAGGAAACAACTGAGTTAGCATGTGACTACAGTGTACAGGAGTGTTAGTGAAGAGAATGAGGGACATGATGGAATGAGTGCCCATCTCAGGAGAGGGCGCATCTTGGGCCAAAAGTTGGCCATACTTGGTGGGAGGGAGAGCAGCTGGCCACAGACAGCCAGGTCGATGCCCTGGGGTGAACCTGAGGAAGGGACTGGAAAGAAGGGTGGTGTCTGGGAGTCAGAGTCCAAAGCAAGTAGCCCTGTGAGCCCAGAACAGTGACCTGAATTCAGATTCTTGTGCTTAAAAAGTTACCAGGCATCTGACTGCAGGTGAGGAGGCAGGAACAGTGGCTCAGGCCAGACTAAGGTAGTGGCAGCAGCTTCAAGCACAAGGTGTGACTGGGGCCTCACAACTTCAGTGGTAAGTAAAGCAATGGCAGGGATGGGGTTGCCCTGTCCCCACTGGGATGGCTGGGGACAAGTAAACAAGGGTTTGGATTGGTTGGGTGGGAGGTGCTCACAAATCTAAGAGCTGGTAGGCAGGGGACCACCAAGCCCCCAGCAAAGGGGCCACAGCATCCCAGAGCCTCCCAGGAACAGACATGGTGTCCAGGGACTGGGTGATGCCCACGGTCCAGTCAAGAGGGTCAGTGCTGAGAACAGAACTTGCCATGTGCTGGGGCAGGTGTGATGGTAGCATGACTGCAGGGGGCAAATAGGCCAGCCCAAGATCCTTGGGGCATGGGAGGAAATGCCTCACACTGCTGTGCTTGCAGCCCTGCAAATGGTAAAGGGAGTGGAGTGAAGAAGGGGGCTTCACTGAGGGGTCCTGACCAACTAAAGAGTGGAAAGGAGGGTATTTGGGGAACAAATGGAATGAAAGCCTGGCCTCATGACATCCATTGGACCTGCTGCATCCTGTGTGGCCAAGAGGCCTGGCAGACCTCTGCGCCTCATTTTCTCTGTCACATGAGGAGATTGGTGTGTCTACCAACTCATAAGTTCTCTGTATGAGTTAAGTTAAGCTAAGAAGGTCAATGAGATCTAGGTTGCTTCTGTGATGGCTTGTCATGCAGGTGGTCCCGGGGTGGGTGGGACCATGTACTGGAGACGCCTGCGTCACTATAACAAATGCAGCTTCCTTGACTATAGCCTAGCCTCCGTCTGGCTCTCTACCAGCACTGGTCCCTCCATGACAGCCTGTGTAACACGTGCTACACTGCCGCCAGGTTTAAGCTGTGGTCTGTGCATGGGCAGAAGCGGCTCCAGGAGTTCTTTGCAGACATGGGGTGAGTAACTACCCCTCTAGTCCACCACTGTCAAGGGAGAAACCCTTCCCCTTCACCATGACCCACTTGGTCGTAATATCCATCTGCTGCCTCTTTCTGCCCTAACAGCTGTGATCCCAGAATCTAGCCTATGGCCCACATTGGGATACCCTTATATATACATTGTGGCCCTTGGCAAGCTTTTTCCCACGCTGTCGTCATTTCAGCAATCCTGATTTGAAGGCAGTTTGCTCTCAGTACCAGCACTTGCTGTCTTTCCAGTCTCCCTCTGAAACAGGTGAAGCAGAAGTTTCAGTCCATGGACATCGCCTTGAAGGAGAATTTGCGAGAGATGATTGAAGAGTCTGCGAATAAATTTGGGTAAACATATTTTTTTGGCTTAAGTTTCAGCTTTAACCACCTTCCTAAAATAATTCATAAAATAAGAATGCATAAATAAATGAGCATGACCTGAGTCTGGCCATTCCTGAAGTTTTGAGTTCTCTTTGGGCTAAAAATAGAACTTTAAGTGCCCAAAAGATCTGGAATTCTTAAATCCTGGGACCAAGATATAGACCTTTGACATCGCTCCAGGCTCCTCTTCTGTAAACACATGAAACAATGTTGGGAAGAGCCTACTGAGACCAGTTTCAAACCTCTGCCACACTAGGTCCTCTGGCATCCTGGACATGTGCCTGGCTGCCGTTGGTTTACCTGCTCCCTGCAGCTGGAATCCTGAAGCTTGGAGAGGCCCACATGCGCATTCTAGCTGACACCTATTTAGTGCTTTGCCCTGGTCATCTAAGCAGCTTTGGGCGGACAGGCACTGGTTTGAACCCCTTCATTCTCTGACCAGAATGACCATGCAGTGAATGCTTGTGGGCTGAGGAGAGACAACTGCCCATCTGCTGGCCTGGCGTGGTGGTGAGAGCTCACTCACATCTTGAGGACACTCCCACATGCATGCCAAGTGACAGCTGCATTGCTTCCTTCCAATGCAGGATGAAGGATATGCGTGTGCAGACTTTCAGCATTCATTTTGGGTTCAAGCATAAGTTCTTGGCCAGCGATGTGGTCTTTGCTACCATGTCGCTGATGGAAAGCCCTGAGAAGGATGACTCAGGGATGAATAACTTCATACAGGCTCTGGACTCTCTCTCCAGGTAGGTAATCGACAGCTGTGGGTCTCCCTCCTCCCAGACCACCTTTGGTCCTCAGCCTCACACTGCCAGAGAGGCAGGTCTAAGGGTGTGGGAAGGACCATGCTCTGCAGAACCTGCTTGAGTTCAAATTGGAATCACGGTTCACCAGACCAGGAGTGCATCCAACACATTTCCTGTTCTTTAGTACATGTCACTTTTTTCTTGATTTTTTTTTTTTAAGATTTATTTATTTATGCATACAAGAATGGAGGTACAGGCCAGAGGTGCAGGGGGGTGAGAGGACCCACCAGAGACAGAGTGGGGGACAGAATAGGCAGATTGACTGAAATACACTGCTGAGGGGAGCTGCGGGCAAGACAGGAGAGGTCTGCTGCGCCATATGTGGTTCATCTGGGGATCAAATTGATGCTGCAGTGGCTGCGGCTAGCTTCACAGTGCTGAGACTTAACCCCTTGCGCCACAAGGGAGCCCCGTTGGCACGCTTTTTCTTAGCTTCCTTAGCACACCTTTTAAAATAGCTCTCTACTGTTTAAAAACTTTAATTTTAAAGTTTTGGTTTTAACCTCTTAAAGCTCTAAAGTTCACATATCACATAATTCACCCATTTAAAGTGTGCAATTCACTGGATTTTATTATATTGACACCGTTTTGCAATCATTGCAACTATCCAATTTTGAACAGTTTGTTGCCCCCAAAAGAAACCCTGTTCCCCTTAGCCTTTACCTCTGAAATCTTTCAGTCCTCCCAGCACCAGGCCACCACTTAACTACTTTCTGTCTCTCTACGCTTGCTATTCTGGAATTCTATCAGTGGAATCATACAATATGTGGTCTTTTATGACTGGCTTCTTTGACTTAGAATAAATGTTTCAAGGGTCACCCAAATTGTAGTATGTCAGATTTTCTTCCTTTTTATTGCAAACAATGTTCATTCTGGGATATAAGACATTTTATTTGCCTATTCATCTATTGATGGATGTTTCTACTCTATTACAATTAATGCTGCCATGAATGTAAATCCATACATTTTTCTCTTGGGTGTATTCCTAGAAAGGTAATTAATGCTAGGTCACATGGTAACTCTTTAATCTTTTGAGTAACTGCCAGACTGTTCTCCAAAATAACTCCTCCATATTAGATCCTCAGCAGTTGTCAAACCAAAGAGTTTGAATTTCTCCACATTTCGTCAATGATTGTTACTGTCTTTTTGATTATAACTCCCCTAATGGGTGTGAAGTGGTATCTGATTATGGTTTTGTTTTTCTGCTTTATTTTATTTTTTTTTAAGATTTATTTATTTATACAAGCATTGGGTACAGTCAGAAGCACGGGAGGGTGAGAGAATTCACCAGAGCCAGAGGGGAGAGCAGAGCAGGCAGAATGACGAAGTACACTGCTGAGGGGAGCAGCGGGTGGCAGGAGAGGTCTGTGTGCCATGTGGGACACTCACCGGTGGCAGGGGATCGAACCGGCGCTGCAGAGGCTGCTGGCAGCTTTGCAACACAGCGCTCAACCGCTGTGCCACCGGGAAACCCTGCTTTGTTTTGTTTTAAAGATCTATTTGTTTATGTATGCAAGAACTGGGGTGTAGGCCAGATGTGGGGGGGGTGGTGAGAGGTTTCACCAGAGTCAGAATGGGGAGCAGAGCAGGCAGGTCTACTGAAATACACTGCTGAGGGGAGCAGCGGGTGAGACAGGAGAGGTCTGCTGTGCCACATGTGGGTTATCTCCCTGGCCAGAGGTCAAACTCATGTTGCAGTGGGGGTCTGATAGCCTGACAGCACTGTGTCTTTAACCCCTGCGCCACCAGAGAGGCCCCTGATTATGGTTTTGATCTGTATTCCTTGATGGTTAATGATATTAAGCACCTTTTCATGTACTTTTTGGCCATTCTTTGAAGAATTGTCTATTCAAGTCCTTTGTTCATCTTTAAACTGGGCTTTTTATTACTGCGTTGTAAGAATTCTTTTATATTTTCTAAATATAAGTGTCTTTTCATTCTTGATTTTCTTTGAAGCACAAAAGTTTTTGATTTTGATGATGTCCAAGCTGTCTTTTTTAAATTTTGTTTCTTATACTTTCAGTGTTATCTGTAAGAAACCACTGCCTAATCTAAGGTCATGAAGATTTATACTATATTTTCTATACGAGTTTTACAGCTTTAGGCTTTAAATTAGGTATGTGATTCATTTGAGGTTAATTTTTTTTTAAAGATTTTTTTTTTTTATTTTATGCATACAAGAGCTGGGGTACAGGCCAGAGGTGTGGGGGGTGAGAGGATTCACCAGAGACAGAGCGGGAAACAGAACAGGCAGATCAACTGAAGTACACTGCTGAAGGGAGCAGAGGGCAAGTCAGGAGAGGTCTGCTGTGCCATGTGGGTTGCTCCCTGGCCAGCTGGGGATTGAACTCGCGCTGCAGAGGCTGCAGACAGCTTCACAGTCTGTGTCTTAACCCCTTGCGCCACCAGGGAAGCCCAATGTTAATTTTTTTTATTGTGGAAAGATATTTGTAAGTATGTGTATACTTGTATGTGTGTATGGATGGAGTGATAAGGTGCTAAATCACTACTAGTAGGAAATTGTTTTTTCTTGTTTGATTTGCACTGTTTTCCCCACCCCACCCCCCCTTATGCTCCTTTGACCCTCTCTCCTCCTTTCTTCTTAACCTCAGAAGCCTCACTTCATTTATTAGTGTCTGCTAGTTTTTTTTTTTTTTAAAGATTTATTTATTTATTTATTTATTTATTTATTTATTTATTTATTTATTTATTTATTTATACAAGCACTGGGTACAGTCAGAAGCGCGGGAGGGTGAGAGAATTCACCAGAGCCAGAGTGGGGAGCAGAGCGGGCAGAAGGACCGAAGTACACTGCTGAGGGGAGCAGCGGGTGGCAGGAGAGGTCTGCGCGCCATGTGGGACCCTCCTCCAGTGGCCAGGGAGCAGCCGGGGATGGTTTCATCCTTTTAGAGTGGGATTGTTAGGTCACATGGCAGTTTTATCTTTAGTTATTTAAGTTATTTTGTAATTCAGATAACATTACAAAATGGCTGTACCCAGTTTACATTCCCACCAACAGTGTGATAGGGTTTTCTTGCCCAGTATCCTCTCCTGCATTTGTTGTTGGAGGTCTTTTTAATGTGCACTGTTCTCAGGTGTGTGAGATGATATCCTATTGCGGTTTTGACCTGCATCTCCTTTAAAAGTGGTGACGCACATTCTCCATGTACCTATTGGCTTTCTTCATTTCCTCTTTGGTGAATTGTCTGTTCAGATCTGCTGCCCATTTATTAATGGGATTGTTTGTTTTTTTGTTGCGAAATTGAGTATCTTGTATATCTTGGTTATTACCCTTTGTCAGTTGTATAATGTAGAAATATTTATTCTCTCCTATTCAGTGGAATGACTTTTAATCTACTTATGGCTTTTGCTATGTAAAACCTTTTTAATTTGATGTAATTTCAATTGTTTGTTTTTGCTTTATATCCCTTTTCATAGGGGTGCAATCTCCAAAAATATCTTTTATCACTGATGTCAAGAAATGTATCACCAATGTTTTCTTCTCTGTGATTTATGTAGGTCTTCTGTCTTTGTCTTCATTCCATTTGGAATTTACTTTTGTGCATGGAGTTAGAAAGTGATCCAACTTCATTCTTTTACAATTTTCCTAGCACTATATAAGAGACTGTCCTTCTTTCCCCATTGCATGGTTGTGACTCCTTTATCATAAATTAATATTGCTATATAAGTGGTCTTTTGATTCTGTTCCCTTGATCCAATACCATATTGTTTTAATTACAGTTGCCTTGGTTTCTTTCTTTCTTTTCTTTTCTTTTTTCTTGATTGCTTTTGCTATGTGAGGTCTTTTATGACTGCATATAAATTTTAATCTTTTCTGGTCAATGTCTTTGAGGAATACTGTTGGTGTTTTATTGTTTGGATCATGTTAAATTTATATATTGCTTTTGGTAGAATTATCATTTTGACTATATTCTACCCACCTATGAGCATGGCATGTCTTTATACCACCTTATGTCGTGATCTTGTAGTTTTATTGTATGTCTTTTGCCTCTTTGGTTAAATTAATTCCTAGGTATTTGATGAGGTTTCTATGTGTGGTATTAGGAAGTTGTCCAACAGGTCTTTGTATGTGAAGATGATGTTATTCCATCACCATTTGTTAAAAAGACTCCTTTCTCTCATTGAATTATTTTGCCACTCATGCTGAAATCAATTGACCATAAATGTGAGAATTTATTTCTAGACTCTCAATTCTGTGTATCTTTTTGCCTATACCACACTGTTTGGATTACTGTCACTGTTGCCATTTTTGGGTATTCTCAGTTCCTTAAATTTTCATATGAATTTTAAATCACTATGTCAATTTCCGCATAAGAGTCAGATTGCTTTGAATCTATACATCAAGTTGGGAAAGTATTGCTATCTTAACAAAATTTGTCTTCCAGTCCATGAACATGGTATGTTTTTCCATTTGCTTAGATCCTCTTTAATATCTTTCAACAATGTTTTGTAATTTTCAGAAAATAAACTTTTGTTAAATTTATTTCTAAGTGTTTATTCTTTCTGATGCTATTGTAAATGGACTTGTTTTCCTAACTTCATTTTTGGTTTGTTCATTGCTACTTACATAGAAATACTGTTGATTTTTGTATATTGATCTTGTATCCAACAACATTGCTGAACTTGTTTTATTAGCTCTAATAGTTTTAGGTGGATTCCTTAGGGTTTTCTTTGTACAATTTAGTTATCTGCAAATAGAGATGATTTTACATCTTTCTTTCCAACCTAACTGCCTTCTATTTAATTATCTTGCCTGATTGCCCTGACTAGAATATCTACTATAGTCCCAGTGTGTTCTTATCTGTACCTTCTCTTTCATTTTCTATATTATTCCTATCTTGCTCATTTGTATATCTTACTGGTTTCTCCTCAGTGCCAGACACAATATGGAAAAGAGCTATGGCCAGTCAGGTGGGACTCCCAGGGGTTAGACAGCTCTTGCACCCTATTTCTTACCATGACCTTCTTGCACTCTTGGGTGGCGAAAACATCAGTTGTGGCTAATCATTTTGTGTCTCACGGTTTCTCTACTCCCTCCCCTGCTGAGGCCAACAATGTCCACTCTTGTCACCTATTGGTAGTCTATTTCCATTTCCTTATATATTGGGGTTTGTCATATTCCATTATTCTCTGATTGTATTATAAATGTATGTCTTAGGTTCTTGGTTTTGTAACCTAGTTGCTCTATTTTTACCTGGAAATCTGGGGAAATCCAAAACCTAAACTGCTGCGGCCCTCATCTCAGAATTGATGAATCAGTTTTAGACATTGTCTACTGAGTTCCTGCTATGACAAAAGAACCTTTTTTCCCCACATTGTTATTTCCCAGGGACCCTTCCTCTACTGCTCCCTCATGGAGGTCAGCCTTCTTTTTCTCTGACATGGACACCAGTGCTCCTTCCCCCTTGTCAGTACAGCTCTGTCACTATTTTTAGTGCTTTTGTAACTGTAACATTCTTAAATCTGTTCTTTTACCAGTGTCTCTAGTCTCCCTACTTTGTAAGAAAAGGAAATTAGCATCCCTGCTTTTTCCCTCTCCCATGCTTCCCAGTTTCTAAAATCTATACTTTTACATCTTCAAGGTTAATTACACTTATTCTTGGGCTTGAGACTAGAATGCAAGTTTTCTCAATAAGTAGTGTTACTTCATTCTGCTAATAAAATATTTCAGAATCACTGTATTTCCTGGAGCTCTTAATTGCCTCTTTATCATATCCAGTTGTTTTCCCAGCTTCCTTCAAGGAGGTATTCCCTGAGCGTCTTGTCAATTAGAACCAGAGGCTTTGTTTTCTGACTCTAGTCTGGGCCCTCAAATCTCTACACCTGCTCACCTGCTGCCCTCTGTCACCACCACTTAGACTGTACCCCTGGGTTAGAGCCAACATTTCTTTATTTATTATTATTATTTTTATTTTTTTAAGTGTTACCAGTATTTTTGTTTGTTTGTTTTTTAAAGATTTATTTATTTATATAAGCACTGGATACAGTCAGAAGCACGGGAGGGTGAGAGAATTCACCAGAGCCAGAGCGGGGAGCAGAACAGGCAGACTGACAAAATACACTGCTGAGGGGAGCAGTGGGTGCGGCAGGAAAGGTCTGTCGTGCCATGTGGGACCCTCACCGCTGGCGGCCGGGGATAGAACCGGCGCTGCAGAGGCTATGGGCAGCTTCGCAGCTCAGCGCTCAACCACTGCGCCACCAGGGGAGGCCCAGAGCCAACATTTCTTGAGATCCTTGTCTTTGTTTTTTTTACTGACACCAGCACCAAAGCTTCCCTTCTCTCATGTTCATCGCTGTGAATTTATACATTTTTTTTAATTCCTTCATGTGAAAGGAAATTCTGGAGGGAGAGTTTTGCACATACCTTCGTAATCCAGAGACGTTTGTGTTTGTGACTCAGCTAAAGTCATGTGTCTGCTGTGTTGTGTCTGTTACAGGAGTAATCTGGACAAGCTATACCATGGCCTGGAACTCGCTAAGAAACAGCTGCGAGCCACACAGCAAACAATCGCCAGTTGCCTCTGCACCAACCTTGTTATTTCCCAGGGACCCTTCCTCTACTGCTCCCTCATGGAGGTCAGCCTTCTTTTTCTCTGACATGGACACCAGGGCATGCCTGTTAGTAGCTCCCTCTGATTGTCTCCTTCCCCCCATCAGGGCGCCCCAGATGTCATGCTGTTCTCCAAGCCAGCATCCTTAAGCCTGCTCAGCAGACACCTGCTCAAGTCCTTTGTGTGTTCGGTGAGGAGATGGGTGGTGGGTGTCAAAAGTCAGGAACTTGGGCTGGGTATTAGAAACTTGACTACATGTAGCCTTTCACTAGCTGCAGGGCCTGGGTGAATCCCTTACTTTATCTGAGCTGTGTATTCCTCAGCTGATCCCTAGGAACTTTGTGGTTCCCACAAGTTCTGATTTCATTACTCACTTAAGGTGATTAGGGAGGAGCCTAATGGAGCACATGAAGCTGGGTAAGGGACTTATGTTCAGCTATGGCAAATCAGGGAAAGACAACATTGGTTGGAGCATGAACTTGCTTCCCAGCAAAACTTTATTTTTAGGGCTGACTTTCCCTTTTCTGTGTGTGGCTCTGTTTTTGTGTTTGGCCCAGGATACCCACTAAATCAGCTCACACTTAGGCAGAAGTCCCTTGCCTGCTTGTATCATGTTCCTGAGTGTGAACATGATAGGGATAACCCTGCACATTTCAACCATGAAAGTCTTTTTCTCTCCCCAGGTCAGCAATACATGTTTATTATTATTCATGAATGGTCCAAAAACTTACAAGGCCCATTACCATTATTATTACCACACAGATGAAATATCACTTATTGACATGGAGTGGAAATGACAGTTTCATGTATATTTATAATATATATACACAAACATATGTTCCCCTCCCCACCTTTCAGGGCTCATCACATACTGCTACAAAAATGGGAGGCATGAAGCTGGAGGAGTTCCAGTATACACAGCTCATTGAACTAGCTCAAGCATAAAAACTGAATTTTCTCTGTAAAAATAAATCTTCTTCAATCATTTTGATCTGACTTCAAACAAAGCAAATAATGAGTACCAATGATTTTCATCCTGTTCAACACAATTTAAAATGTAAAAGGGTCAACAGTTATGAAAAGTCCAGAAAAGGTAGAAGTTATTGGAATGAATAATGCATTTCACCAAAAAAATGTCTAGGGAAGATCATTTTTGCCCTGGCTCTCAAGTATTTAGGAGTCATAATTTACTAAACTCCAACAAGTTAAGCCAGAACAAACAGATGATAGAGAATTTATAATTTCACACTAGGTTTCACTAGTAGAAGAGCATCATTTACCTGGAAGATCATGAGTCACAATTAAAGAGCACATATACAAAACTATTTACTTTTCTCTTTTAAAAGTGCCACATACTATACTTATTTAAAAAAAGTGAACTAACAAGAACCACACATGGACTAATGAAAGAGAATCTTATTCTTCTTCCAGGATAAGGGTTTATGCCAGGAGCTACCTTAAACAAAACATTTAACAGGAGATAGCATCATTATCTGAATGTTAGGTAAAGGTGATCAAGTAATACCAAAGATGAACTAAGGACAAAACATGAGCTCTGAAGTCCTGTAGGCTGGCTTTTAATCTCAGCCATCTCAAGGCCTATTATTTGACCTTGAGCCTCATTTTCTCCTCTACAAAACAGTTGAATAAATACCCGCTTCACAGGCTCCATTCTTTAGTCAGACATTTATTAAGCAACCACCTGCCACCATCTGCCAGGCTATAATGTAGGATGACAAACCTTTGTATTCTTTGTATCCTGTAAACCTCTGTCCTAGACAAATCAAAACAGTTGGTCACCTTTGTTGTAGGGTATAGTGCCAGGGTAAATAGTGAAGTGAGGCTTCATAATGGAGTACTCAGACTAGTGAGAACAGATGGAGGGGTGGGTACTTGTAGCATCAGAGAGTGGCACATGCCTAGAGAAGGTGAAGCAGTGTGAGGGAGGGAGCTGGTGGGCGAGGGCTTCCTGAAGGAGGTCACAATTACATCAGGACCTTAGGGAGATAGGTAACAGCCTGGGACATTGGGGGTGGGCTTTGGTACAAGTGAAACCTGGGGGACAAGTTATTAGGGCCCTAAGGGCAGCAGCATGAGGATTTGAACCTCTCTTCCAGTGAGAGGGGCCCCCTGGAGCCTTTGGGGGAATGAGTAGCTGGTGCTGTTGAGGCATGTGGACACTGAGTGGTGCACTCACACTATGTGGGGCCCTGCCTAAGGGTGCACTTTGCCTTCACAGACAAAGAACCGGCGTTGTAAGCTGCTGCCTCTGGTGATGGCCGCCCCGCTAAGTGTGGAGCAGGGCACGGTGACCATGGTGGGCATTCCCCCAGAGACTGACAGCTCAGACAGAAAGAAGTGAGTCACCTTTTGCTTGTCCTGGGGCTACGGGGCCCTTGTGTATCATTGGTCCTGCTGCATGGGGTGGTGTTTGCCTTCAAGCTGCAAAGCTTTTCTACTACAAAGCACAAGAAAGCTTAAATTCACAGGCTGCAGGTTAGCCACCGAACCTGTTTTTCTCCTTGATTGTAGACTTCTGAATGCTTTTAGTTTGCTTTCCTAAATGAGTGATGAAATCAGCAAAGGCAGTCATTAGTCAGCATCCAGCATTTACACTGAGCAGGACACCTGGGATGGGCCCAGGCCATAGCCATGTGAGGTACCAAGCATTGGTGGATGAGAGTGGCCAGTGTATGGTGAGACTGGTCTGGAACTACCCCCCACTACTTTCCCTGTGGGTCATGTCTCAATCCTGAAAGAGGTTGTTAGGGCCTTGTTCTGAAAGTGCACCACAGAAACCAGCAGATGGAGGCCTCCGTCCTTGGGCTACAGGTAATGGGTTTTGCTATAAATTAACTTGAGACCTGTTAGTAGCCCCACCCCAGCATAACATAGCTGGAGGAGAGCAGAGGAATGGTGGGGCACTTGCTGTTCTCTATCTCACCCTATGCTAGAGCTGACCAAATCTTCCCAGGCCAGGATGTCTGGCTTCCCTGGGCAGACCAAGTCAGGTCAGCTGATGATGTGTGACACCTGCAGTGGGGTATAACCTGGTGCCCTGGTTCTGTGTGACCTTGGGCAAGAACCCCAGTACTCCCTGGGCCTAAACTCTCTTCCGAGAAATAAGCAATAATCAGGAGTTTCAGGCCAGCCATCCCAGAAATTAAGCTTCACCTGCAGGGTCCCAAGAGATCAACTGTGTGTGCATTGTCTTTGAAGCCATCATGGACAAGCATCCACTGTCTTCTTGGGGCCTCATGTTAACCTTTGGGGCTTCAAAATCTATCCCTGTGCCACCCCCATTTGTCAGGTTTACTGTTTGCTGAAACCCAAATTGAGAGATGTGCCAAACACCTTTAAAAGTTCAGCCACAGGCCTCCCTGGTGGCGCTGCAGGTTGAGCTCCGCGCTGCAGAGGCTGTCCGCAGCCTCTGCAGCGCAGGTTCGATTCCCAGCCGGCCAGGGAGATTCCCACATGGTGCGGCAGACCTCTCCTGTCGCACCCGCTGCTCCTCTGTCGCACCCGCACCCAGTGCTTTCGGTCTGTCTGCCTGTTCTGCTCCTCCTCTGTCTCTGGTGAATCCTCTCACCCTCCCGCGCCTCTGGCCTGTACCCCAGCTATTGTATAAATAAAAAATAAATGTTTTAAAAAAAAAAAGTTCAGCCATAAGAGCTGAGGACAGTCCACTGAGGTGCATGGGATATGCCCAGAGCACATGGCCGTACCCAAGCAGAGTCCCCGTACCTCCCTGGTTTGGGCAGCAAGTTGTGAGGGACTTTGCCCTTGCCCTCTCCTGTCAGTGTTGTGTTTCTTCTTGCTTACTACATCCAGGTCAGTTGTCACCAGCAGGTAGGGCCCATGGAACTCCTGGGTTCTTCCTGCCCTTACCACACTCTGCACAGCCAGGGAAACGTGTGGCCCATCCCACTGGCTCCCTGTCACTGTCCTTAGGTGCTTGCCTCCTAGGTGGAGTCAGGCCTATGCTTTCTAGCATATCCTAAGGGGCATCCTTGGTCAGATGATGAGTGATGGCAGGCAACAGGACGCTGCCACCTGGCACCCCAAAATGACTAACTCCATGGGCTCTACTGGGGCAGCAGAGGGGCTGAGGATCACCCAGAGTCCTGCGCCCCTGGGTGTTTCTAATTAGCTCCTCTTGGTCTCTGCTAGTGAGGACACTGGTCTTGAGTCTGGATCAATCCTGATTCAGCTGTCTTGAGCTTTGAACTTCTGGGTCTGCAAAGACCACTTAGCAGTAAGTTGGGACAGATAATAGACTTTGTTTGAGATAAGTGCTTTCATGTTGACACACTGCTTTCCAAAACTCTGCTGTGGTCTCAGATTCATAGTCATGCTGGAGTTTCCAAGGTGCCAGCAAACACTGCCCTCAGGGGCCATTATGGTGGTCTCTTCACTGGTTGTCCATCACTGTGCTTTGCTGGTCAGCAATCAGCTCTGATTGATCAGTCTCCTGTGAGTTTCCATGAAGTCTCAAAGTATATATATCCCTCTGTCCTCCATGACACGCCTGTTCTCCCTTCCCCACAACATTCCCTCCACTGGCAGCCCTTGCCAGTGGAGGTTCTGCACTCTCAGAGGGTAGTTCTGACTTTTTGCTGGACTTGGTCCTCTTGGCAACTCAGGCTGGGCTGCATCCCTGGGTTCTCCCTCCCTGCTGCCCTTACCATGCCACATAGCAGCTGCACTCCACACCCAACCCTGGAAGTTCCATCCAGTCCCGCCATGCTGTATGAGTCCAGGTCTCAGCTGAGACCGCCCCCCCCCCCCAACCAGGTGACAGCACAGTGCTGTGTACTGGGAGACTGCAGTCAGCGCCATTGGCTTGAAGCCCTGAGAAGGCAAAGGATGCGCCCAGCCTGAACTGAGAAGCGCTCAGCTGGAGCAGGTAGAGAGTAGCAACATAAGATGGTGATGGTCAGTGAGTGGAGTAAGACCTCAGAGGGTGTCAACCACTGGTCGAGTGGCTAGGGTGGAGTCTACACTAATTCTTATATCCTGGGGGTGTGAGAAGGGTCTCCCATTGCCTCTCGTGTGTCCACAGCTTTTTTGGGCGGGCGTTTGAGAAGGCAGCAGAAGGCACTAATTCCAGGACACTGCACAACCATTTTGACCTCTCAGGTAAGAGTGTCCTGCCCAGGAGCCCCCTTCACGGTCATCTGATCTTGGAACCAGAGAAGCTGGCATCACTGGAGCTTCTAGCTGGCAGCCTTCTCATTGTCCTGGAACCAACCCTGGTTGGTTTCTCCTGCGGTCTTTCACCCTGGCTGTAGTCAGCCACCTTCTCACTGTGTCCACCCATGGTCATCCTCTGTCATCCTCTTTGCCTACTGTGTTTGTGTCCAAATCTCCTTTATAAGGACACCAGTCCGATTAGGTTACCCACCCTAATGGCTTCATTTAACCATAATTCTTTAAAGGCTCCATCTCCATGTAGTTAGATGCTAAGTTGCAAGGAGTTAGAGCTTCAACATTGAGCTTATTAGGAGGGATATACTTTGCCACCTCTCAGAAAGGACTGTCTCACATCACCACCACTGATTCTTTAATGGTGACAAGTCACTGTCAGTGGATAACCCCATTTATTTCATAATTTGTTCGGGTGTCTAGAGCTAGGTTTTTCACTCTGGGCCCACACTGCAGCTTTAGGTTGGATGGGTCCAATAGCAGCCATGCTCCCTGTTTCCTGCCTACCACACAGGAAAGATTGGCAGCTGACCTGCAGAATGTCCAGCCTGTTCCACAAAGGGAGGATTTGGGGACCAGGAACTGCTTGGCTTTCCCTGTGGGTGGAAAGCTGGAAGGTGGAAAGTGGGGTGTCGGGTGGATTTGGAGGATGCTTTTGGGCTGCGCCTGGGGTACCTGGAGCCATTGCCTAAGGGGTGAGCTACTCTCAGAACCAGCCAGCCCAGTTTTGCTCTGTCTGAGCCTGTGGGCCCTCCGGAGACATGGGCAATTGCATTATGGTCTCTCCTATAGAAGAGGACATGGAAGCTGAGATACTGGCCTCCTGCTGAATCAGAGGCTTAGGGGGCAGGGCTCTGCCAGCAGGGTGGGAAGGCCAGTCTCTGCCCCAGGTCTGTGGTGTTCTGAGTCCCTGGGTGCTCTCTGCTGACTGCCCTGGCTGCCCAGAGGGTCCTCCCCACAGACCACAGCTCCAGCCTTGCCAACAGCAGCCAAGAATTTCTGAGGATTAAGTACAGAGAGACAGAAAAATGTAACCTCTAAGTCCAGGATATTCCAAGCCATTAAGGAATCTTGTACATTTTGGAATGTGCTGGAGTCTTGTTCCTCTTAGACAGTTGGGGAGAGGAAGTTAATATGCTTGACTTGTTTTTCTCATCGCTCCCTCACTCCGTCCCTGCTCCTCCCGTCTCACAGATGTTTTTCTTTCATTACTTCAGTAATTGAACTGAAAGCAGAGGATCGGAGCAAGTTTCTGGATGCACTTGTTTCTCTCTTGTCCTGAGGGTAAGTTGGGAGGGGCAGGAGCTGACTGGGTTCCCGTGGAGCTCCACAGAGGACTCAGGTGGTCCTGCTGCAGGGCTCGGCTCTGTCCAGGTTGTCACGAGTGTCCCTGATATCCTGCTTCTCCTCAGCCATGGTCCTCCTCAAGCCAGGCTTCTGCTTGGGCTTCAGATCTGAGCAGGGCTCCTGAAGAAACTTGGGGCCAACAATTTTTCCCCAGAAATGTCTGTCCCTAGGCTGCTGTCAGTGCCACAATGAGCCATTTTTGAGAAAGCTAATTTCATTAAACTCCTGGAATCCCTTCTGAAAGAACCAGCACAGACTCTGGTCACACAGTGGGTGGTCATCAGCATGCACCGCATGTGGGACACACAGACCTGTACCTCCAGGAACAAGGGCTGCCTCTTGTGGGGTGGGGAGTACCTGGAGAATTGCTCCTTTTGAAACCTTGCTTCAGTCTCTGAGTGGGAGCCCACAAAAACATCTTCCTGGGCTGCTGTATGCCTAGTTTTTGGGAAAGCAAAGCTTTGGGCAGCTACTTAGCTAAGTACTATAAAATGTCTTCTCTGCTTGGCCCCTCACTGACAGCTTACTGTGATACTGGATGCCTCACCAACCAGGGCTCTCTCAGTGCCCCTACATGCCACCTCTTTCTTGAGGAACTCCATAGGAAATGGGCCAGGGGCCTACTCAGTGACTTTTTTAAGCCAGAGTTTTCTGCTTTGTGGATGCCCATGCCCAGCCCTGTATCTCCTCAAGCCCTGGCCTGAAACCACTGTTATGGCAGAAGGGCCCTGTTAAGGTAGAGAGGGTCCCCTTCTGCTGGCCCAGGGTCCACCCAATGCCCCGGTGTGTGGTGAGCTGAAAGCTGCAAGGGGCGGGTTCCCATATCCCTGTGGAAGTCCCAGTGGGCTCTGCTAAGAACAGCATAGGGGTTCTCAGGGATCCAGAGTCCCTCAGGGTGAGCTGGGGTACACAGGATCAGACAGTTGGAGGAGATGTGGGGTCAAACCCTTTGGGTACCTCACAGACAAGCTGAGCCTGTTTTCTCATCTCACCCCTTTGGACCTCATGATAGGGCCTTAGGGTCAGAGCAGAGGTGAAAATCTGCGACTCAAATCAAAGATTACAAGTGGGGACTCTTCTGTGATGTGTTCTGCCACCAAGACAGTACAGGTTAGGTGAGCTGGGAAGGGGAAAAGCCATGTGAGTATCCCCCCACGAGGTGGCGTCTGCAAGGTGAAGAGGTTCTGGGGACACCATAAGACCATACATACAGCAACCTGGACCTGCCCTAGGGAGAGGTCCTCTGCCCATGGGCCCCCCCACCCCCACTCACACACACCCCTGTGAGTGGAGGAGGTGACTCAGAAATAGCCCAGCTCGTTGAGGGGAAGGCCTGGGCATTTGTTTATTTAATTTGGGAAGGCTTTAAAATTGTTTGAAATTTACTTCTTTCTTTCTTCTTTTTCAGCATTTGATTTCTTCAAAAATGACTTCCTCCTTATTTATGTTAACTGGCTTTTATTTAGATAGTAAGTTATAGATATAGTTTTAGAATTGGGGACAGTTGGTTTTTAATGAAATAAAATGCTTATTTTAGTTTCCATTTTTCCATCTTTATTCCCATCACAGAGCCAACTCTTGATTGTGCCCTAAGCCTTCTGTGGGTCCAGAGGAGTCTTGATCCTGTGTGCTGGGTGCCCTTGGAAGGCCAGCAGGAAATCAGCACAATGGGTACTTGCCCAGATTAGTTCGGGGACAAAATTGTGATGCACTGACCACTGCCCAGCAATACCATAGGGACCTAGCTGTCCACCCTCCCACCACTTCCTGTGCATCAAGCCTCAACAGCATCGTTTGACCAATCCTCCATCAGTCCCCACCCACCCACCAGAGCCCTCATCCATTATCCAGGTGCCCACCACTCCCACGAGCACACAGCTGGTCCCACCAGGCATCTGGGTGAGTCAGGCACAGATAGCTAGAGCCTAAGCTAAGATGGGCAGGGTTGTCTGAGTGGCCGCGGACAGAGACACCATGTGCCCATGGCCTCACCCATATGCTGGTCACAGAAGGTCCAGACTGGGTGGGACCATCGCAGCCTCCAAGATCTTCAGAGCATCAAGGATTTCCAGTTAAGAGAGCTGTGGGATCAGCGGGTCCTACCTGCCAGATGTCTCTGAGCACCTGCAAGGGTAGAGGGGATCAGGAGACGAGGAGGATGCCATGAGGTTCCTGGCCTTCGGGGTAGAAGAGTGCTGTTTAAACAAGTGGCAGAGAAGCCATCTGTGACCCCCACCTGAGGCATGGGTACTAGGGAAGCAGGGAGGCTGAAGGGCCATCCATGATCACCTGGCTGTGGCACCTGAGGCAGTGGGAGGAGGAAACATGGTTTGGGCAGGCATTAGTTTGGGGGTGGGGAAAGAACCACTCAGAAAAGAGTGGCCTACAACTGAGGATGCAGGTAAGTGTAGCCATCTTAGGTGGTCATCAAAAGTGGCCAGCAGGCACAGTGGGGTCAGCTGGATTAGAGGCCAGCTCCTCTCCCTGACCCAGCAACGGCATCACCAGGAGCAGGGCTGCCTTTCCAGGCGTGGGTCAGCTAACAGGAGTTGGCCCTCCCAGGACTCTTAAGCTGCCTGCCCTGGCCATTTGCAAAAGCTGGTGCTGTGCTGATGCTTGGGGCCTGAAGGAGTCAGAGCTCTGTACTGGGAAAGGGCTTGCACTCCTGGCCCAATACCGTGCATGCCCAATTTGTGTGCCCTGAGCTGGTTCTTGGTCCGTGCTGCACAGAGCAGAGAGAAGGACAGAGGGCCTGCTGAGGGCTGCCCATATGGGGGTCGTCCCGTTGTTGGGAGCTCAGGTCACCAGATAAATTGACTTTCCTGAAAGTCCCACTCCCCGACTGACTTCCCTGAATCTGCCTGGGATCTGGAGCAGTGTTCATAGCATCTGCTAAGTCCATACCCTCCGGTTCTCCCCTTTCCTTATGATAGGGAATCTGGTCAATCTTGGGAGAGATCTTGCTGCTGGATGCAACCCAGATACCTAAGCTCAGCACTGGCGGCAGATACCAATCTTTCCTACGTGTGTTTGAAGCCCCTTTGCAGCACCCACTCCATGTACTGATATCTTCTGCCCTTTGGCAGATGTAAAAGTGCATTTTTAATTCAGAATACCTAATCAGGCTAGAAAAAACAAGCTCTCAGTTGTAAAACTCTGGCCTTTTCTGCCATGCTGCAACCCTCCTCCCAGATGGCTGATCAGGGCCAGCACTGGCCCTCAGGGATCCCAGCCCCTTCCCTCTGACCCCCAACACACACAAGTTACATGGTGCTTCCAGCATGACTGGCACAGAGGTGCTGATGTCTGGACTGGACACCAGGCTAGAAGGGTGTGTACAGAGCTACATAAAGACTGGCCAAAGGGCCTGGGGTTGGAGCAGAGCCTAGGCACTCAGGGCAACTGGCTGCCAGTGCCTCCTTCCCATGGCAAAGTGTTCATCCTATAGCTAGTTTTCCTGGAGCCATGCACACATCCCGAATTTGTCCGTTTCCACAGCACTGTTGGTAGAAAGGGCCTGGTGGGTGTTGTGCAGATGTCCGTGACCATTTGGTGACCTGGAAATAGAGGCCTGAGAGGGATGTGGGAAGCACCCCCACTGTGGTTCATGGAGCTCAGGCTCTTCCAGGTAAAGCCAGCAGCCTGGCAGCTCTGCCTCAGTACTTCATTCCAAGATCCCCACTTACTGGCAGGAGTTGTAGGAGGGGTGGGCTCTGCATGTCTGCTCAGAAAAACCCCCAGGGTTCAGCAGCTGCTGCTGTTGACTACACATCTCACCTTCCTGGGTTGCTGTGAGCTGTGACTGTTTTCCAGCCTGTAGGAAGGTGTCTAGGAAGCTTGGAGGGCCCAAAAAAAGACCATGGGATCTTCTGGACCTCAGAGGCAGTGCTGGGAAGCCTGTTCAGGAGGGAACAGTGGGTGGGTGGATGAACGGGGCTGCTGGGGACAGGACAGAGAACATGACACAGGAGGGAGGGTGTTGAAACCATTTACTAAACAAATTATTACCCTCCCCATAAGCTGCGCAGGGCCCCAGCCCCACACCCAGGGTCTGGTGTCCATAAGCCTCCCTTTGGGAGCTTGCCGGGTGAGGTCCAAGTCTCTTCGTCCTGGGTTCAGGTCCCGCCTACGGGGCCAAGGCCGGCTGCACATTTCTCCCGCAGCCTTGGGTTCTTTATTCTTTTGCCTCTCTGGAATCAGGAGGAGCCCGTGGGGATGACTGCGGCATCCAAGACCCGCAGAGTCAGGGAGAGAAGAGGCATTTTCAGTCCAGTGGCTACAAGACAGGTGGATCGCGCGCCCCACAAAGATAAGAGTCGGCGGTGCGCGCAGAAAAAGAAACTGAGCGAGTCCTCCAAGTTCTTTCGCTGGCTCGGGGCAGGGCGCGGCTGGTGGCTGACGGAACAGGCTGGGAGCAGATTTCTGCCTGCGGGCCGCGTCCTGGAGTAGTGGCGGTTCTGCGGAGCCTGTGTTCGGCGCCGCGCGGCCCAGCGGAGTTCGCCGTCCATGCAGGGCTCCCTGGGCCAGTGTCCGGCTCGCGGGCGTGATTGTCGCGAGGAAACCCGCGGTGCTCGGCGCGCTCAGACGTAGTTCTTTTTGTCGTAGTCGCCGCTGGCCGCGGGTCGCCGCGGCGCGGAGTACTTGACCGGGACCGGGAAGCCGAGGTCTGGGCGGCCGGCGCCAACCCAGGCGCCGCAGCACACGAGGCCGCCGCCGCACATGAGCAGGGCCGAGGCAGCCCAGCCGATGTACAGCGCTGCGCCCAGCTCATACTTCTGCGACATGGGCACGCTTGGGTCGTAGAACTCGCGGACCACGATGTTGGCGAACCAGCAAAGTGGCACCAGCGCCAGCAACCCGCAGAGCGCATAGAGCGCGCCGCCCGTGAGGGCCACGCGCGCCTTCCCGGGGCCGGGGGCCACGCAGGTGGTGCACTGCGCGCCCGCCAGGCTCACAAAGAGCGCAACCAGCGCCAGGAGCACGGCGCTGACCGTGAGAGCCCGAGCCGCCTGCACTTCGGTACTCAGGGCTAGCACTGAGTCGTACACCTTGCACTGCATGTGCCCGGTGCTCTGCACCACACACGACATCCACAGCCCCTTCCAGGTGGTCTGCGCCGTCACGATGTTGTGGTCCAAGAAGGCGGTCACCTGCCACATGGGCAGTCCGCACGCCAGGATCAAGCCCACCCATCCCACCAGGCACAGCACCAGCCCGAGGATCTCCAGCGCCGCGGACCCCATGGCTGGAGGCAAGACGCGCGTCCGACGGTCCAGGGGCCTGCGGGCGGACGCCGAGGTACCTCCGGCGAGGCGCTCGGGCCCTAAACGGGCCCTACTACCTCCGCGCCCGCGCCTCGGCTCGCAGTCCTTTCTGTCCGTCCGCCCAGCGGGTCTGCAGCTCAGCCTCGGGTCTGAGGGCGCCTCCAGGGGGGCTTCCCATTTGAAGGTCGGGGGTGGATCTGTCCCCCGGGCCCGGCCCCCCGGCCCTGAACAGCCAATCCGCGCGCGGGTTATCGACCCGCAACCAATCACAGCCCACCCCCCTCCCCGTAGCCGGAGTTAGAGAAATAACAGTGTGTGCCGGGAGCGAAAAGTGCAGGGACCCCCTCAGCCTTGCCGCCACCCCTAGCCCACAACCACAGTTGTCCTAGTCTCCGCCGAGGGCGGTAGGGGCTGCCCTGGGGTGGCTGCACGCACACTCCGCGAGCCTCTTCCCGCGTATCCCTGCCCAACCGCTTCATTAGCTGACAAGAACCTGGGCTTGCACTAACATCCCTAATCACAGCCCTGAATATAAGCCTGAAGGTCCCTACTAACCTTGCCCGCTCTGAAGCTTGCCCTGGATTCCATGTTCAGCCCAGGTCCTTTCTGTGCAGTGCCCCTCCGAGTCCTGGCGCTGTCTGTCCCATTGGTCAAGCCTCTGCCGGTCAGGCCAGGGGCTCCAGATTCTTCCAAGATCCTACCCAGCAATACTGCCCAACAAATTCCCTGCCTGCCTGGGGCCAGAGGCGCCAGCAGGAAGCAGGCGGCACAGGGGCCTTCCCACTGCCTCCCTGACCCTTACTGCCCTTGTGCGCCTCTAGGGCTTCCCAGATGGTGAACCTTCCAAACAGCTGCTCAACTTCCGGAGATATTGCCCATCCCCCATCCTCAGAGGCCCAGCTCAGGTGACACCACTTCAGGAAGTCCCCAGTGTTCCCCAATATACAGCACACAGACTTCTCCCCCTAAAAGCTGCTGGTGGCTTCAGGCCTAGCTGCTGCTCTGACCCTTAGATAGGAGAGACACAAAGGGATATGTTGGGACTGTGCCCTCCCACCAGTGGCAGTTTTACCCCTGGTACCCCAGCCTCCAGGCCACCCTCCGGAAGCCAACTTGGAGTTTCCTGGTTAGGAGGAAGAACCCCCATCCTCACTGGAGGCGGAGGTGCGGATTTCCGGGCTTTCTTCTGCACAATGGCCCAGCCATTTCTTGAAAGGCCTATGGGGATGGCTCTGGGACCCCCAGAGGCTTAGGTGGGGATACTAGGCCTGAAACTTATAACCCCATGGGGGCACCAGCTCCCTTTCTGGGAGACCTCTCCCCATTCCTTGTCCCCACTGGTGTGGTGAGAGGCCCCTCTGCAGAGGAAGCATGGCATGGAAGCCTGCCACACGCCCAGAGCTTTGACAAACCTTCCTCCTAGGTTCTGCTTTCTTCTCCCTCCTCACATGGTTCCGAGTTAAAGCCAGCACCCTGACTGTCCAGTGTAGGGAGGCACTAAAGATAAGTTTGCCTGTGGGTGGGGCCTGGGTTTGGGGCAGTTTTGCCCCCCTTCTTAACCCCCATCTTCACCTCAATGCACAGGATGGGGCTCTGAGGACCAATGCCTCCGTCCTCCCAGACACCACATCACTTGTTGCTTCCCTCCTACAGCAGACCCATGGCCACTTCCCCACCAGCCTGCAGACCTCCCTGGACACCCCTTCCCCACATCTAATCCAGCAGACTCAGTGGTACCACTTACCCTACCCTCTCTCTGCCTCTCCCCCCAGCCCAAGTCCTTGCCCAGGATCTTCCCACTACCCTTCTCACTGCTATCTGTCCATGGTAACCCCACTGCAGCCTCTCTGGCCTCCTGGCCTCTGTTGAGTTCTCTTGAGTCTTTCTCCTGAGGGCAACTGTGTCATCCCGGCAGGCCCCTCTCCTGGCTCACACTCTGCCTAAAACATCTGTGGCTCAAGATGCCTGAAGACACAGTGTTGAGTCCCAGGAGTGGTTCATGGGGATGTGCACCCACCTGTGTTTGGCCTGGACAGTCCTGCCGCACACACTCCACACTCCATCCAGACTGCACCCTCAGACTAGTGCGTCTTTCACCCACGGCCTCTTCTGCCCACAGTGCATGTCTCTTGGGTAGGGGCCTGTTCTCCCTGTAAGTTGTGCCAGTGAGGCCACTTCCTCCTGGATGCCTTTCTACCACCCCACCCCAGCATGGTTCCTAGAAGCCCACTGGAACTGTCCATGTGCTTGCTGGTCTTTCCAACAGTGTCCAGGAATGAGCCTCAGCACAGTGACTGTCTTCATGCACCTGTCCTGGGCACAGGAATGCCCGTGATCACAGCTGACCTATGGCTGCCTGAAGCCGTGACAGCCAGCTGAAGACTGCAGCCAGCAGAAGACGCCCCTCCTTCATCAGTCTCCTCTCTACCATCCCAGCACCCAACTCCAGTCTGGAACCCTGAGGTGGTGCCAGCAAGCCCATGTCTCTTTGGGAACAGGCTCACAGTATCTTAGGAGACTGATGGAGGAACCTCAGCCTCATAATCTGACTTGCACCCCAAACCACCGTGTTGGTTATGGCCTTAGCCCACAGTAGATCCAGAGCCCTTGCAGAGAGGTCTAACCCAAATCTGGGAGAGGCATGAAGACTCACCTACCCTTCCTGCCACTCTCTAGGATCTCCTGGCCACCTGCTGTGTGATCTCCTGGCCAGATGATACCTACTGTATACCAAGCTCTGTCTCTGGATAGAGTGACACCCAGAGCGCTCCTGCCCACAAGGGGCTGCCAAATAAAAACTCCCACCAGTAACTGGGTCAGGTCATCTTAGATGTGCTTGTGGCCATAGAAGAAAGAGATGGCAATGTGACACAGAGTAATGAAGGTCTCTCTGAGGAGGTGATGGTTCAGTCTGGGAGGGAAAAAGTTTTGTGCAAGAGTCCAGAATTGGGCTGGGCCTCCCCAATGGCGCAGCAGTTGAGCACTGGGCTGTGAAGCTGCCTGCAGCCTCTGCAGTGCCGGTTCGATCCCCGGCCACCGGCGAGGGTCCCACATGGCACACAGATCTTTCCTGCCGCGCCCACTGCTCCCCTCAGCAGTGTCTTTGTCAGTCTGCCTGTTCTGTTCCCCTCTCTGGCTTTGGTGAATTCTCTCACCCTCCCATGCTTCTGACTGTACCCAGTGCTTGTATAAATAAATAAATAAATCTTAAAAAAAAAAAAAAAAAAGGGTCCAGAATTGGGAAGCAGTGTGGCTACCAAAGGGCAGAGGAACCTGGGCAGGCTGGGGCTACACAGTGGACTAGCACCTGAAGGCCCAGGTCAGAGGGAGCCTGGAACTGGGTAGGGTAGTGAATCCATGATCTCTGGCAAGGGGCTTGAGGGCCAGCACATTGGCCAAGGCCACCTGCTCATCTACAGCTATTGTTCTACTTTCCCAGGGGAAGTGTGGCAGGATCTCATTAATTGTGAGGGAAAGGCCTGAGTCGGCAGAAAAGCAAAGTTTATCTTGAGCAGCTGCAGGCTGACCCTACGCCAGGGTGATCCTGTGACCTTCCAAGGACAGTCTAAATTTAGGTTCCAGATTCCTAGGGATTGGAGTTTGGGAAGCTCCTAGCTGAGATTTCAGTTCGGGGAAGTGAAAAACAACATTCCTCCCACCTTTCAGCTTTGAAACAGTTAAGGATGTTTCCCTTCAGTGTAGCAGATGTTTGCAGAGCCTGTCTCCTCTCTAAGGGTCAGAGGAAGAGCACAGAGCTCAGTGCCCTTTCTGGATGTTTGAGAGGCAGCATGGGCATTGTGGCACCCAGTTCTGCTCTGGGGGCATAAGGTGCCTTGTGTGGGAAGGATACTCACTGTGTTGGTTCACAGAGCACCCTGCCTGGGCAATGTCGAGCCTGGGTTATTGACGTTATTCTTTGTGGTCCGGACCACGGCATAGAGTCAGATTTGCCCCTACAAACAGTAAGCTTTTCAGACTAGTAAACTTATATTGTCTTGGTTTCCCCACTGGTAATGAAACCCTCCAAGACAGAGGTTGTAGAGTGGAGGGGAAGTCATTGTCAATCCCAGGTCCTCTGCTGTCCCAGAGTGCCCAACAGCCTCCTGAGACATCCTCCCTGGCTCCCTTGACCTTCAAGGCTCATCTGACATCAGTCCCGTTCCTCAGAATGGGCATTATCAGCTGTTAGTCGAAATCTGAGGGCACAATGGCTTTATCTTCACCCACAGATTGGGAAGTGAGGGGCAGGGAACTCTGGTTAACAAAGCTCTGGTTAACAGGGTGCTCATGTCTTCACCATAGATGATAGTCTCTACAGGATCCATAGTTCCCTGGAAGTCCAGGTAAGGCCAACCAACATTCTGTGAAGTGGCAGTGGTGCCTGTTGGGGACAGAAAAACACCCTTTACTCCTGCACTGTCTCATGGCCTCTCTGTCCACCTTCCCACCCCAGACCCTTCCTTCTCTGCAAACTGCATTTTGCAATACTTTTGTACTTTTTCCATTTAATATCACAGAGTGATTCTAGCCTCCTTTTTCATTCAGCATCAGTGTTAACCTATTCCTGCTTCCTTTCTAACTACAGGGAATATGGCCTAAGGGTTGAATAGAGCCAGGAGGGAGTCATCTTATATGCACCACTGATGGGGAAGGACAGCAGGGTATGACAATCAACAATCTGTTCTGAGGTTGTGTAAAGTGGGGATGATAATGGAATGCTTGACATCAAAAGGGCTTAGTGGAAATCACATCCTGGTTCAAGGTGGACACTGGAGTTAACATATTTGATGTCAAGATACTGTTTCAAATGGTAACTTTTCTATTATAAATAATGCTACTATGAATGTCATTATTCATAAATCTTGGTATTTGGGGGTGATTTCCTCAGGAAAAATTCCTTGAAGTAGAATTTCTGGTTCACATCCAGGAGGTTTCAGTGACTGCTGCCTGCCTTGCATACTCAGTTTTTAAAAGTGTGCTGAGTAAGTAGAAAATACTCTATCACTTTAACTTGAACTTCTTTGAATACTTAGAAAGTTAAATTTTATCCCCACTTGATATTGGTCATTTTCACATCCTATTTGGTGAGTTGTTTATGTACCTACATCGAGAATTGGTGTTTTGCTTAATTTATATGTTAGAAACATTACTTGCTGTCATACATGTGGCAGATACCAGTTGCCATTTGCTACTTAATATTTTAATGATTATTTCCAGGGTGTTATAGAAGTTAAACTTTTTGAGTATGTGAATCTGTTAAGGTTTTCTCTATATGACTCTTACTTTACTTTTTACCATCGAAAAGTCCTTCTTTATCCAGAAGATACAAATTAAGTTATATTTTCTTATCATTTTCTTCTATCTGATTCTGACCAAGATAGATGGGACTAACAGCAGCTTACAGTTTTTGCTCAACAGCAAAATGGAGGTATAGAAGAAACAGCCAACTTGAAGATAGAATAATAGAATTATTCCATTTGAATAAGATGGAGACTGTGACTGGGGCGGGGGGGGGTGTGAGGGGAACAGAGACTCAAGGGAATGTGAGACCCTAGAAAAACAACTAGGATTCGTGTCATTGGAATTCCAAAAGGAGAGGAGAAGAAGGGTGGAGACTAAAAAGTATTCAAAGAAGAAATATCTCAAATATCCTAAATTTGACAAAAAGAAAAAAAACTAGATTCAAGATATTGCTCATAAACCAAATAAGACAAACCCAAAGAAATCTAAACCAAAGCACATCAAAATTAAACTTCTGAAAACAGAAAGTAAAGAAAAATATATAAAAGAGTCTGAGAAAAGGGACATCTCACTAAGAGAAACAAACCAAAGGGCCAAAGATTTCTCAGAAACTACAGAGACCAGAGAAAGTAGCACACATTTTTTGTGCTGAAAGAAAAATAAAAGACAGCCCAGAATTCTATTAAATATATTCTTCAGGAATGAAGAAGAAATCGATATATTATGAGATGAAGGAAGACCTAAAAGTGACTGATACTCTTTTTTTTTTTTTTTAATTTTTATCAAAGTACCATTGCTTTATATCATGGTTTGTACTTTGGAAGAGTAGGATCTCCCCCTTCAGGTATAGTCACTGTAGCACACCACTGACCCACACAACCATAGTCCTCCACCACAGCCCATTGTGCTCTCTCCCTATGCTGTTCTCATGCTTCCCCTCTCCCCCTTTTGCTGGGGTCAGAGGTACAGGTCTGCCATTGATCCTATACCAAGATCTTAACTTGAACATTCTAGTTTTGTTGATACAGAAAAAAAAATTATATACGTTGTAAGATTAAATTTACTATGTAAGATGGTAAAGATAAGTTTCCTACTCTGTGACAGGCTGTGATTGCTGGTCAAGGGGAGGGTGAGGCAGGTGGCACCCAGATCACATAAGTAACCAACACATATGGCCGGCCTGCAGTCCTGCAACCCTCCCTGCGACTGTGTAAGATGAATCTACCACAGTCCCATCTAATTCTTCTGAACCCAGAGTCAGAGCCTCAAGTATTGTGGCACTGCCAGTACTCCTCATGATAAGTGCCAGCCTACTCTAAGTCACTTTGAAGTGGTATTCTGGGATCCCTGAGGCTCCTAGCCCGACTCTCTTCCCACCCATAGGGGCCCAACTCTGGTTTTCTAGATTGAATTTATACACAAAATAGTTCTCAAAGAAAGCAGTCCTCTGTATAATATATTTTTTTAAAAGATTTTTTTTATTTATTTATACAAGCACTGGGTATAGTCAGAAGCGTGGGAGGGTGAGAGAATTCACCAGAGCCAGAGTGGGGACCAGAGCAGGCAGAAGGACCGAAGTACACTGCTGAGGGAGCAGCGGGCGGCAGGAGAGGTCTGCACGCCATGTGGGACCCTCCTCCAGTGGCCGGGGAGCAGATGGGGATCGAACTGGCGCTGCAGAGGCTGCGGGCAGCTTCACAACCCAGCACTCAACTGCTGCGCCACCGGGGAGGCCCATGTATAATATATTTTAAACTTTTTTTTTTTAATAGAGGCATGTTTTTTTTATTTGTTTGTTTGTTTGCTTTGTTTATACATGCACTGGGTACAGTCAGAAGCATGGGAGGGTGAGAGAATTCACCAGAGCCAGAGCGGGGAACAGAGCAGGCAGAAGGACCGAAGTACACAGCTGAGGGGAGCAGCGGGCGGCAGGAGAGGTCTGCACGCCATGTGGGACCCTCCTCAGGTGGCCGGGGAGCAGCCGGGGATCGAACCTGCGCCTCGGAGGCTGCAGGCAACTTCGCAACCCAGCGCTCAACCTCTGTGCCACCGGGGAGGCCCCCATGTATAATATATTTTAAAAGTATTTTTTGGACAGCTGTTGTATATGGTAAAGTCTCAAAATGCCACTGATGTTCCCCCACCAGTCTTTGATGAATGGTGGTATTAGTCTCCTTCACTGGGCACATGTAGAGAGCAGCCTAACGCCAGGTCTTGGGTTTCTCTCACAGGCCTTGGCTCCAAAGTCAGCAGCTGCTGACCAAAAGCTGGGTGTCTCAAACCTTCCCCAAGTGACCTGGGACCTCTTATCTTATTTTGTTTTTGACCAATATCTTGAATCTAGTTTTTTTTCTTTTTGTCAAATTTAGGATATTTTGAGACATTTCTTCTTCCTCCGCCCAAGCAATGACAACCCTTTTCTCACAAGATTGTGAAGAATCAACAATTCCTTAACACAGTACTTGGCAAATGGTATGTGCTCAATGGAACAGGCAACTCTCAACATGAATGATGCTCTGGCCCTACTGGTCTAGGTCAGTATAGTAATTCTCAAAACAGTATTTCCTCCATCTGTGCATCTGTTGTTGACAAAATGCTCTTCCACACATCCTGTGTGGGATCCTACTCAGAAGAGGCTTAGCTAGACTTGAAAGACTTTTCAGAGTTCCCAGTGTGTTTAATTCATGTGTGACCCAGGGACCCAAAAGACCTAGGAGTACAATTCCAGCTTCCCATGAAAAGACTTGATCACTGACCATTAGAGCCAGTACCTGGCCTAGCTAACCACCGAGGTCAATGGTGGCACTTTCAAAAGAAACAAATTAGTGGGCCTCACCAGTGTTATCTGAAATCAAGGAGTGTTCAAACCCCCCAGGTGCCTGAGGATCTGAGTAAAGACCAGCTATTGTTATTCTAATTCAGAGAAATAACACATGAGACAGGCAAAAGTACAACTATTCTGTTGGTCCACAGCCTAGGGGAGGCAACACTTTCTCTCCAAACCTACACCCTACCACTTCCACAAAGGGGTGAGATTTTAGAGGGGGAGAAGGAAAATCACTGCTGTGGATTAATCTTCTCATTTCACAGATGAATAAACAGATCCACAAATACTAGGACGAGTGTGGCAGAACCTCTACAAAGTACCCTTTCACATATTGGGTCACAAGACAAACATCAACAGATGCATTAAGATCAAAGTCATTTCAACTATCCTCTCTGATCATAAAGGCATCAAACTAGAAATAGACCATGAAACAAAAACAAGGAACCCTCACATTTCATGTAGATTGAAGCCCATACTATTGGAAGACCATTGGATTAAAGAGGAGATCCAAGAAGAAATTAAAAAAATACTTTAAGACAAATGATAATGAGGACACAACTTTCCAGAATGTACGGGAGACAGCAGAAACAGTAATACGAGGGAAATACATAATACGGGTTCACATGAAGAAACAAGAAAGAACTCAAAAGAACTCTAATCTCCCATCTCAAAGAACTAGAAAAAGAACAATCAAAAAAACTAAAACCAGTTGAAGAAAGAAAATAATAAAAAGCAAAGCAGAGATAAATGAAATAGAAATTTTAAAAAAATTGAAAAAGGTCAATGAAACCAAAAGTTTATTCTTCAAAAAAATACATAAAATAGACAAACCTCTAGCCAGGCTTACAAAGAAAATATGGGAGAAAACACAAATAAATAGGATCATAAATGAAAGAGGAGAGATTACAATAGACTCAGTAGAAACCAAAAGAATTACCAGAGATTACTATGAACATATATTTATTTATTTTTTAAAGATTTATTTATTTATGCATACAAGAACAGGGGTACAGGACATAGGTGCGGGGGTTGAAAGGATTCACCAGAGACAGAGTGGGGAACAGAACAGGCAGACTGACTGAAATACACTGCTGAAGGGAGCAGTGGGCGAGACAGCAGAGGTCTGTGCCATGTGGGTAGCTCCCTGGCTGGCCGGAGATAAAATGCGTGCTGCAGAGGCTTCAGATAGCTTCATAGTGCTGTGATTAACCCCTTGCACCACCAGGGAGGCCCCAACTACTATGAACATTTATATGCAAACAAGTTCAACAATCTAAAATATATGGACAAATTCCTAGATCAATATTATCATCCAAAGTTAGATAAAGAAGAAATAGAACACCTAAAAAAGCAGTGAAATTGAAGCAGTAATGAAAACCTTCCCAAAAACAAAAGCCCAAGACCAGATTGCTTCACAAATGAATTCTACCAAATGTTCAGAAATGAACTAGTGCTTATGTTTTTTTAAAAAAGATTTATTTATTTATGCATACAAGAATGGGGATACAGGCCAGAGGTGCGAGGGTGAGAGGATTCACCAGAGACAGAGTGGGGAACAGAATAGGCAGATTGACTGAAATACATTGCTGAGGG